CTGTGGGTGGGAAAGGTGTGGGAAATCTGTCTGAAACAGGCAGGGATGGTGGGGGATGCATGATAGGGGCTAGTGGGATGGCAGGATGGGTTCTGGCTGCGGCCCAAAAATGGGTTGGGCAGGGCTAGATATGCATGCTCATAATTGTCATGGCCCCCACGGGGTGCGGGATGGGCTGGGGGAGCCAAAAACGCGAAAAATCCAGAGTCTTTTGCATTTTTAATACAAAACAATTGAATACCAAATCGAAAACTTAATATTTCGTCATGAAACTTTGGGGACCTTTGTATCTATAGTGGAGGGTGCTTCATAAATATTTTGAGTATTTATTATGAATTATGGGGTGCGCCACACAGCCAGGAATAGTGTGCGTGGCGGGGTTTGATGCGCTTTGCCAAATTTGGCAATATTGTGATGGGTGCACATCCGTGCATAATTCCGGCTCCCCCTCGCATTATTTCACTTAGCTTTGGCTGAGCTAAATGTTGGGTACACTGACACCTTTCTGTAGACCCTTCGATCGTGTGAAACGGGTAAGAACTCGTTGAGATATGACAAACGCGATTTTGGCTATTACAATGCATGGTGCACCCATGCATCCTTGGGCATGTTTAGGCCCATTTGAGTCGGTCAAAAATCATGGAATACATGTCTGAGAGTAATAGTACTATTGATAATTCCAGGGGGTGTCTGGGTGTAGTATATCTGAGGGGGGGTATAGGTACACCAGGAGACCCACTCTGGATACCCCACTAAACGTACCTCTGAATGTCTGAAAGTTGGTACGTGAATAGTGTATAATTATTCATGAATTTAACATATTTTATCATAATTTTATATTGCCTGGAAGCTGGGTTATTGACCCATTTCCCACAAGCTGAAATATTCTATTGACCTCCAGGATGGGGGGTATTGGCACATCTAAAATCACGATAAATGACAATAAATGTATAGAAACAGATCTAGGTACTTGCGAGGGCAAGGGGATGATTCTGTGTAAAGTTATTAAGGGGAGAAGGATGAGGTAGCCCCCCACATGAGGATCTATCTATATACTTGCCAAATCTGCGTATCGCACCCATTAAACGGTGCGTTCGGGTTAGGATAATGTCTGTAAGGATATTTTGATAGTGACGGATGAGGCTCCGATGCCCAGGGGACACGGTATTAGAGAGTGAGCTGAAAATGCGCAAAAAATACGAAAATAATTAAAATGGGTACCTCGGACTTGTTCAAAAATTACCAAACTTCATATATGAGGACCTATTGACATTCTTAAGGGACTGCAAAAGACCGGATGAGATTCCGACCAGTAGGTGGAAAGATATGCAAAAGGGTATCCAAATGACAGTAAGAGCATCAACATCCTGTAACAACTTTGTGTTGCATCTGGTGCTTTTGGAGTTCATCTTGCATATCTTTCCACCTACTGGTCGGAATCTCATCCGGTCTTTTGCAGTCCCTTAAGAATGTCAATAGGTCCTCATATATGAAGTTTGGTAATTTTTGAACAAGTCCGAGGTACCCATTTTAATTATTTTCGTATTTTTTGCGCATTTTCAGCTCACTCTCTAATACCGTGTCCCCTGGGCATCGGAGCCTCATCCGTCACTATCAAAATATCCTTACAGACATTATCCTAACCCGAACGCACTGTTTAATGGGTGCGATACACAGATTTGGCAAGTATATAGATAGATCCTCATGTGGGGGGCTACCTCATCCTTCTCCCCTTAATAACTTTACACAGAATCATCCCCTTGCCCTCGCAAGTACCTAGATCTGTTTCTATACATTTATTGTCATTTATCGTGATTTTAGATGTGCCAATACCCCCCATCCTGGAGGTCAATAGAATATTTCAGCTTGTGGGAAATGGGTCAATAACCCAGCTTCCAGGCAATATAAAATTATGATAAAATATGTTAAATTCATGAATAATTATACACTATTCACGTACCAACTTTCAGACATTCAGAGGTACGTTTAGTGGGGTATCCAGAGTGGGTCTCCTGGTGTACCTATACCCCCCCTCAGATATACTACACCCAGACACCCCCTGGAATTATCAATAGTACTATTACTCTCAGACATGTATTCCATGATTTTTGACCGACTCAAATGGGCCTAAACATGCCCAAGGATGCATGGGTGCACCATGCATTGTAATAGCCAAAATCGCGTTTGTCATATCTCAACGAGTTCTTACCCGTTTCACACGATCGAAGGGTCTACAGAAAGGTGTCAGTGTACCCAACATTTAGCTCAGCCAAAGCTAAGTGAAATAATGCGAGGGGGAGCCGGAATTATGCACGGATGTGCACCCATCACAATATTGCCAAATTTGGCAAAGCGCATCAAACCCCGCCACGCACACTATTCCTGGCTGTGTGGCGCACCCCATAATTCATAATAAATACTCAAAATATTTATGAAGCACCCTCCACTATAGATACAAAGGTCCCCAAAGTTTCATGACGAAATATTAAGTTTTCGATTTGGTATTCAATTGTTTTGTATTAAAAATGCAAAAGACTCTGGATTTTTCGCGTTTTTGGCTCCCCCAGCCCATCCCGCACCCCGTGGGGGCCATGACAATTATGAGCATGCATATCTAGCCCTGCCCAACCCATTTTTGGGCCCCCGCCGCACCCAGAACCCATCCTGCCATCCCACTAGCCCCTATCATGCATCCCCCACCATCCCTGCCTGTTTCAGACAGATTTCCCACACCTTTCCCACCCCTCCCGCCCCCCACAGGCCTACCCTACCCCTGCCCCACCCCCGGAAGGGTTGTTTGGTCATTTATTTACCCCCTCCCGCCCTCAAACAAATCCCTATGGCCCTGGCATCCCCGGCAAACTCACCCCAGCAGCCTCGGAAAACCTGACTGCTCAAACACAGTCTGGACATGTGAGGTCACACTGGCTAAACACAGGGTTTGATATATGTATCTAGCTTATAGAAGTGCCGAGTACGGCCTCACTGATTGCAACCCAGTCTCCACATCTCTCGACCCTGCTTATCCACTGGGTCGTGAGTCAGACGTCCCGTTGGATGTTCCTGACCTGGTGCGCTTGTATCAACGCCTTGTCGGATCCCTCCTCTTCCTCCAATCTTGCTCACAGCCTGACATCTCTTTTGCTGTCCTCCTCCTCTCTCAGCACTGCTCTTCCCCCTTGCCACGCCACTTCGCTGCAGCCAGGTGCATTCTCCGCTACCTCAAGGGTACTCGCACCCATCATCTTCACTATGGTGGAGCTCAGCAGGCTGTGCCAATCGCTGGCCTCTCTGACATGGACTGGGCAGGGGAGAAAGGAACCAACCATGCATCCACATCAGGTTTTGTTTGGTCTCTTGCTGGTGGTCCCATCAGCTGGTCTGCAAAGAAGCAAACCTGCATTGCCCTCTCCACCACGGAAGCTGAGTACATTGCGCTTACCCGGGCAGTCCAAGAAGGCATCTGGATTCACCAGTCGCTCCTTGCTCTCCATCTCCACTGCCTGAACCCTCTTGTCATTGCCACCGACAATCACAGTGCCTGATCCCTCTTGGAGAACGACTCAGACCACAGCCGGGCAAAACACATTGACATCCGCTACCATTTCATTCACTCGCATGTTGACAGCCAAGCTTTCACCATTGCATTCACCCCCAGTGCCGTCAACACTGCCGACATCTTCACCAAACTGCTTTCTTGCATCATTTTTCAGTCTCATGTCAGACGCCTTGGTCTCGCACCTTGTTGAGGGGGCATGTTGAGATTACACAGTCAACTCGATATGCGCCACCTTCTCCTTGTTCACTTTGTTTGTTTCTGTAATCACTTTCCCATATTTAAACCTCTTTCGCCTTTTTCCATACCTCAGTTGTCCTTACACACACTGAGGTACAGTATTTCTTCCCCTCTCTGCAACACCATACTTATGCATCCTACCTAGTGCGCTACACATCACTTAGGTATTATCATCAATACTAGTTGTCCTTACACACACTGAGTGCGCTATACATCACTTAGATTCCAACACTGTTAAGTAACAGTAAATACATCCACCACACTGCAGAACCCAAGAAGACACAAGAATGCGACTCATTGGACTAAGAATAGAGAATTTTTTCTAACCTCTGGCAGCGACCCCCCTTCTCTACCTTGGGTCTCAGCCCAAATTTCCGGTGCCCTCTTGTATGAAGCTGCTGTTGAAAAATGACAATCTGCCTACAAGATTTTTTCTGCTATTCATGATCAACTGGGTATGGCCAACAGTTTATATGGTCTTGGAGATTCTCTCTTTCATCTGGACATTGTTCTGAGGCTAAAAAGAAGCTTGAAGAAGCACATCAATTTGCATCATCCATTTCCTACTGTACTATTTCAAATCTATGGGCTGGGGATGTGACCTGTGACATGGTGGCTGAAGTTTGCATATTGGCCAACTTGGGCGTGACAAAGGACAACTTTGAATTTTGGCCATGGCAACCCACAGGGCAGAGTGATGAAAAATTTCAATATGTTGAATGGAAGATCCTGTACCGCACAAACTAGTGAATAAGCTTGAACAATATATTTTGTCTATTCCAGAGGTTGTGTTTATGTGGGGGGTGCAAGGCTCCAGATGGCTCATTTACACTGCCAATGACCATCTTGCTGCTAAAATTTGAACAGAGACTGCCAGCTAGGTCATTGGTATTTTAACAACATAGAGTAGTGGAAAATCACTAATTTACCATATTTTTGCAATTTCTAAGAGGTTTTGGAAATGGGTTGTCCTACCTGGCCAAATTCGGTGTGATACAGGACAACTCTCCAATTTTCAGAAAGTCAGATCAACTGGATCACAGGTGCAAGATGTGTGGTATGCAGTGCAAGTGGAGTCCAAGGTAGGTCTATGCCACCTTTGCACAGCCTCTTGTTGCACCTCCCTTGGACTGTGCTTGGACTTTGCACTGAGGCATGCATCAAGCATGCTGTAAATAATTCATTCATGTGAGCACTGGTCTCAACTTCATCATTGTCAATTTGTCATAGTAAGTATGCCCCCAGATCCTTCTTTTATTTGACTTTACTTTTGCCAAAAATGCAATGAGCACATGGGCACTTAGTGGGTCCATGAGGGGACAGGCAATCACAAAATAAAGTTATTGTTTGCTAATTGTGTGTCTACGTTGCTATGTCATAGAGTATTTAGAAAAATATCTGGGGAGGTAACAGGCGATGCCTGGGGCATAATGAGCAGTGGTGGCAGGAGCCACAAAAGGCCCAAATTGTAAGATGTGCCGCCCTCACACCAACAGCTGAGGCCCTGCTTACATGAGGTACATCAGGAGGTGCATGCACTGGTACATGCACCCCTCTCCCAGATGTCCTCCCAATTTTGGCCATGTTCACTGGCCATGTGACCTGTGATGGCCCATAGATTCGAAATGGTACAGTATACATATGTTCTTGAAGAATCATCTCAGATTCTCAAAGTTATTGCAGAAAGACTTGATGGTCAATCAACTATGGCAAGCATATAATATTTACTCCCCTACCTTCAAATTATTACTTGTAGCATTAGACAAGGCCTGAATGTTGTAAATAAACATCACGTTATCTGTGTCCCTTTTACTGGTGCTAAGCCACATGAATTGCCTCCTACCGATCCGTAAAAATTCCTGGAAGGTCCTTCATATCAAGCAAATGAACCCCAGCCTCCTCCAATTCTGCCTCTATCTCTGCCTCTATCCTATGTGCAGGGGTAATCCCACCCCCATGCAGCACCTCAATCCGGTCATATGTTGCGTGCGCGCCGCGGATCAGTAACACCTCATTCCCGCGTGTAAGTGCCGCGCTGCAAGTCGCGCGGATCGAGTAGTCCGTTTGAAAGCCCGCAACAACCACCTCCGCCGTGGGCGGGACCACGTCTCCCAGCACCGTGCCCGCAAATGCATTGTTCTTCCTCTTGTCGATCACGATCTCCCCAGGCAGCGGCGGGAAGATAAGCTGCCAGCCGTCCGTTGCCGGCTCATCGGGCTCCCCAGCATCCCCGTTGTTGCGCACGTGCACGATGAGCGGTGGTGGTTTGGCGGATCGCGCGTGTGCGAGGATCCGTTGAAGGTTGGTCTGTACGAGCTTGGACGCGGGGACGCCGACGGGGGGTGGGGCGAGCATGGCGACTTGGATGTCGAGTAAGAGGAGGACGTGGTGGCTCTCGCCGTGCGTTGATGCTGTGCTCGTGCTTAAAGGCACTGTGGTCGCGATTTCGGCGTCGTCAACGGGGGCGATGGCGGTGGATGACGGGCTGGGGGTGGTGGTGGACGACGAGGGGCTGGCATCTGGTGTCATGGCTGCTGGAGAGTAGCGAGGCCATGGCGAGTGATCAGTCTCAGTCTGAGACCACGGAACTGGTGGGCCGAAAACGGCAGGTCTGACCTTGAACAGCGTCCTCGGAGTTGAGAGAGGGTCGACAAGATAAGCGGATCGTATTTGAGGATTAGGATACGTACATTTTGCCTACATTTAAGAGTACATCTGAGATTAATCGTATACAGTCAAACCCCTCTTAACCCCCATAACCCATAGGTTTTGGCTGCTACCAAACCGAAATTTACACCAAAATTGACCTCTCATAACCCATAACCTCCCATAACCCATACCCTGGGCCGTCCACCGAGTGGTATGGGTTAAGAGGGGTTCGACTGTACAATGCTTTCGAGTATTTAAATAACAAGATCGGGGGAAAATGAAAGAGACCACGAACGACGAGAGGAGCATTGCATAGCAGCACGGAGTGAGGAAGTAAGGAGGAACACGAGAAGAGGGATGACGACACCTGGATCATGGTTATCAACAACTCTGGTCCTTAAAGATATCGTCCCATGTCCCAAGGTGGAATAAACCCGGAAGCTTCTGCCAAACCTTCTCCCTCCCCTCCCGATGCTGCGCTTGCGCGAACGCCTGACACTTGGCACATAAGCGAAGCCCCGTCCAGTCTTGGTACTCCTCCAGGAGATGCGGCGACGTTCGAAGCCCCTCAAAATCCTCGAGACTAAAGGTAGTCGGCATACGCATCTTGCATCCGGTGGAACAGTGCGGAGAGGGCTGAAAGTTGAGGAGGAAGGTGTGGGTCACGGTGCGCTGCATCTCCCATAGGTTCTCCTTCCCTGCGAGGCAGAGAGCCTTATCCCGCCAGGAGAGCGTCTGGTTCTCAAGCAGCTCCTCGACGGAAATCTGCGCGCAGAGGTAGAAAGCCCAAGGAAGGACACGAGGAACGTTCGTCTCGCGTGCTAATGGGATCACTCGGACGATCTCAGAGGGCACGTACAGGATCTTGCGCTTGAGCACGTCGTCGCAGCCCGCGAGTGTCGACGGGAACTTGTCTTGGATGATGTTGATGCACTTCTGCCGGATCTGGAGCATGCCGTACTTGGTGCTTATCCTGAGGATCCCCGAGATGAAGGTGACGAGCTCCGTGAGGCTCGTCTCCGGTGCTATCTTATCAAAGTGGCTGGACTGTCTCAGTGGAACGGACGTGAGGCAGTCAAGACACTCACAACGAATCGTATATTACCCTCATCACATCGACGAAGTCGCTGACCGAATCTGAGAGAACAACGCTAGGGCATCCGTCGTATGTTTCCAGCTTCGACGGTTGAGGGACGTCCCACAATCCCTTGAAGACTTCAGAGTGGCGAGCGAGGACAGATTGGTGGATGCGGAGAGCAGTTTTCTCGACGATGAGAACAACGGAGCCGTCGGTGAAGTAGAACTCGGGGTGGCGAGTCACGGAACTCTTGGGGCTGTTCTTTGGCCGTGTGTCGTGGCCGTCCATGGCGAGATAGATGTTGAGAGACAAGTTGAAAGTTGGTACAAGACGTCTGAGACAGGAAGTTTGGGGTCCAAACTTCACGTGGGAACGAAACTTCGTCACTTCCGTGCAAGAAGTTACTCATCAGTACTCAGTCCTCATCGTCCCGACCACGACCATGGGCTGGTTTTGGAGCAGCACCTCCAAGGAAGACCCGACAGCACCAAACCGCGAGAACAGACAACGATGTTGGGAGACCCGTGATGCCTATTTCGCCTGCCTCGATCGGGTTGGGGTCGTGAAAGCGGGAGAGGAAGGCAAGGCATGCGAGAAAGAGCACAAGGCGTATGAGGACAACTGTGTGAAGAGCTGGGTGCGTGTCGCGTCCTTCTCCTTCTGCTAGATCGCTAATGTTTGCCTTCCTTCTAGATTGAATACTTCAACCAACGACGCGTGATTGCGGACGCGCAGAAGGAGAGACTCGCGCGGGCTCAGGAGCAGTTCCAGAACTCCAAAAAGTAATCTACATGGCAGCTTCTTCGGATGACTTGCACACGCACTTTCGTCTCCACCTACGACTCGCCTCATGGAAGCGTGTTCTTCGAGGAGGAGGAAGTCCCGCAACACCTCTTCGATATTCAATCGCCATGTAACTGAGTCGACTTGAACGGGCGCATCGGTATCGACAACCCAAGTACTTATCTTCTGTGTGCCCATGTATGTATGCAGTCTAATTAGAGCCTCATTTGAGCAACCTGTCCCCCCATAGCCTGCAATAAGGATTCAGGAAGCATTATTCCGAATCTAAATGTCATGCGTCTAACGCGACATGGTGTGGGCCAGGTGAGAACCCTCATGAGAACGTAAGCGAGTGCTGACGCATCTTAGTTTGACTTCGAACCTTCCAACATCATCACCACCATGCCTACCGAAGAAGAACTTGAGATCCCAGAGGGATATAAAGAATATGTTCAACACATCTTAGGGAAGTCGAAGGAGCGGCAGGAGTTCATGCACGGTGTCATCACCGATAAGAAAGTACGTCTCATTGTTGTCGCTGTGCCTCTTCTTCACGCTCAATCTGCGGATATCTATCAGTACTGCGATGCGTGCTCGAACTGGGAGCAGTGTGGAGGCTCGCACCAGCCTGCTCACACTTACAAATGTTGGTCGTGCCGCAGGAAGAAGATCATCTGTCCCTGGAAGCGCAACTTCCTCGTACGTTACACAGCCGTGAAGTTCCAGCTCTCGCGGGAGGACGCTGAACAGGTCTATCGACTCTGCGGGAAATCACTCGTGGCCGTCAAAGACGATGGGAGTTCGAGTCGAAGAAAGAAGGCAGATGAGGGTGGCAAGAGGATAACTCGGGGACGGGTCGTCCAAATGGCCTCCGGCAGTGCACAGGACGCGCACCGGGAGACACGAGAGGTGTCGGATAACCGTAGGAAGCAGCAAGGGGTCTTGGTTGAAGAGCGAGAGCCCACATCGATCGAGGGCCCCAATCCGAGCAAGAAGCGGAAGTTGAACTCGATGCTAGCGGTGACTACACCGTCGCTCGTCGCGGTCAATGGCAACCACGCAAGCATCAGTGCTACCCCCAGCGAACTCTCCTCAAGCCCCCTGTCCGACCTATCTTCTCCCAGGACCTCCGAGTCCGAACCATCAACTCCTCCAACACCTCATCCTTCCTCGCCACCACCCCTCCCGATCGCAAGTCCCAACAACCTCGTCCAGGCCCTCAACTCCCAACTCTCGACCGCCAAATCCCATATCCAGCTCCTCCAGCAGCAGCAATTGTTGCTGACGGCCCATGTGGCCCGAGTCGAGTCAGAGCGTGATGCGTTGAAGGACGTGGAGGACGGCCTACGACGCACGGTTGCGGAACAGATGCGGCACATTGCTGCTGTGGAAGCGCGCCTTGATGATGTTCCGGATGCCCTGCCAGTGAGCCTGGTTAGTACGGAGGTGCAGACGGAGGCAAGTGCAGAGGAGAGGGTGCAAAGCCCGACGGTGGCCCCACGCTCGGAGAGCAGGCCAGATGGGACCTCAGGTAAGCATGGCCCTCATTTACTGTCCTTCCTTCCTTATGTGCACTACGAGCTGACGCGCGAGCCAGCATTGCAAACCCACATGCGATGGATCATGAACGGGCTCATCGACTGCGACGTGGAACTGGAACGGATGCGCAATCACCAAAACGAAACGGTACCGGAGCGAGAGGCGAGGATTGAGAAAGTCCAAGAGATCCTGACGAAGCTTGAGCGGTATGCCGTACGGGCGATTGCCAGCGCCAGTGGGTGACGAAAAGCTCCTGGGTGGTGTGGCGAATATCCAAATCTGGTCGTCATATCCGGGCATTTTTGCAAGGCATCTTCCTTCCGTTCGTGGTCATGACTCGTGAGGCGAGACTAGATCAGGCGGCAGGGAGCGCGATGTAACATAAGTTAATGTGGTTTCTCTGTCCTTTTCTCAATGGTTGCTGATAGCCAGCCGTTTGTCCAATATTTTTTGATGAAATGTATTTCTTTCTCTCTTTAGTCCATTCTTGAGAACCAACGCGGGCTCCTCCTGCGATGCGTACGACACACAACTCAAGACAGTCAAGCAAGGCGCTGGCGCTGACTCGAATCATGATGAGAACAGCAAGTGTATCTCGTGGCGTAATCTTCTCCCTCGCTTGATATTCTATTCTTTTCCAAGAGTCAATTCGACCTCTTCTGCGCCGCCTGTTCGACTGATGAGGGCCAACTGATGGACCTCTAGATCAAAGCCCTACGAGAGGGTGCTTCCATCCATTGAGCTTCAAATTCTAGGACGGCGAACAAGATGATGGTGAAGATATCATCCCGCACTGCTGTGTCTGTATGTCTGTCTATTCTTGATTCTTCCAGGACGTCTATTTACGAGTCTTGGTTGTTTCAGGCTGTGTGTTATTCCTAGCATCGGCCGATGGCTGAACCCTGTTTCCTATGAGCATTTTCTTCGAACGTGCGGTCTCAAATAGCGAAACACCACGGTTCTGGCCCCTGGGCTCTTGGTGAGAGTGGTTAACCGCAATATTTATTCTTCAAGCTAGATACGTGTCCCATCTTACAGGACGTCAATTCCGACGTTTGAGGCGTTGCCAATCGCTCCACAACCACTTTGTTCGGAGCTCGCTGTGGATAGCGATCGCAAATTGCCCATCTGACCAACGTCAGCTTTCACTACGGAGAAGAAGTACAAGACCCAAGGGACATTTCGGTGAATACGAGCCTCCTTGTGTACTTCGGAGTGATGTACGCTGACCCCTTGCTGATGACGTTTTCTCTTTTTTCATGATTGTCAGGTTCACGGCGCTAAGCTTTTATTAGCTATGCAAGGGAGGCTCCGTGATCTACATCAGCACCGGTGAAGGGGATCTTCCCGGCGCAGTGCCCGCCTTCGGCTTTTCTGAGCCTCCAATCAAGGCTCAAGCAAGTGTTTCTTCGACTTTTTTTCCACCCGGGGATCAAGACCTCTTTCTGGTGTGCACTTTGCTTGGCGTCGAAGCACTGAAAGTCCAAATAGAGTGCTCAAACCTCCCCAAGTCTGAAGGACCTCGAAATTTAAGATCCTGTGTCCTGTACGTATCGAGATCATCATCGTTCACCAAAAGCTGTATGCAAAACTCCGCCAACCTGTGCATGACCCGTCGCAGTGAACAAGAGACACGGCGAACAGTCGAGATGCGTACCATGGCCCGACGGAGATCTACAAACAAGCCTTCCGCTTCAAGAGATCTTCGACAGCGCCATGGGCGCTGCCTTGTCAGGCTTGTCCTCGTCATCCCATCCACATACACCGAACAGCGCTCGGGTGAGTGTATGCCTGCCCGCATCATCGGGGACGAATGACCTCGACTGACACCCTTCTGGGAAGCGCATACGTATGATTTCAGGTGCGAGCTGACGGGCGTCTATTTTCGTCTTGATGGAGCGTTGATGGGATTTTCAGGGACCGGTCATCACGTCAAGTTTCAGTTTCATCGGCTCCTAAGTAAAGTCAGGTGTGGCGCCATTTTGTATGTTCCTGGAGGGAGTAGATGGGTGCTTTCATGCCGCCGAGGGAGAAGCGCTGAGGTGGGGTTCTGGGTTCTACCTAAATTTACGGGCAACATTTCGGCACCGCGTCAGGATGCCCTTGGGTGAGAAGTCCAATGACTTCACCAGTTAAGTTAAGTTCATGAATGCCGATTTTGAAGAGGTTCCTCTTGCATTCATGCGCTATTCCAGGTTCCTCGTTCCTCGCCAACCCACATCACCCGTGGCCTCCGTCTGATGTTTATGTGTCATAGCGCGACTCGACGGGCGTCTCTTTATTCCAGTCCGTGTCAAGTTTCAGTCTCAACCGTTGATGGTTGACGAGATCTTCAGGGGTTCTCCCTTCTTCTCGAGTAATCATTTTTCATATCCTCGAGACGCGATTTCATGAGATACAGATTATCCATGCACAACTTGAGGGGGTTTCAAACTTCTCGTTGACCAGAACGCTCGATGTTCTTCCCCCGCGTCTTGGCGCTTAATCTTATCCTCAGTCCTTGGGCGTCCTTTGCCAAGACTCCCAGACTCAATTGTTGCAACGCTTGTTCTATCTGCCTTTCTAGTCAACCGACGCCTATCCGTATCCTTCCTTTGTCCTCGTCACTGTCCCGATCTCAGTGTCTCGCATAAGGTCGTCCTCGTCTTCATCCGTCTACCCGAATACCGTTGCGTATACACTGAGTAGGCGAATCCCATCCAACCAGTTCTCACAATATCCGAAAACTCCAACTATTCTAACGATCCTGGAGCTCTCTTCTATGCACTCGAACCCTCCAATCGACAGGCCCCTAATTCCTCAAGCCCTATACGTGGTATCCACATAATTCATGACGTGTGTCGACGGGCGCCTATCTCATGCTGCGCACCCGGGATTTCGCCAACAGCCTGAGTTCTTCTTAGGCACCAGGGATATATATACTCCATATCAGGGGTGATACCCCTGTGGCGTTTCACCACCAGTGTGGCGCAACTGACCGTGGCCCATGGGGTCTTTTGGGAGTTAGATGGGGCAGGCGAGGCGCCTGCCACCTTCTCGGGCCTCGGCGCTAATTTTTAAGTTATGTTCTGACGGGCGCTGGCGGGAGAAGGTGGGCGAAAGGGTTATGTTTAGAGTATGTTTTGATCTTGGGCGTCGCGAGTTAGACTCAGGCTGACCGCTCGCATACGAAATTGAATTGTATAATATCAGCTTCTCCCGACAACGGGCGCCTATCCGTCGCTCCGATCGCTTCTGCATCTTCGTTGGCGCTGTGTACGATCTCAATGACTATTGATCACTGCTCAGATAAAGTTCTTCGCACAATTGCAAAGATTCAAGCTCAAGATCCATGCGGTACCACACTCCGCGATCACCTTCTTCAAGTTCTACTTTCTTTCTTCTTGAATGACGCCCAACCTCCGACTCCCGAGTGACGTACATGATGCTCCATGGAGGAAATGAATGACCGCATTCCCAGCGCCAGTGCCTTTCTCGGGCTCAGACGGCCCCGTTCTCCCTGTCCATGCCAAGTTCCCTCTCTGCACTCGGTCTTTGCACAAATGGGGGACTTTCTCCAAAAAGGAATCTTCCTATTTCTGCGCACCGCTCCCTCTTTCGGTTCGAATACACCTGGGCCTCGCCTCAGTCTGAGTCCATTCGGGTCCATTCGGGGTAACGTCTGTCAAGACTCACTGGTACTACCTGTCGTGTCATGGGGGTAGCGTGGCTGAGGGTGGGTCTAGCGTGGATGGGAACGTGGCCCACCCAGGCCCCGCAGCGAGTCGCGACAAGCTGCCAGCAGCAGTTCGGACAGTTCTTTGGCGTTTCACAGTTGGTTCTCTGAGTCTCTAACTCGATGCCGGATGGGTGATAGATTATGGCTTTGGAAGTAACTTTAACTTTAAGGACAAAGCGACAAAGCTACAACGGGACTCGGAGGTACTAACTTCTGAGAGAGAGCCTATTGTGCGATGCGGGGCTTGTAAGCGTCTCGAGTTGACGCTCCAGACTTCGAGGGGTTGCCGTGACTGTAGATCTAGTCGAGGACCCTTGCAACTTCGACTGTGTGGGCTAGGAGACCCTTCAACTTGAACTCTAGAGTCGAGTGCGTTGGCCTGGACATTTCTCTAGCAACGCGTCTAGCACTCTCGACGTTCAGACACCCTATGCACTACACGCTACGCTCCCTACTACACGCTACGCTCCCTACTACACGCTACGCCACAGTTCAAAATTTATTCCCCCACAATTGGTGAATCGGGGTTATTTGTTACTTGGGATAGGCATGTTACGGCGCTCTCGTTCAATTGAGCTTCCATTGGTCCAGGTCGACCTACACTACATGTAAGTACGGAAAATTTAAATCCAGGTCGACATAATACAATTAGCCTTTATACGTGCACACCGGCGCCATTGGCTATAGCTACTTCTGAATCCACCCGCACCGGAACCACGAAACTACGTAGAAGCGCCGTACAGGCCCCGCCTGCCTATACACGTCTCTCGGTCCCTAACTCCAAGTTCTGTCGACCGCGGTAGATTTATATGTGGTCATCGGGTTAATGGTAAAGCGGTTGCGGTTGCGTCTTCATTTCATTTACGTGCAGATGTCATTCCGTGTGTACACACTGACATGTACATGTCGTCTCGGCAGCGTTTCGTGGTGTACACAAAAGCTTCCAGGACGTCTATCCCATCCCATCGCGCTGCGCGCACCGGTGACACTACGTCATCCCCCAAGTCCCTGAGCGAAAATGTTGGCCCGATACTGGTGTTTGTGGCATGGAAATTACAAATAAAAGAAAAAGAAAAGAAAAATCAAAAAAGGAAAGAGGAGGAAAGGGGGAAGCTCGTGACCGCGTTGTGAAATGAGTGTAGGGACGCCTGTCCTGCCCCAGTCGATGCGGGAAATGACGATCTTGAGAGGCAAATTACCTTTGGCGGCCCTGCGGGGCCACGTTTGGAAATATCCAGTCATTTCGTCGTGTTCGGCAGGCTGAATACTCGCTTAGGTCGCATCAGTGCACCTTTTTCCTTGCATTTTCATTGGCCAGCGCACGAATACTCGCTTAGATGTCGCCCGCGTGCACCTTGATCATCACAAAATCAAGAAGATAAGATTTCGTCGAGGACAGACATCGCAATGGCTCGCCCGCGCAAATGGTGTCTCGGCATTTTCCGAGCTTGCGTCGACAACGCTCATAGCGCACGACGCACTGCACTTCTGGGGTTAAATTTTTGAATTTATCTTCACATTACTCACACACTGATCATGAATTAAAAAAATGGGCAAAAGGTGCCTTCATCAACCCAGAGGGGGCGATGTTGAAAAGAAGAAGATTTTGCATTTTGGGGGGTCATTAGTGGAATAATTACAAAAAAATTTGACCCCGTTGTTCCGACTGTCTTCCCAATGGTCTATAGCTATTCTTATGAGCTGACGTGTCCAAATAGCTCGCTGAGAGCATCGACGAGCTCGAGGAGACAAGTGTGAGACTACTTACATAATTGCCGAGGTGCCGAGTATCAGTATCAGTATTCTGCCACAAGCACGAGTAACGAGCCAAAATGTTAAATAAATCTCTGGAGGGCGTGTTATCGCGGGGGGGGTTTTCTATCCATCCACGCCCGCGCCATTATCAGCGTTCGAACGCAGGAAGATTTAATTTACTGTAAACAAAGTGAAATCGAAGTTCTCCCGCACGGCGAAACAAGAACAGCCTTTTGTTTTATTTTTCCTTGAAGACTCAGGCTCCGAAGTTTGGTACCGCGCCGCGCCACGGTGTGATGAGGTGATGATGTAGATCTGGGAACTTAGAGGTGGAGCGTGGAGAATCAAAGCCCAGAAGACGGGAATACAAGACGATACGATACGTAGCAAGTTCTAAGCTCCAAGGCCCAGGGGCTTTGTACTGCTTTGAATAGAAGGGAAGAAGGGAAGGGAGGAAGCAGTGCCTTTGTGTTGGTATCATGAATCAAGATATCGATGCTACTGAGGTGGAGTCAACGAGAAGAAAGAGAAGAAAGAGAAGGGGGTAGCCGTAATCTCTTTGTCCGTAAGTCACACAGACAAAGACAAAGACAAAGACGATAAGCGTGGCGGTGTTGGGAGCGGGTCCGTTTCGACTTTGGCTTCGGCTTCGGCTTTGGTTTTCTTGTTGGGGTTGATGACTCGGAAAGACGGTGAAAGGAAACATAGAGTGGACCCTTAAAGGTGGGCCAGCGCCGACTGCGCCCAATAAGGCAGGCTGTAGATCCCTGCGCCTCGCCTCGGCTAAGTAGGAGGGGAGGATAACCGAGCGCCTGCGTTTGTTCCCGTTGATTTCATTGGACCCTTCAGGTGCTCAAGGGCTCAAGGGCTCAGCGCCCCGAGTAACTTTAAGATTAGAACGCCGGGCGCCTTCCAGGTGACGCGATACCAAATCCGATTCCAGCCCTTAGGGTGATTGGGTGGGCGCAGGGTACCTGGACGAGGACCGGGGTTGTGTTCAGCCGGGATGGTACGAGGAGGGGAGGCTAGAGTATACAGCCTTTGGGTCGAGCCCTAGACCGAGGGAGAGCTCGCGAGTACTCCTGTTTGAGATTTGGACGATTGACGCGGACGGGGAAAGTCCAAGGGTTCGGACTTTGGCGGTGGCCTAGGGAGAAGGAAGGGGGAATCAGTGATATTTACTGTACGGAGCAGAGATCCTTACAGCATGAGAAATCTTCAAACACTCACCGGAGCGGCGGGAGTGGCGAGGCAGATCGCTCCACCAGTAGTGACCAAACGATGAACGATTTACTGAGTGAATCTGATGTATCATCGGACTGTGGGCGGACGATCCGAGAACGTGCGCAAGCCAAGCTTGAGGTAAGGAGTGGGAGTGGGAACGGGCAAACTGTCCATCGTAAATTAAAATTAGCCGCTTCCGTAACTGACGATTATTGTCTTTCTTTCGTATCATATGAGATCATATGGAGTTCTTTGTTCGCCGGAGGCAATGGGTTTTGGGCGGTGGTCACGGTGCAGTGGGCGGCTGGGCGAGACGGTATCTTTCCCTAATCACGGATGGATCCTGTAGTCGCGGTAAGGAGGTAAAGATAGAGGATGGATACGAGGACCCCCTTTGGGATCTTTTGTCGCAGCGATGGGGATGGGGCATTGAGTAGGGAGGACCCTGAGTACTTGAGTAGTTACTGCGTCCGAAGCTTCGAGGCCGAGCGACGGCGGGGAGGGAAAGCCGCTGTGGTTGCCTGGCTCTGGAGTCTGGGTGAACCGTTAGAAATGGGCCCCTTTGTGGTGCGTTGGAGCGAGGGCATGGCGATGGAGGTCGGCACCTGCTACCGCTACGCGCTAGCCGGGTGTTAGCGGCGGGGCGCGGAGCAGCGGGCTTTGTGGTGAGCAATGAGCCGAGGAGGAGAGGATGAATGAACGTTCGGTAACGACGTCACCGCCACTGATGCGGGACCAATTCCCTGCAAATTGCAATTCATCATCATCGTCTGTTCTGTTCTATATAACAAGCCCAGCTTATGTCTGGTTGTCCCTTGCTCCTCCCCCTTCCTCCCTCCTCCCTTCCCCCCCCTCCGCCCTTCATCCATTCACTCACCAGGCTCGACTAGACTGGACTTCTACCAACGATGCAGACAACGAACACCGTCCGCGGCTACTCCGAGTTCTTCGCCTCGGGCTTCCGCGCAGTTACCAACCGGCGCGCACGACGCACATCGACATCGTTCTCCTCCTCCCCCTCGTCGGCCGCTCAGCGCAGCGTCGCGCTCGACTTTGGCCATGGGATCGTGGGCAGCGCAAACGTGAACACCATCGGGTTTGGAATCGGATATGCGCCTTCCTCCTCCTCGTCCTCAAAGGGCCCTTCAAATTCAAAGGCCACCTCCACCTCCCCGTCTGCATCCTCTGCGGCTAGCGCTGGTGCACGACGCACACTCGCCGACATCACCCAGCGCCGCCGGCCCCGGCCTACATCCATGATCGTCCAGGACACCATCCCCAAGGTTCCCAAAGCACCCACCTCACCCACCTCTCCAACCACAGCAACACATAGAGTAAGGGAGAAGCGCCACCGCCGCTCGTCCTTCGTCTCCTTCTCCTCGCGCCTCTTCGACCGCATCGCCTCTCCATTCGACGAGAACGGCTCCATGTTCTCCCGCTCGTCCGCGAGCAGCAGGCGGTCTTCGCGGGCGTTCAACAACAACGCGGATGGTGGTGATGAGGGTGCGGCACCCGAGGTATGGATCACAGCTGGCGGTCCGTACACGCCGTCGGCGCCCAACGGCAGGTAACGTCCATCCTCTTACTCCTCCTTTGCCCTTTATTCATCCTCCGTTCGACAGCCCGCTATTCCACCACACCATCGACCCATTCGCCCCCTCCACCTCCGCCTCGCCATCCACCAAGTCGCTCTTCATCGACCTGTCCTCCTCCTCTTCCACTTGTCCTTCGCCCTCTCCCCATCGCCATCCCTCACCCTCGCCTCACCCCTCCGGTGCCCCCGCCAACAAACGCGAATCCTTCCTCTCCCTCACATCCACCAACTCGAACCGGTCCTCCCTCATCCTCCCTTCCTCCAACTTCATCCCATCAATCCCACTCCCACTAACAAGGAAACGCGAGCGGCCCACCTCGATCCAGACCATGCCCCTCCCGTCGCGCAGTCGCGCGTCCTCGTTCTCATTTCCTTACTCTGTCCCCATCACCTCGCCACGCAATGTCACGCACGAAAAGGACACCACCCTCGCAAGGGACAGGGACAGGGACGCCAAACCCGACTTCTTCCTCATCCTCGAGGAGGAGCCGTCCTCCGCCGCCGCAGTTGACCTCTTTTCCTCCTCGCGCAAGGCTACAGGAAATGGAAAGCTCTTCGCTTGCGACGACGACGAGGACGGGGACGAGAGCGAGAGTGATGAAGAAAATGGTGGCGGATATGGTGGATGGGACGCACCGGCGAGCATCGACTGGCGGCAGTTCCATATCGACCTGCTGACGAGTGACGCTTGAAGAGGGGCATGATTAAGAGCTGAAGATCAAGGCCGAAGAGCACAAGATGATTGTATTTTGTCGGCAGCAAAACTCGACGAGGGGGTGTAATTCTTTTTAGCTTCTTCCCCTTCGGCGACCTTCCAGCCTCCTGTCTCTCGGCCTTCCGGCTTTCGACCCTAACGCACGCGCATACACGGACTTTCTTCCGCCACCCACTCTTCCACCCTCTCATCGTCGCATACGCTACACAAGTTCTGCTTCATTCGCCTCGCCAAAGCACCTTCCTCCTCAAAACCCCTGCCTCTATACGCTCAAGTTCTGCTTTACCTCTGTATATGTATGTATACTCTATTATTGCCCCATTTTATTACCTATGCTTATCTATGTACCACCACCACCACCATCTTATTATTACCCACCCTTTACCTACTTATCGTCTGGACACTACACTACACTACCGTTTACACATACATCGTTCGGACGTTCCACTTTCATATTTCCCTTCAACATTTCGCTACTCTACTTTCATCCGTGGTTTTGTTCTCGCTTTCACTGTATTGTACACGCTATAATCCCTTCCACTCCTATTTACTTTCAAAATCATCTTCATCTCCGTCACCATTTCTTCGTCGTCCTACGTCCTGCGTCCTGCATCCACCCGTTCGAAAACAAGTTGGCTCTGGTTACTGCCAGCGCCTCTCGCGCGCGCTCTATGTTCTGCATGTCTGGATGAATCATGAATGTACTAGTCACTACTTTACGTTTACTCTACGTATACACGGATCCGAAATGCTAGCCCACTGTAACGTACTCTAGAGTACTTGTGCATGGACGATGGCCTGCAGCTGGAAGCATGTAAGCTATGACAATCTGCACGTAAAATGGACTTGAAGACGCAACCGCAACCGGTCTACAATTAACCCGCCCACAGGAGCTCACAGGCTACAGATAATTCCGCCGAGTCTTTGAGCGAGAGCGAGGGCACCCGTACCGTAACGCCTATATATCCCAGGTAAGTAACTAAGGGGTACCTACTATGCAGCGTCGTCTGGAGCGTAAGTGTAGCTGTAGGCAGTTGATCATGATGCAGACACATTCGAATTCGAGGTCGTCAATTTGATTCAAAAGGGGAAAAAGGGTCTCCCAGCCTAAACCCCAATCCTCCTGAGTCCTTACCTCCCTGTCGATCCGTCACAACACCATAATCTATCAGTCGAATAGAACGTCTAGAACTCTTCCGGCTCCGGAAGGAAAGAAGGAAGGAATATTGATCACCGGCGAGGTCCCAATGAGGAACGACCGGCCCGCAGTGTACTCAGAGATACAAGCTACAACTAAGTATTTTCTAGTACACCAAGGCATGGGACACCAACTCCCTCACCACTGTGTAACTCCAACCACTATCAGAGGACACATCCCTGACCTGCGCGGCCTTATGCCAATGCAGGTAGGACATACGACTAAAACCACATGGGGGTCAAGGTGGGTTCTCCCAACCACTGACACAAATTCATTGTCATCTAGGATGGCCATGACAGCCAAGAAGACTCACAGTCTCAGGAGAAAGTGCGGAAATGATAACAACTCGGATAACTTTCCCAGAGTCCAGACACGGTATGTAGCTTTCCATGCTGAAGTAGATGGCAAAGGGACATGGCAGGCTGCACACCCAGACTTTGTCAGGAGTGGACTCTGGTCCCTCAAGTCAAAGTCTTACTTACAGCCATTCCAGAAAATGAATAATTTTCCAGAACGGCTGTTATAACTGAGAGACCAGGAAATAAGGGGGATGCGAGATAGCCACCGTTTCGCCCGATTGGGCATGCCCAGCATTCAGCCAGAAAAACTGAGCGCTGTTTTCCTCTATGAAGCCTGCCGCCAGCCGAGACACCTCAACAGCCGTGGCCGCACAGCCAGTAGTCAAGGCATCTTGATACTAGGCATCAAGGATGTCGGCGCAGTGATGGGTCTCTCCACAGGTATGGTGCGACCGTCAACGATTGATTCAGCTGACACGGCGAGTGCCTTGTTGAAAGTCAACGAAAGGACCATCCACTGACGAGAAATCTCCTGACAGTATTGTGTGGATTTGTCAGCGATCATGAGCTCGATATTAGGGTAAATGATGTCTTCCAAGTTGGCCATTGCTGGAAGTACTGAGGCTGCAGCAGTGGCACGGTGTGAGGTTCTTCTTAAACGTGTTGCACTTGGGTATCTATCTATCTACCTACCTACTAAAAGCAAGGTTTTGGTCTGAGGGTCAACTTTAAAAGTTGACAGGCTCAACTAGGACCCCAGACAATAGGCTCAGAAGCCTGATACTAGAACAACTTTTGTCGAAAATCGGCCACAAGGCCGGAAACACTTCGGACAACTATCCTTGAAAATTCGCGCGAAAACCTGGATACAGAACGGACAAGATCGGGGAATTTTGGCCCATTGGGGTCAGGCGATGAAGAAATTTTTGGATTTTACCACCCGTTTTGGCGATTTTTGTCCATGGAGGCTGGATACTGACCAGACAGAAAGTCGGAAATTTTGCAAATTTCGGACGGACAACAACCCCGAAATTTCCAAATTTCAGGATCAGGTCTCCAAGCCGATTGTCTGGGGTCCTGCTCAAAGTACTGTCTCAAAGTCACGGTCCGGATGTCACGTGCAGACCGCGCATGTATACAAATCAACAAATCACTGTGCGACTTGAGCTTGATTCTTGAACTTGAACTTGATTCTTGAACGGAACTCCTTCGAGTCCATCTCTAGCTCGTCTTATCATGTCTCTCCTCTCTCTCAATTGCTGGTTATTTGGAGACGATGTGGAGGAGGTGTTCACCATCAAAATATCTCCGACAGAAACCGTCAGCATCCTCAAAAGCATGATCAAAGAGGAGAATGCATTCTCGTTTCCAGCGAAGACACTCAGTCTCTGGAAGGTTTCCTTACCCCTGGACGACCTCGATTCTCCGTTGAGCAACCTTCGGCTCGATGACCACCCGAAACTGTCATCAGGAAAGAAGTTGTCCACTTTTTTCAAGGATGCAGATGCTGAGCGTCTTCACATTATCGTTAAACGTCCCAAGAGCGCGGGTGCGTCACTGTGGCTTTCATCACTGGATCTGTTTTGAGACATTGAACAGATAACCAGTCTCCTGCATTGCCTCAACTTCTTTTAGTCAATTGCCTGGTGGCAGGCGACCCCACTGAACAGATGTTCACCATCGAAATATCTCCAGAAAAAAACGTCAGCATCCTCAAAAGCATGATCAAAGAGGAGAATGCATTCTCGTTTCCAGCGAAGACACTCAGTCTCTGGAAGGTTTCCCTCTCTCTGGATGTTCCCGACCACAACAACTTTGAACCGACCGGGCGCGCTTTGCTACCACAGCGGACCTTGGCGAGCATGTTCCCTGGCCCACTCGACCCGAACTGCATCCATATTTTTGTGCGTCCCTTGCTGATAGGTACGTACAAGCGTCCCCTCCGCTTGGCGAGCCCTCATTATCTTCAGCTTCGATTCAGTCGCCGTTTCCGCCGTCATCATTCAAGCCAGTGACGAATGCGAATGACGTGGCAAAGCGTCGTAAAAAGTTCCTCGGTCAGCGCCTGAAGCAAGCGCCCTCAGATGGAGCGAAGCCCTTGACGTTCGAAGCCGATCAACAGAAGGCGGCCATTTACTTTGACCGGCCCTCCCAAGTGTGCGATGCCCTTCCGATAGAGTTACTCCACCCAGTTTTTGGTCAATTTATGGACGACTGCAAACACCACACCCCCACAACCGAAGATAATGCTTTTGTCGAGGCCTTCGTCAAGGTCATGCGGAAGTTCTTCGGTAGGGAGAAGGATCGACAAAAAGAAATCCTGAAGGCATTCAATGAAGCCCGCGTCTTCATGAAGGGGTCCAAGATTGAGGACTTCAGCACGGATGGCGATCTCTCTATTGGTCTTCTCCGGTACCTAATTGCTGAGATCAAAAACGAGATCGGGTCTACACATGCGGAGCCCTATCTGCAGGGAATACTGTACTACCTCGAATCAACAAGGGATCAAGCAGTTAGGTACTGTACTTCCGTTCTACCGTGTATTGTCATTGCCTTGTTCGGTGCGCTCAGACATTCTTTTCCATCTTCGGCTTGCCTCACATTGATATCCAGGTCCTTTTATTGGGTTTGCCGGAGTGGCTTGGACTGATCGTCCCAATGCGCAAATCCTATCAACTGTCATTCCGTGTCATTTCAGCCTTCATGACAGCGAGATGCGAGACAGGTTAGCACGCCATCTCGGGGCCCTCCGACTTTCCCTTGTTTCGCTGGCGAAGTATTATGAAGGGCTGAAGCCTGTTGGACCAGCTTCTGGTTCTCCACTGCCACGTAACCCTATGCTGCCATATCCATCCTCCTTCTCCTTGGCAGATTCTTCGGAACAACAATTTACATATGAATCACAGAAAAGGGGCAACAATCTCCTCTTCTTCGGGCGCTTACTTGGTGGTGCTGCTGGTGCTGGCGCTGTTTGTATAAAGTTCACCCGCCGTTATTGCAGAGAGGCACATGAGTTCTGTGCATCACGCGGGTTTGCACCCAAGCTCCATGGTTTCGAGCGCCTTCCGGGTGGGTGGTATATGATTGTCATGGATGACACCAGAGAAGAATACGAGGACCTGTTCGAGTTTATCTCTGGGCATTCTGATCAGCTCGACGACGACTCTCGCAATTCTCTTTTGGACAGTCTCAAGGCATCCTTGTCGCAATTTCACCAAGCTAATTACGTACATGGGGACATGCGCAACTCGAATATCATGGTCAAGAAGAGCGGTCTCGATGGATCTTTTTTGCTAGTGGACTTTGACTGGAGCGGGACTATTGGAGAGGTCCGATACCCGCTTAATATCAACAACGTCACAGTTACGCGACCAAGCGGTGCTTTTGATGGTGAGCTGATTACAGCTGAGCATGACACTGAAATGTTAGATCACATCTGGACTATATCTTAATGGTCTTTATATCGTATATAAAGGACTCGTAGCCTGTAGAGTAGGGACTTCGAATACAGCGCTTACATCTGTCTTTGGAGTTTGACTGTGTGCCGGGACTTGTGTCAACACACCCTGTCACATAATTTTGACAAGACCAAGCGCTACACTCTACTCTACATAACCAACACAACACCCTCCACTACCCCTATACCCTTCAATGTTGTCTGCTCGCCACTCGGATCCCCCCCGGCTTGATCACCCAGGAATTCCAGCGTGGTGAGCTCTCAATTAGTTTTTCCAAACTAATAAGTTTTATTTCACAGGATGTCGACAATCACAACTTGACAGCGAGCAAGGGCTCAGAGTCAGCTTTCGTGACCTGGTGTCCCCGAGACAATTCCTGAGACCCCTCGCGAGCCAGGTGGTGACCCCTCTGGCTCTTCTGGTCTGCGGGATATCCCCGAGCAGGAAACCCCTACTGCCCATGCTGGAGTAGGGAGAGTGGATGAGCCGTCAGAGGGCCCTGCTGATTATGGTACCAATTACTATGATCGTGATGATCGTGAGGACATTCGCCACAGTCAGGATGACCGTCAGGCTTTGGATAGGCATGGCGCCACTGCAGCTAGGCCCATGCCGCACCCTCATAGTGCAAACAGCCCACACCATCACAATGAGTATATGACTGATGATGACGCAATTCAGGCTGCTTTGCAGTCAGCTGATGAGCTTGAAGAAAGGCTTGCAAGAATTTACTGTAAGGTTGCTGAGATGGAGGAATGTCAGAACAGAGATGTATCACCTCAAGCCAGCCCCAGTACTTTGAGAGGCAAACAAATTGACCCATGTAATTGGGGTGCTGCTGGTGTTCCAGATGACGATCTGGATATTCAAAGCCAGCGAGTACGATTCAATGAGATTGAGGAGCAGCAAAGAATTGAAGCTGAGATCAGACAGAGGAATGAGAATGCCCGAAGAGAGCTTCATGATAGGCTCAAACGAATGAAGGATTTGAAAGCACAATACCTTGCAGAGAAAAAGAAGGCTGAAGAACACACTCAGACCCTGAAGGTGGGTGCTAGCCAACAGCAAAGCAACCCAGAACGGAGGTCAACATCTCCAATGTCGAGGGACATGGAGGATTTGATCTCTCGGACCATGGGAGGGGACTTGCATGGTCGATACACAGGAAACGCCACTCCCTGAGACAATACTCAATCTGGACAACGAGTTCAGCAACCTGAAGTTCTTCAGGCAAGCAACCAAGTCGCACCAGATAGCTTCCTTGGAAGAGCTTTGCATGGCTGAGGAGGTGGAGGAGGTGGCGTCAGCGGTGGTGATGATGGACCACCACCCAATGATTTCAACTTTGGACAGGCCAATGACTGGAATGGCGCGAACGATGGCTTTGGGATGGGTTGGGGTGTTTCTGACAATGGCGATAGGGGCAATCACGCCTTTCGACCTCATTACAAACCGCTCTTGCTGACGCCACCTGATAAGTATCACAGCAATGCGGACCCACTCAAGTTCTATCGCTACGTTACCCAGTATGAAAGGTTCTGTTGCGAAGCAGGTCTACCAATGCAAGACCATATTCCAAAATGTGCAGATTCATTGGCTGGAAAAGCCTATAAGTTCTATACAACATCTGTCTCTATGGATGCGCACCTTTGGACAATGAGGCAGTTCTTCAATGAACTCTTTAATTACTGCTTTCCACCTGATTTCCACCTCAAACAATGTGCTCACCTAGATGGATTCAAACAGAATAACATGAAAGTCACCAAATATGCAGCAGAACTAATGGTTCTATTCAAGACCATTGGAACCTCTACCCCTTGTGAGTGCGTCAAGAAATTGTGGAACGGGCTTCGGGAAGAGCTACAGCGTGCGCTGTGGCGAGAGAATCTTGATCCCATCCAATCGACATGGGCTGAGGTCGTCCATGTGGCTATGAGGCATGAAGTGGCCGATCAAATTGTCATTTCGAGCAACTCGAGGTCCGAAAATTACCAAGACCAAAGAGGATATGGAGGATCTACCTACAGAGGAAATCAGTCCAGTAATAATCAAGGAGGACATAATAATGGATCTTACAGTGATCGAGGGTCCTCAATGAATAACAATTGAGGCAGTGGAAATGGCAATGGCAGTCACAGAAATCCCTCAGATCGGGGATGCAACAACTCTCGAGGCCGAGCGGGATTTTGGCAGCACCATGGTATGACTGAGAGACCACACAGCTCCTATAGACCTCGAGGCAATCAAAGTGGTGAAAGTGCTCGATGCCACAAGTGCAGAGAGATTGGGCACTTTGCAAATCATTGCCCAAAAGTGCATAGTGTGGCGTCAGTCGAAAAATGGAAAGCCTCTGGGTGCCAAGAGTTTTAATGTTGAAGTGGCAATGGCAACCAAAAATTGATTTGCTGCACTCGAGGATACCACAGAACAAGGCGCACCTGCCCAAGCGAGCGCATACTTCATGGAAATTGAGAGCACTGCTTGCGGAATAGAGGACTTAGATTTTGAAGAAGAATTGGAGGGCGAGACAATTGCTGAAGAAGAATTGAATGACAGTGATGCTGAAACCTTGAATGAGCTGACACCTGAATATGAAGTAAGGAATATGACTTACGAAGAAATGGAGCGAAACGTATATGACCCCGATGGACAAGGAAAGGTGGGAAATCCTCTGAGCACTCAAGTTGAGTTCATGCTTGAGTCGATGAGGCTCTACCCAGGTGATCCATCTTGGGAGTCAAAAGTTAATGATCATTTCTGCGTCTACTCAGCGGGAGAGTCCGAGTTGTGCATTCTGGATGAGGTTGACTGGCGAACAAGAGATTCTCGAGGTCTCAAAGGCTTTACAACCAGATTTCCTGGTGGGACGTTGGTATGCCATCCAGTGGACCCAGGAAACTTGCGTTCGTGTCACACCTCTACCACAATGGCATAAGGTAACGAAGGTACCTTGGGACTGCTGGAAGAACAATGTAGCCTGGAGATTGAGTCATGGCTCCAACTTTTCAAGCTACTTTGTTAGTTCAAAGGAAGAAAGGGAGGAGATGGAGGGTTTCGAGATACGCTTCGACTGAGATCTTGATCAGTATCATGTCATTGATTGGCAGCTGGAATTGCATTTCCCAATTGGTGTTGACAAACTCATGCATCTGCAAAGGAATATTTGAGTTTGGTATAGTCAGCAGATTAAGAAAGGGATAGCGGCTGTCTTTCAGATGGATTGGCTTATGAGTGATGACTACGGATTAAAGCATATGCTTGAGGGTGAGGAGAACGAGTCTGCACAGGAGGTTGATGACAATAGCGACGTTGTACTGGACATTCAGGACGACGCTGACTCGGATGATTCTGACAATTACTTTATTGAGCTAAACGCGGCACAGACGGAGGAGAATGTCTTACCAGCAGTCCAACGGAATGCTGCACTGACTCGAGACCCTTAGAGGATTGTACCAAACCCCATTCGTGTGGCTGTGAAAATTAATGGGAATATGTGCAATGCATTAAATGATACAGGTTCTCTTTGTGACTTCATGTCGTCGACAGTCGCAGACCAGTTACAGCTCAAAAATAAGGAGCTAGCAACTCTGTTGATGGTTCAATTGGCAGTTCTAGGTTCATGCTCAAAAGTCAACTTCATGACTAATGCTCAATTCGAATACCAAGGGGTCAACGAACCTCGAATGTTTGATATTATTAACTTGTCGAGCTATGATTTGATACTAGGAACACCTTTTCTTTACCAGCATAGCTGTCTGGTGGGGTTTATTCCTGATGTTGTCATCATCCGCTCCTTAGAATCCCTTCCTGTCCGTGGTTCTGCGGTTCAAAAACTAGCATCGAGGACTGCAGCACTGCGTGAAGAAAACCTAGAGGAGGTCCATGAATACTTATGAGAATTGGCAGCACCATTGTGCAAAACAGCAGCAGAAACTGACTTACCATCCCTTTGAGACATTAATCACAGAATAGATTTGATTGACAATGACATGATTTATCCGTGGCAGCCTGCACGATGCCCTGAAGCCCTTTTAGGTCAATGGACCGACAAGAGAAATGCCTATATAGAGACAGGACGTTGGGAAGTGACGAACTCACGAAATACTGTGCCCATGATGTTCATCCCCAAGCCTGCCCGAGAGGGCGAACCAACAAGGCTTCGCACTGTGATTGACCTTCACACTCGTAACACAAACACTAAAAAGATGGCAAGCCCGCTCCCTGACATTGACGGGATAATGTGTCGTGTTGCGTCAAAGAAGTATCGGTCTGTTCTTGACCTGAATGATGCATATGAGCAGGTGCAAGTGGAGCCGCAGGACGTTTGGAAGACGGTGTTTGCAACACCCAATGGGAATATGGTGAGCAACGTACTACAACAGGGTGACTGCAATGCCCCTGTGACTTACCAAGCGCTCATGAACCACATCTTCTTGTCATTCATAGGAGTATTCCTCAACATCTATTTAGACAACATCATTATCTATTCAGATACTTTGGAAGAGCACTTAGAACACGTACGAATTGTGTTCGACATACTGCGATGAGAGAAATTTTATTTGACATCAAATAAACTTGATTTTCTGAGCAAGCGAGTAAAGATTCTCAGTCGAATTGTGGGTGATGAAGGTATCCAGATGGACCCACACAAGGTTGATGTGTTGGTACATTGGAAGGTACCCACAAATCACGACCTTCTTTGAGGATTTCTTGGAGCAGCTGGTTACCTTGCGGACAACATTGATCGTGTCCGAATCCCTATGGGTGTCCTGCACATGTTAACGAGTGATTCTGTGCCTTTCTGATGGGAATTTACTCACCAGCGGGCCTTTTACGAAGTAAAGGCATTAGCTACTCAATGCAAAGATCATCATCGTTGACCTCTCAACCGATCCCTGGGTGCCCCTCCAATCAACCTTGTCACAGATGGATGCACTACTGGCATAGCTGGTGTGATTAGCCAGGGGGAGGATTGGAAAACGGCTATTGTTTCAGCATTCTACTCAGCAAAATTGTCACCCACGCAGCAGAATTATGCTACTCACAAGATTGAAATGCTTGCTGGGCTTGAAACAATGATGCATTATCGCGATTTGCTTCTCGGAACACATTTTCGGTGGTTTACAGACCATAAGGGCCTGGTAACCGTGTTGAATCATCGAGAAGTATCTGGACGACGTGCTCGATGGTTAGAAAAACTCGGGATGTTTGATTTTGAAGTTACTTATGTACCGGGCACAGAAAACATCCTCAGCAATGCTCTCTCTCATGTCTACTCAAATGATTTGGCGGGTACAGTCTGTGCACCTGGTGAATACACTGAGTACGATGACACAGGATTCTCGATGAAAGTCACACTATCCGTCATCAGTGCACCTGTGCTTGTTGGACCAGAAGCTGAGTCTTCAGTGGTGAACTATGTTGGATGTCGTTCCAAACGTGTCCGTGAACGAGAAGGAGCTGAAACTGGGCGCCCCGAGACATTGGATGAATTTGCCGCAAGAATGAAAGAGTCGTTCATGCTGCAAGGACCTCAGCTGGAGGGTGCGAGTGCTGGGGGAAAAGAGAAGGGCAAGATGAGGGCTGTGGCTACTACCCCAAGCACAGAGAAGCTTACCATTAGGCTTCCCGTGCTGTCAAAGTTGACGTTGGCCTTGGGCAATGATGCATCTAAAGATAGCTCACCTGAGAATAACATGGCAACTGATACCGAGCTTGCCAACTCGGAGCCCATCTCAGATGATTCCGTGGGCGCTAATTCGGGCGCGTTAGACGAGATTCCGCCATTGGACTTAAAAAAGGATATTAGTGGCATTGATATCCTTAAGGAAATAAGGAATAATTACAGCTTGGACACTGTGTTTAAACCTGTAGTTGAAAAACCATCTGAGTACAAGAACTTTGATGTCAAAGATGGCTTAGTTTACCTAAAGCAAGGTGACAGGAAGCTACTTGGCATTCCCAGCATCAAGGTTAATAATAGAAGTGCTCGGGAAATCATCATTGCAGAAGGACACTCTGTGCTCGCACGTCTTGGATTCAAGAAAACTTATGATTATCTTAGGGAATCTGTATGGTGGAAGACCATGTCCCAGGATATACAGAAGTATTGTGACTCATGTATGACCTGCAAGCGCAGTAAGGATGGAAATCAAAAGCCTTATGGATTACTGAACCCTCTGGATGTTCCTGGACAACCCTGGGATGCCATTGGTATTGATTTCATAGGACCATTACCAGATTCTCGTGATCGCGATGCTGCTTACAATGAGATCACAGTCATAATTGATCTGTTCACTGGGATGGTTCATTGCGTGCCGAGTCACACTACTTACAAGGCAAAGGACATTGCAGAATTATTTTTTTTGCATGTGTATAAGTTACATGGACTGCCGTACTCGATTGTGAGTGATCGAGATGTACTCTTCACAAGTACCTTTTGGGAAGAATTACACAAATTGATTGGAACTAAACTAAACATGTCAAGTGCTTATCATCCACAGTCTGATGGAACGACGGAGCATGCAAATAAGGCAGTGGGGCAAATGCTTCGCCAGTGTGTTGATGTTAGTCAGAAAGATTGGGTACAAAAGCTGCCTGCAATTGAATTCGCGATCAACACTGATCGATCCGAGAGCACAGGTTTTGCTCCTTTCTTCTTGAATTATGGATGTATGCCCCGATCGTTTATCTGGGACTCTAAGAAACCTTCAGAGTACCCAGGTGTTCGTGTTTTTGCTCAGCAAATGAAAATGGCCATCATGCGTGCTCATGACACAATTATTGCTGCACACGTGAAATCAGTGTGCAATGTGAACCGCAAGTGCATCAAGGCGCCATTCACTAATGGTGATTATGTGTATATTTCGACAAAGAATATTACTATACAGAAGGGGCTGGCTAGGAAATTATCCCTGAAGTACATGGGACCTTATCTTATCACCGAAGATTTCAAAAATAACTCTTTTCATATCAAACTACCTGTGTCTTTGAGGAAACGAGGTGTCCACGACCTCTTCCACTCATCCCTGCTTCGGATTCATGTTCCCAACAATGACAGGCTATTTCCTGGTCGACTTGACACCCAAATCTTCGAAATAGAGGACACGGAAAATGAGTGGACTGTCAAGCATGTAAAATCTCACATGGGCAAGGATAAGGAATCTATTTTTGAGATTTTATGGAAGACCAGAGATACGACCTGGCTTCCTTATCATCAGGTGGCAGATTTGAATGAACTGCATGAATATTTTGATGCCATGGGGGCCAAGAATATTACTGATTTATCAAAAAGACATGGTCAAGTTCAGATCGACGATCCTCAAGTTTTTACAGGATTTATCGAAGTCGATTTTGAGCTTGGCCATAAGTCCGATTTGTATAAAGAGCACCGGGAGATGGGATCCTTGTCGGTTCGACATTCAGAGATCCCATCCAGTCCCACACCTGACAGCAATCCAAATCCATCGCCTTCTATCTATTTTTATGGGAAAGACCAAACGCAGCAACCTTGCTGTTTCCACCACTGTCGACACCACCACTCCTCTCCCCTCCTCTTCTGACACTGCTCCTTCCCTTCCTACCACCAACACCGATGTCGACAATGCTCCTGCTTCCCCTCTCACACCCATCGACCACACTACTCCCAATGCTGATCCGACCTTTGACCCTACCATGGACATTGCCTCCACAGCTCCCGTCGACGCGATGGCTGCCGTCTCCATCAACGACAACATAGACGCACCTCAGGACACAAACACAGTGGACATGATGGATTTCGACACATCCACTACTGTCTTCACTGTACCCGTTGAAACCGCTGCTTCGGTCTTCGTGACGACCACCCCTGCGTTGATGACAGCTACCCTTCAATCGACCCCTGGCTCTCCTCATACCACAGCCATGAGCATCGATGATGATGTTGCATCACTCTTTGCTGACTTTGCACTGACGCCTCCATCTGCTCCCCACCTTCCGCGTGGTTTTAACAACCAGCCAGTCACAAACCTCTCGTACCCGGTAACAGGTTTCTCGTGGATTTTCAAGATTGGTTTTGGTGATTTTCGTGTCACCGATGACAGCCACATCATCCACTCAATCAGCGCATCGCAGCTAAAACAGTGTCTCATATTTCATCAGATCGTCAGCAAGGCCTATGCACGAGGGTATGCACACCAGGTTGAGAACCTCATCGAACCCATTGGATACTGGGAGCTCGTTGCCTACCTCAACAACGACCACACCCAGAGCCGGAAATTGGCTGTCATCACCCAAAATGACACCGTCACTCACTTTGCCCCCAACTTCGGTCCCGACAGCCGCTTTCCCCTCGATGTCGACTTCCCTGATGGGGAGACAGTCAAGGATTTGCTCGAACATCAGTAAAACCTCAGGAATACGATGATAAGTTGTGAACACCTACCATCGGGTATAATTTGACACCGTTCTTACGATACCATTAAAATATTCCGAGACTGATCACAATACAACACAAGCCAAGACGATCGAACCCCTGAAGTGACCGTTTTGGTCCACATTCATGAGCCATTGTCAGCGTGATGAATGGATTGTGAGCAGCTGCAGAGGTGAAGTCATTTCGTGAGTTGTTCACATGATTGGGTGACTTCATGATTCTTAGACCCGAATGCTCAAGGTTTCATGAGTGAGTATCATCATTACTGTGGCATCACAATGCTTAACGGCGAGTCAGGCTGCGTCACGGAGGATTCTTAATCATGCCTTAGGCTCACAAAGGAGGGTTGGTCACAACAATAAATTCTAAACACTCTACATGAATACGGGATAAACAGCAACTGACACTACAATCCCCACTCCTCCAGGAGCTTCATACCTTCATCCTTTGCATCAGACGACGCAGCTGACACCACCCCAGGGAAGACCTGTCTACCCAGCATCAGGATCATGGAAACTGAACAAGGCTTAGGGTACGTACTTATTCCACCAGTCGGGAAGCTCGCAGACCTTCTCTCGATGTGTTGCATTAGCAGCAGGGATTTCCTTGAAGTAATCTATAATGAACTCATAGAAAAGCTTCAAATTGAGGCCATGAATGTTGTCCGTCCACTGCTTTACGTCAGACAATGCGAGGATAAGCTGTATCATGAGATGTATAAAATCAAACGCAACCATGCGAATCTGAAAAGACAGACCTGCGCTGCAGCATATGCAAGTGTTCTTGGAGTGACATGCATCATCTGGAGATTCCCAGCCACACTATGACGCCCCTTCTTCCTCCCACTAGTAGTTCGTGATGCCTTGTTGGAAGTTCCTTCAGCGTTGTCGCTGTCACTGTGATCTTGAATGTTGACGGTCTTCATGGACTTCGGCGATGTGAATATGAACTTGAAGACCTAAAGAGGTGACCTGTCTCTGAGGTGTCTCAGCTGTATCACTGGAACAACGTACCTTAACTAAGAGGGAACTCTTGAGGAAGCCCTGCTCCAACTGGATTGGGTTTTCAGGGTCTTCAAATAGACAGTGCAGGAGGAAATTGCCATAGTACTCATAGCCTGGGGCAGAACCTCGAAGCTTGACCTGAATCCTGTTTGCAGAGACGTCAGTATGTGTTGGCATGTTATCAAGCAAATAACTTACTCTTTGTCTTCCCACTTGTACTTAACAGGGCAGAGAAGACGGCCAGTGATGGGGTGCTTAATGCCACGAGGTGGCATTTCATGATCATCTGGATTCAAGAGGGGGCGAGCGTCTTGGAATGCCTCGTTGAGCCAGATGGCAATGCTGTGCATCATGTTGCCTACGCCATCTCTGCATGCAGCATTACCTCCATGCTGTAGCTGTGTTAAATGTAATTAGAAAGAAACCTAATATGAAGAACAACGCTCACCTCCACATAGAAGGACTGAAGTTGTGCTGGCTCATCGTTGTCGATTTTCTTCTGGAAGTTGGGGATGAGTCGAACAAGCTCTTTGAAGGCTGTGTTCGAGCAAGCCCAACTAAAACAGGTAAGTCATGTGATCTGCCAAGTGAAATCAACAAACTTACTCACACTTCAAGTTTCCTATTGCCTTTGTGGTCATCCCAGCAAACTCAGCATTGTCAAGCTCCCCGATAAGCAACAGCTGGTGCTTGTCAGACTGCCTGACTACCTCGTCGACTCCAAGGAAGAGGGAGACTGCTTTAGGGATACCACATCCCAACCGTTTTGTGGACACCCTAGAACCGAAGGTGAGTGACTGCAACTCGTTCATTTGCATGACTTACTTGTCTTTCTTCCTTTTTCCTAGTGAAGATGCAACTTCCTTCTCAAGATCGTGGCACTTCCGCTTATAGTAGTGCTCGCTAGCTGAAGCATCACCTGCACTAATAGGAGGAGGTAAAGGTGAAGACAGAAAAGGTGAAGGGGAGGACAACATGGCGATTGGGAGAAAGCTGTGGAAGGGCAAGTGACGGTCAAGGAGAAAGTGAACTCAGCATGGGTGGAGGTTTATATGGTGAGCGAGCATCCCAATATGTTCATGCACAGAAAGGCTCACAACGATCATTAGAGATCACATTTATATGTACCCATCCTTTTCCTTCCCTGTAAAATACGATACCCTTCACCTCTCTTTCTTCCTCGCCACGCTACACAACTATTCCACTTGAAACTCCACTGGTTATGGCCCACCAACATGGGTCACGACTGCTGCCATTGATTCTTCTATTTGTGATCGCCTTCCTCATTGTGATGCACTCCTGCATCCCTGGCTGTCCAAAATCATTCACCACCACTGTGAAGCAAGGTCTTACTCACCACCAGAAGACATGCGAGCACTACCAGAAGTCACTTATGAAGGCTGTTAATGAACGTAAGCTGGTTGGAGCAAAGAATAAAGTCAAGGTGGCTCAATTAAAGGAGTGGAAGGAGCGGATACATGTCACAGCTGAACAGGTGCGTATTCCTCATTTTTTAAAGGGCGCTAAGCTCACAACATTATAGAATCAGCCTGGTTCTTCCAGCCTATCCCATTCATCCATGCAAACAAGTCAGGAAATTGGTGACATGATGGACATTGACACAGAGTCGATCCATGAGCCAACCACAAATGCCCTCAGCATCTCAGGTGAAGCCCAAGAGCCCATGAACATCGACATTTCTCCACCTATTGTTCCTCCACAATCTGGGGCTACCCAAATATCAACAACTGCTGCTGGCTGCCCGCGACGCAATTATCGGATGCCAGCTCGATATCGAGATATGCTCCCTGAGCCTGCACCACTCTGAGTGAGCTCACCTAGCCCTAAGCCTGTCATTTCTGCACTGGTTCTATCACATATTGCAGCACTCATTCATGACTCAGTCAAGACTGCAGCCAATGCCTTTGGCCTTTGGCGACAGTACGAGTACCGCCCTTCCTACAATCCTGATAATTCCATCAATACAGATATGGCTCTACCTCCACCGCCGCCTCCACCTGCTGGATTCACAACCCCGGCATCCACTTCCACCTCCTCTGACCCTTGCGATGACGAGGACTCTGCAGTCCGTCTCATGAACTGGCAAAACTCGGGAAGCGAGCTCAAGTCCAATGCGGAGCTCAAGCAATTGGTTGACAAGGTTATTCTCCATCCCAAGTTTGACATTGAACACTTCTGCAAGTTCAATCCATCAAAGATCAACCAACAGCAAGATGCAGCTGATGTCAAATCACTACACCTCGATGGATTTCAGGAGACTAGCGTCTCGATTGAAGTTCCATCCGGGGACAAGAACACCCCACCCCATTTCCTTGATGTTCCTGGCCTACATTATCACAACCTAACCTCCAACATTCGTGCCACATTTGCATCACCCATTGCTTCACGCTTCCATCTCACTCCATTCAAACTCTTTCACAACCTACCAAGGACAACAGAGCAAGAGACCACGGAGCGAGAGACCACAGAACAAGAGACCACAGAGCATGAGGCTAATGAGGGTGAAACGGAGCTGCATGAAACCACAGAACGCGAGACGGAGGAGCACGAGACCACAGAGCGTGTCTTCTCTGAGGTCTACAACTCTGATGCTTTTCTCCAGGAACATGAAAAGGTTCAAAGTGCGCCTGTCCCACCAGATGATCCAGAGTGCAAGCATGAGAAAGTTGTGGCAGCTCTCATGTTCTGGTCAGATTCAACCCACCTCGCTGACTTCAGAACAGCCAAACTCTGGCTGATCTATATGTTCTTTGGAAATCTATCAAAACATGTGTGTGCTCAGCCGACTTCTTCTGCCAGCACATGGCCTACATCCCGTCATTGTCCAATTCACTGCAACAGAAAATTGCTGAGTTTCATGCTAAATGGGGCACCCAGAAGAATGACATCAAGACTCATTGTTGCCGAGAACTAATGCATGCTGTCTGGAAATTCCTACTCAACAATGAGTTTCTTCATGCATATCAATATGGAATTGTGATCAAGTGTTTGGATGGCATTGAGCAACGGGTATACCCCCGTATTTTTACCTACTCAGCCGATTATCCAGAAAAGTAAGTCTCTTATGGTTTCAATGAATTTAATTACTTCTAATGAGTCTATTAGAGTTCTTTTGGTTATGATACGTGATAAGGGACTATGTGCTTGCCCCCGATGTCTAATCCCAAAGGACCGGCTTGACCAAACAGGCCTGAGGCGTGACACAAACTTCTGCCTCCACCATCCATGAGAGTACCTTGCGCACTTTGTTCAGTGTGCTTGTGAATGGATCTACAAGAAGGCAAAACCAATTGGCGGTGCCAAAGTTGAACAATTGCTGAAACCAACCTCATCGGTACCAACCATAGTAAGTGTCATTACTCTGCCTGTGATAGCAGAATCTAACCTAAAAATTAGAATGCCTTCATAGACCGATTAGGAGAATCTTTTCCACTCAACCAGATATTTGTCATTGATCTTATGCATGAGTTTGAGTTGGGGGTGTGGAAATCACTCTTTACGCATCTCATAAGAATTCTTTATGCTGTGGCACCTGATGGACGTCTGGTCACCAAGTTTGACAAACGGTAAACCTTGCATTCTTATTCTATGCACTGTGTGAGAGGCATTAATTATCTTGTCTCCTAGCTTCCGGGACATGCCCACCTTTGGGACCAATGGCACAATTCGATGTTTTGCAACAAATGCATCAGAGATGAAGAAGTTGGCTGCTCGAGACTTCGAGGATTTGCTTCAGGTGTGTTGTATACTCTCTTATGTATTTAATTCTCATTCAGGTTATTATGCAGTGTAGCATTCCTGCCTTTGAGGACCTTCTTGATGAGCCCTATAACACTTGTCTCATGAAGCTGCTCTATCACATGGCGGAATGGCATGCTTTTGCCAAGCTACGCCAGCATACAGAAACAACACTCACACATCTCGAAGGTGTCACAACTGAGCTGGGGAAGCTGCTGTGAGAATTCCGAGACATGTCTGCCTCCGAGTTCATGACCTATGAGCTGCCATGTGAAACGCAAGCCAGAAAGCGGCGTGAGCAGAGAGCAGCAAATACACATCCAAGCAGTAGCCCAGGGCATAAGGAGAAAGGGCTAAATCTCTTTACCTACAAGTGGCATGCATTGGCTGACTATGTCAGATCAATCTGCCTTTTCGGGGGGACTGATGGATTTTCCACCCAGGTCGTACGTTCTGCATACCTGACCTCATCTGTTTATAGCTCTCATCATTGTCATTCAGGGAGAATTGGCACATCAAGTTGTCAAGCGACTCTACAAGTCAACCAACAAACACCATGCTGAAAAGCAAATCGCCAAACAAAGCTGATGGCTCGAGCGAGCCCAGGCATCCCTAAAGCATCAAAGTGTGGGTCAGAAAGAGCAGTTGAGCAGGCGGCAATGGACAGCTCAAACTTCAACCAGTGGCGACCCTGACCTGCGCTACTATATTTTGGAGTCTCAGAGTAACGCGATTGATGTCTACAGGATGCTGGCAACGTGTAACGATGACCCAGCATACAAGGTACATTTCAAGACTTTAACTTCTCTCGTGTGGAACATTGACACAAGTTTAGAAATTTCTTCCGACCCTCCAAGACTACCTTCTTGCACATCTTAAGGGCTGTGAGTTTGATGGTGATGACCAGACAAGAAAATTTACCCATGAAGAACGCAACGCGGTGCATATCCTAGGAGGGAAGATATACTCGGTCAAGACATGCCAGCTCTTCTACACCTCGTACGACCTCCAGCGTAGCTCGGACACAATCAACCCCACCTCTCATCCTGACATCTTCATCAAGGCGCCCCCAGACCCTGAGAACCCTGAAGATCCTGCGAGCAACACCTCAGACCCATATTGGTATGGTCAGGTTCTCGGGATTTATCATGCGAAGGTGAACACGTCTCTCCCAGAGGTGTGGAAGGGCTCAGAGATCCGATGGATGTACTTTCTGTGGGTCAGGTGGCTAGGTACTGAGCCCAACTACTGTTATGGCTTCATGCAAGGACATTTACCAATGGTCAGCTTTGTCCCTTCAATGCAAGATGGCTCCTTCGGGTTTTTGGACCCTTCTCACATCATCCGTGGTTGCCACCTCATGCCGGCCTATGCCTTGGGTCGAACTCATAGTCTGTTGCCTGTCAGCAGAAGTGACGCACGTTGCTTAAACCAAGATGAGGAGGATGACTGGACAAACTTTTATGTTAATGTGTACATCTCGAGTCCTTCCACCATTCCACATTCTGCAGCTAACTAGCATTACCCAGTTTTGTCGATCGCGACATGGTCATGCAGCACTTCGGGGGTGGAATCGGACATCTCAGCAATGCTCCATCACGTCAACCAGTTTGTTCAACTGCCGAGGGCAATGGGCCCTCACAGGGTGAAGAGGACGAGGACGAGGAGGAACAAGTGCCCGAGCAGTCTGGAGGAGCTACCGTGGCAGCTAATGACAGCAAACAAAGAGAACAGATCCACAGCAACAATGAAGAAGCTTCAGAAGATGAGCAGGAAGATGATGAGCAGGGCCAGGAGGGGGAGGGGGAGGGGGGTAGTGAGGATGAGGAGGATAGTGAGGATGATGAGGATGACAATACCGACAAGGACAGGAATGAAGAGGAGGGCGAAGACTCCGAGCACGACATCGTTGATGACTCTGATGGCTATGCATCTCTATAACTTTAAGCACCCTTGTGAATAGCAACGTGTTCAGTTAGCCAATCACAGCCATGTCAAGGAGGTGCCAAAATGATGACCAGGACTCATGTTGTCGCGGTCTAATTTTTTGTGAATCACAATCACTCTCAGTTTTATTGAACAGTTCACAGACTTGGTATGAACTCGGGACAACATTTTCCTACTATCAGAACTATGAAATCACTATTGCTTCTGATCATGAAGCTCAAGATTTATTCTAGTATGGTCATCATGTCTGCAAAATATGGTAGATACCTTGCCATATCCTTGTGACATTGCAGCCATATCGTGGTGCATTGTGAATGATTGGAATGACTTGGCACTGTCATGGGAAATCATGGGCAGCCATAACCGTATTTCATACCTCGGAGACTTTGCTGATGAAACGGTTCGGAGCGCAGGTGGTTCCAGCAATATTGAAGCTATGCGAGACGTTACAGTAACCACTGCTCAGGAGCATCTGGAGCGCAGGCGTGGTCCTGCATTCATTTGAGGAAGCTCGGCGCCCATTTCGGGATATGGTCATGGTGGACGGAACCCTTCGTATGGCCCCGTCAGGACCCTGAGTGGAGGAGCAAGGTCTATTAAGTTCTTTTCATTTCCTTATTGCATTTTTCTTTTTACTCTACCTTTGACGGACTTAGCATTTCTTCACTCACTTCAGATATGCTGGAGGGCGTATGGTACGCAGCACTCCCTTATCGTCTATCTTGGCTTGTTTATCTTATCGTATTACTCATCTTGATTACATTATGGTCTTTATATTGTATATAAAGGACTCGTAGCCTGTAGAGTAGGGTTTTCCCTGACTTCGAATACAGCGCTTACATCTGTCTTTGGAGTTCGACCGTGTGCCGGGACTTGTGTCAACACACCCTGTCACACCAGCATTCAGCCAGAAAAAGTGAGCACTGTTTTCCTCTATGAAGCCTGCCCGCTGCCAGCTGAGACACCTCAACAGCCATGGCCGCACAGCCAGTCAAGGCATCTTGATACTAGGCATCGAGGATGTCGGTGCAGTCATGGGTCTCTCCACGGGTATGGTGCGACCGTCGACGATTGATTCAGCTGACGCGGCGAGTGCCTTGTTGAAAGTCAACGAAAGGACCATCCACTGACGAGAAATCTCCTGACAGTATTGTGTGGATTTGTCAGCGATAATGAGCTCGATATTATTACTAGGGTAAATGATTTCTTCCAAGTTGGCCATTGCTGGAAGTACTGAGGCTGCAGCAGTGGCATGGTGTGAGGTTCTCCTTGAACGTGTTGCACTTGGGTATCTATCTATCTACCTACCTACTAAAAGCAAGGTTTTGGTCTGAGGGTCAACTTTAAAAGTTGACAGGCTCAACTAGGACCCCCAGACAATAGGCTCAGAGGCCTGATACTAGAACAACGTCGAAAATCGGCCACAAGGCCGGAAACACTTCGGACAACTATCCTTGAAAATTCGCGCGAAAACCTGGATACAGAACGGACAAGATCGGGGAATTTTGGCCCATTGGGGTCAGGCGATGAAGAAATTTTTGGATTTTACCACCCGTTTTGGCGATTTTTGTCCATGGAGGCTGGATACTGACCAGACAGAAAGTCGGAAATTTTGCAAATTTCGGACGGACAACAACCCCGAAATTTCCAAATTTCAGGATCAGGCCTCCAAGCCGATTGTCTGGGGTCCTGCTCAAAGTACTGTCTCAAAGTCACGGTCCGGATGTCACGTGCAGACCGCGCATGTAAACAAATCAACAAATCACTGTGCGACTTGAGCTTGATTCTTGAACTTGAACTTGATTCTTGAACGGAACTCCTCCAAGTCCATCTCTAGCTCGTCTTATCATGTCTCTCCTCTCTCTCAATTGCTGGTTATTTGGAGACGATGTGGAGGAGGTATTCACCATCGAAATATCTCCAGAAAAAACCGTCAGCATCCTCAAAGACGTGATCAAAGAGGAGAATGCATTCTCGTTTCCAGCGAAGGGACTCAGTCTCTGGAAGGTTTCCTTACCCCTGGACGACCTCGATTCTCCGTTGAGCAACCTTCGGCTCGATGACTACCCGAAACTGTCATCAGGAAAGAAGTTGTCCACTTTTTTCAAGGATGCAGATGCTGAGCGTCTTCACATTATCGTTAAACGTCCCAAGAGCGCGGGTGCGTCACTGTGGCTTTCATCACTGGATCTGTTTTGAGACATTGAACAGATAACCAGTCTCCTGCATTGCCTCAACTTCTTTTAGTCAATTGCCTGGTGGCAGGCGACCCCACTGAACAGATGTTCACCATCGAAATATCTCCAGAAAAAAACGTCAGCATCCTCAAAAGCATGATCAAAGAGGAGAATGCATTCTCGTTTCCAGCGAAGACACTCAGTCTCTGGAAGGTTTCCCTCTCTCTGGATGTTCCCGACCACAACAACTTTGAACCGACCGGGCGCGCTTTGCTACCACAGCGGACCTTGGCGAGCATGTTCCCTGGCCCACTCGACCCGAACTGCATCCATATTTTTGTGCGTCCCTTGCTGATAGGTACGTACAAGCGTCCCCTCCGCTTGGCGAGCCCTCATTATCTTCAGCTTCGATTCAGTCGCCGTTTCCGCCGTCATCATTCAAGCCAGTGACGAATGCGAATGACGTGGCAAAGCGTCGTAAAAAGTTCCTCGGTCAGCGCCTGAAGCAAGCGCCCTCAGATGGAGCGAAGCCCTTGACGTTCGAAGCCGATCAACAGAAGGCGGCCATTTACTTTGACCGGCCCTCCCAAGTGTGCGATGCCCTTCCGATAGAGTTACTCCACCCAGTTTTTGGTCAATTTATGGACGACTGCAAACACCACACCCCCACAACCGAAGATAATGCTTTTGTCGAGGCCTTCGTCAAGGTCATGCGGAAGTTCTTCGGTAGGGAGAAGGATCGACAAAAAGAAATCCTGAAGGCATTCAATGAAGCCCGCGTCTTCATGAAGGGGTCCAAGATTGAGGACTTCAGCACGGATGGCGATCTCTCTATTGGTCTTCTCCGGTACCTAATTGCTGAGATCAAAAACGAGATCGGGTCTACACATGCGGAGCCCTATCTGCAGGGAATACTGTACTACCTCGAATCAACAAGGGATCAAGCAGTTAGGTACTGTACTTCCGTTCTACCGTGTATTGTCATTGCCTTGTTCGGTGCGCTCAGACATTCTTTTCCATCTTCGGCTTGCCTCACATTGATATCCAGGTCCTTTTATTGGGTTTGCCGGAGTGGCTTGGACTGATCGTCCCAATGCGCAAATCCTATCAACTGTCATTCCGTGTCATTTCAGCCTTCATGACAGCGAGATGCGAGACAGGTTAGCACGCCATCTCGGGGCCCTCCGACTTTCCCTTGTTTCGCTGGCGAAGTATTATGAAGGGCTGAAGCCTGTTGGACCAGCTTCTGGTTCTCCACTGCCACGTAACCCTATGCTGCCATATCCATCCTCCTTCTCCTTGGCAGATTCTTCGGAACAACAATTTACATATGAATCACAGAAAAGGGGCAACAATCTCCTCTTCTTCGGGCGCTTACTTGGTGGTGCTGCTGGTGCTGGCGCTGTTTGTATAAAGTTCACCCGCCGTTATTGCAGAGAGGCACATGAGTTCTGTGCATCACGCGGGTTTGCACCCAAGCTCCATGGTTTCGAGCGCCTTCCGGGTGGGTGGTATATGATTGTCATGGATGACACCAGAGAAGAATACGAGGACCTGTTCGAGTTTATCTCTGGGCATTCTGATCAGCTCGACGACGACTCTCGCAATTCTCTTTTGGACAGTCTCAAGGCATCCTTGTCGCAATTTCACCAAGCTAATTACGTACATGGGGACATGCGCAACTCGAATATCATGGTCAAGAAGAGCGGTCTCGATGGATCTTTTTTGCTAGTGGACTTTGACTGGAGCGGGACTATTGGAGAGGTCCGATACCCGCTTAATATCAACAACGTCACAGTTACGCGACCAAGCGGTGCTTTTGATGGTGAGCTGATTACAGCTGAGCACGACACTGAAATGTTAGATCACATCTGGACTATATCTTAAAGATGTATTTTAACTACCATCGAATTTCCTTGTGCTCTTCTATACCATTTCTTCTGTACCGAGTTACTTTGTTGATGTGCCCTTGTTCTTAGATTTGGTTGAGTCCGTGGTTACGGAGTGGACATCTTGAGCCGTGCCCAGCGGTGGTCCTCTTGTTATGACATTTTATAAACCTCCTGTGAGGTTGGGCTCTACCAGAACCCTTGCTCCTGTTCTGGGGCTAGTCGTAAACTATCCTCAGAAACCAAAGCCATAAGCACACACCACAATGAATGGTACGTCTTTTGACGTTTCGTCGCAGAAGCGCCTTGCGCCCGTTCATCCACATTCCGGAAGGACAGAGACGTTGCGCCACACTGGTGGATGATCGATGAGACGTCGAAGCCCGTAGGAATATGACCGGAACACCTGGTATCTTACTTGAAGAAGAGTTATTGAATTTTAGGTCCACCTGCGCTGCACGAGATAAGTAGGCGCCCGTCGACACCTTGGATTGTCTGGACGAACGTGTGTACGTAAGAATGATGCAAGGTTCTATTCGTGCCACCTGAAGCCAACAACCATGAAACTAACACGACACGAACGAAACCTAGCAAGTCCCGAAAGTCAGGGGGAGAAAGAGAGAGAAAGAGTCAGGTCATTACATTTTATCGTTGTAAGGTTCATTACATACAGCAGAAACAACAATTTCTGAATCATCAAAGAGAAAGAGGAAGACCCGTCAGATGGTGATCAAGGACCGTGATTAGTACAGACGAAACGAAACGAAAATGAAATTAGAACGAAAACGAAACGTCGAATGCGATGGAGAACAAGGGCAGTTGAACAAGGCCAGGCGAGGTGAGATGAAGGTGAAGATGAAGAGAAAGAGATAAAGATAAATACCACGCCAGTCGTCTGAACCGAATTTACTTCAAACACCCAAAGCCCAACCGGCCAAATCCGACATCATGCGCGCTGAGGCGGCCCATTGACGCCCTGGTACTTCCGAATCAAATCCCGAAGCCTCGCCTGCCCGAACGCCAGATCATTATTAGGCTTGGAAGGGGAGGGCGGCCTCTCTCCTTGCACCTCTTTGTGCTCTTCCACCTTGCCCAGCCCCGGGCCTAGCACCGCCTTACCCACAACCTTACCCCCACCATCCACCCTCGCATCTCCACTTGCCTTCGCCACTCCTCCTAGAGACGTCGACGCCACAAGCGGGGGTACACTCAACTTAGGCTTCGGTAGACCCAACCCCGACGTCGGCCTCGGATTTGGTCGGGCCAACGAAGCTGTAGACGACAACGTGGGCACTGCGTGCGAGGAGGACACCACCGCCGGGTCGCCGGCTTTGAAGCGGAGGTTGAGCGCTGCGATGGGAGGTTTGACGTTTGGTGTCAATAGGGGAGGTTTGGAGGAAGGTTTGCCAACCCCGTCGGTGGGCGTGATTTTGCCGCTTGTTGACCGGCTGGGGGGCTTAGATGAAGGATATAAACCGTTTGTGGTGGGTTGGAGGCGGGTCATCGAAGGCACTCTCTTCACACCAGGTGGAGGCGGAGGCGCTGGCTTACTGGCCGCCGCAACTGCCGCCGAAGACGAAGATGGCGGAGAAGGAGCTGAGAACAGGTTCCTCGAGTCTGGCCGTTTCTGAGCTTCTGGGTTATGTTGTTGTGGTTTTGGCGCAACAGGAGGAGGAGCAGCGGGTTTCGTCGCTGACGATGCGAAAGGAGGAGGAACAGAGCGAGCAGGTGGAGGCGTCATAACAGCTGCTGAGAAGAGCTTCTTCTCTGGCTTGGGTGCTGCTGGAGGGGGTGGGGGTTTAGGCTTCGCAGTCGCTACTGCGGCATTCGCACTTTTCCCAGCAGACGCAGACGCCGAGGCGGAGGCAGAAGGGACTTTACCCTCCTCAACAGCGCTCAACCTCTTCCCCTGTACACCACCACCATCCTTCACCCTCCCAAACTCTACTCTCCCGACACCATTCGCATTTCCATTGGAACCAACAAGCCCAGGGATCGCCCCGCTCGCCCACAAGTTCGCCACGGATGTGACCTTCCCGCCCCGCCCGCCACGCGCAGAGCGGATGTCGTACTTGACCTCTGGGTCGAGAGGCGGGAAGGAGGGTAGCTTGGCTTGGGGATGCGGCTTGTTCTGCACTGACAACGAAGATGCTTGGGCTGCTGGGGTTGAGGCCGAGGCAGGTGGGTAGGCAGACAAAGCGTGGTCCTTGGCGGGCAGAGGTGGAGGTGCCTTCCATACGGCCTTCGCAGCTGCTGAGTAGGATAACGGTAGCACAGGCCTGCTTGTACCCGTGCTTGGCTTCGAGCTGGAGCTCGGGTCCGCGGGACTCGGATTCGGGTTCGGGCTGGTATTCGGCTGCGAGTATTTGTCTGAATGTGAATGTGGGTTCGGATCTGCGTTGGCGGCGCTTGAGTTTAGAATGACGTTGGCGTACAGCCTCAGGTTCGTAGTCGATCCCGGAATCGGGTTCGGGCGCGCAGACGGAGGCGACACCCTCCGATCCGTCCTGATCGACTGGGGGCGCGCTGTCGGTGCGATGACGAAGGGAGATTTGAGAGCGTAGCCAGGCGTCTGTGCGGGGATCTTGGGCGTGGTGTGCTCGTCCTGTCGAGGTGAAGGAAGGCCTGGAGGAGCAGAAGCAGACCCAGCAACTGAAGCGTCGGACCACAGATTTTGCACTTTCCTCGCCTCCTCTACGACTGTTGCATCGCGTGTGACGAGTGGGCGGCCACGTATCGTGTCTCTCTTCAACCTCGCGATGGGCACGAAGCCTGACGAGCGAGGATTTGGAGGGGCAGAAACGTCTTTGGAGGGGTCCGCCTCGGCTTCAGGCACTGGCTGACGTTCTACAGGTGTGATAAGAGGTACAGGAGACGGGAAGTTATCCTCTTCCGGGTCGTCGTCGAGAAGCGTGAAGTTTGGACCACGGACGACACTCGGGCTGGGAGGGATGATCTGCTCTTGTGGCGGGACGTCTGGGTCGATACCGCCCAGCCAGGCTGCGACGCGGCCCTTCCCAGCGAACTTGGTGCTCGAGCGGTCCTTCTTCTTGCCACTCGTCTTGCCTTCCTTCTTCTCCTTCTCCTTGTCCGACTTGCCTTCAGCGTCCGACTTGGTCTTCTCCCTCTCCTTCTTCGACGTCTTCGTCGGCGTGCTGCCCTCCGCCCTCTCTCGCATATGCATATGCATGTGTAGCCCCATAGAGCCCGCATCAGGACTCCTGCCCGCACTACCCACAAACAACCCGACCTCGCCCTCATCGCCCGACCCACCGTTCCTCGACCGCCCCGCCCTATGCGTCCGTCCATCAAACTCGCCATCTGAGTCGTCTCCGCCACCCAGTCCACCTGCGAGCGTCAAGCTCGAGATCGCGGAGTCGTTGAGCGGTTCGGGGCTCTTCACTGGGATAGGGATCGGTCGGCTGGGTGCCTCGAGCGCGGTATCGATGGGCAGGACGCTCCTCACGTCAGGATGAGGCTGGTCTCGCGGAGCGTGATGTCGTGAATCGAAGTTGCGGGTGCCAACTTCGGCGAGGAGGCGCCGCTCGAGGGCGTCAAGACCGCTTTCGGTCTTCAGCAGCTCGTTCCGTCGCGATGGGACGGCGACGAGGGCGGGTGTTGGAGGTGTCTGGTCGGATGGAAGAGGAGAGGTCTCCTTCATTGGAGGCTCCTGCTTGTCAGCAGCGAAGAACAGGTCCGCTCGAGCTCGACTTGGCAGTGCGAGCAGGTCTTTCTGCTTTCCAGACGGTACGGGAGGCCCTGGAAGGGTCTTGTTGACGTTGGCCTCCTCAGTCGCCTTCTCTTCGGCGGCAGCGGCCTCGAGTGTAGCCATGATGCCCTTCGGAACGTCGTTGGACAGGTCTTGGCTCTTCCTCGCCACAACGTCCGCCATCTTCTCGAGCTCCTCGACCCGCTCGCTTTTGACCGTAGCGCCAAGTACCGGATCTCGCGTAAACGAATGCTTCGGCGTAAGCTGTGGTCGAGGAGAGTGTACGACGCCATCACTACCCCCAGGCGGCGACGTTGACAAGTTGTCCTGCCGAAGAAGCAAAGGAGGCGGAGCAGGCAGCCGACGTCCCTGCCTTTGTAAAGGTATCGAAATCGGAGCTGCAGCGGCGTTTTCGAGCATGGTTTGTGGTGGAACAGGAAGCGGATATCGATGGCTTTGAGGAGACACTGAGCGAGTTCTCGACGACATTCTGAGGTGCTGCGTAACACGGAGAGCACGCTCGCCTTTACCCTCCTCTGCCTCGTGGCTCTGCGCCATGGGTTCTGGTGGATGCGCAAGGTCGTGCAGAGGTAATAACGGCGCTGGAGCATAAGGATCTGGAAGACCCGGAACCACCGGTAACAGCATCTGCGACGCAGAGGCCACTGGACCGGCGCTCAGAGGCCGGGGTATATGTGGTGCACCGTTTGCTGGAACGAAAAGAGTTGGGTCTTGAGCGGCGTAATAGGGTTGCGGTGTAGGTTGATAATACGGGTGTCCTTGGATGGGTATCGGGGGTGGAGGAAGCCAGACCTGGTTCTGGATAGGGTCGATGTACGGCAGTTGGAGCGGAGCAGGAGAAGTGGGTGGGTGATAATACGGGTTGTAGTCATAAACGGGTTCAGCAACGGAATAAGGTTGTCCATAAGGGCCTGGTAGGTCTTGAGGAGGCGGAAGAGCTTTTGGATGGACGATATCGATTGGCATTTCCAACAGGAGGTCTTTGCTGGGTTGGACGGATTGGAAAAGAAACAGGATGCGATGATAAAGTTACATACCTGCCCATTCCCAAGGTGAACTTGACCTCAACTTTACAGCGGATCTCGAAAAGAGATTCACTGTGCCTGGGACCTCCTTCTGATTCCTCGCCATCAAGTGTTCCTCCACGCACACCTCGCGCATATTTTGGGACGTCGAACACCAAATTTGCCACTCCTTCTGCCCCAGGAGGGACAATATATTCCGGACCACGAAAAGGAACCGTTGTAAGGGTGTCAGAGATAAGGACAGGAGCTTGCCGTTGCGTTCCGGCTGGGAGGTAAAGAGTTCGAGTTACAGCTAGAGTCAAGCCAGTGTTCTGAAAAAAAATGTCAGTAAAAAAACAATGCCTTAGGGAAACGACTGACCTTCTTGCTCGAGTGATTCTTGACCTGAAGCTCCAAGCACGCGCTTCCACCAGCCGTGACCACGCCAGACGTCAACCGCCCTTGCATCCAAAGCTTCCCACTTTCGCCCACAACGACCGCCTCCGGAATTCGACCCAGACATGCGTCGTCCGGATACGCCTCTACAACGTCAACGGAGTGTTTGTCTACTACCAGCCGCTTCTCGTTCTTCCAGAATACTCCAACGCTCGCACGGAGCTCATAGCGAACCTTCGCCAATCCAGAGCTGAACGTGATGGACGAAGGGGAGGATGCAGGAATAGGAATCCGAAAGAGGAATGTCGAACGTCCTCGGCGGGCCTGGTAGTAGTGCTGCGGTAAAGGAGGGTCGCCGGGCATTGGGTGCGCTTGAACAGCGTTAGACGGTGGGAGACCAGGTCCTTGGAAGAGGCGTCGACTATGAATAAACGTAGAAGTCGCAGAATGATCCCTAGACGTCAACTCTGCGAGTCGTTAGGAAGGAGTCATGAAAGTCAGGCCTCACTTCACCTTGGATGGCGAACAGTTCAACCATCATGATCCCAATTCCAAGACCTCTATCAGCTCTACATTCCATTTCCAACTTGCCAGAAACGTGTTTCCCAGCAACAAAAGTGGGGTCGGCGAGCGTCGTCGTTAGTTTGACCTTTGGGTGGTGAGGCGAGGAGTTCATGGGCTCCGGCAACGCCTGCGAGGACGCCATGGTGAATATCTCCTCAATTCTCTGCGCAGAGCGCTTCTAAGCTGCAAGGCTGTCAGTACGAGGAAAAAACAAGGAAGGTGTGGTCCTACCCGCCGATTTAGAGACAACAAAGTTGAAGACAATCAACGGTTTGAGACAACCGATTTTCCTGCAGAAAGCTGGCAGTGTATTTGCAGGACATTTGGATGATGAATGGTCGCAGAAGTGGGGTCCATTTACCAAGGGGACTCCATTCTGTCCTTGTCGTTGTCGATGGGTAGAGCTGAGATAGACTAAATAGGAAGCTTGGTTTTTCATCCGAAAATCCCACACTTGGACATCCATATCTTTCCAAGTTCTCTGACAGTCCTCCAAGTCCGACGTCGGTTGCACAAATCCCCATTTCGCTGCCACTGTATTTGCTACTCAACATTCTACGTCAAGATCACAGCCATGGCCGAATCCATGAAGGTGCAGAACGAAAATTCATCTCCTTGCAATGCAAAATAACTTCGCTGTGACCCGCGGTGGACAATTTTTTTCGAAGCATCTGGGCCAGGCGGCACTTTTTGTCCCATCGGGAAAATTGGTATGTGCTCTTTAGCTCCGTAAGTACTTACTGACCTAATGACGACTCCGAATCACAGTGCACCTCCACAGGACTTGCGATTCTTACGAAGGAAGATCCCGGCTGGGTGGTTGGTGGTGCTTTGCAACGAAGAAACTCTGGCCTACACTTGCATCCTTACACCCTCGCCAAAAGAACTGCGTCACAACAGTCTGGCTCAGTGATCCTTTCCCAACAAGAGAGCGATCTCCAAGCAAAGTGCCTCTAGATTGCGGGATATGCGCTGCTAAGAATGTAAGCGAAGGAGCAACATTAAAGGTAGGGCTGGAAAAGAATCCTTCCCAGACGACCATGGCACTGGGTATGTTTAGTCAAACAGTTTGGGTGTAGCTCTATATTGATGATTCCTCATCTTGTTTTTCGTGACGTTGTTGCTTCAGTATCACGGCACGAGAATTCTGAGAGATCGCCTCTTAGCCCCAACAAATGTACAGCCGCTGCCTATACGTTCTGTGATCTCTGCCATGTCTATTTGACACTGAAGATGTTCCCTGTTACCTCCAGGCCCTTGTGGACCCTCATGAATGTGGCATTGTGTGCTATCAGATTACCATGATAGGGGAATAACGAGGGCAATCAAGTAAGGACGCTATATACTTGTAACGATCTGGGAACGGCATTAAACGACTTATAGCGAATTGATACAAATCGAAGATGCCACTGATACAACTGCTCCTTGTCTGACCGTGCACGTCGGCTTGCCGCTCAAGACTATATAAAGGTGCCTTGTGCGATGCAGCAAAGCTGAATCCTTCCTCCATCCCATCGTGAACCTTCAACACTAACTTCGCTACATCCTTACTAGGACTGATAGCCAGGCCATATATCTAGCAGCACGAATCGCGCGATGGCTTCTGATGCGCAAAACCAATCACCGGCATCCGAGGTGCTGTTGTTCTTGTCCTTACTCGGAACAAACTTGTTAATATGTCTTTCCAGCGGCTCAGCCGATGCAGAAAGAAGATTATATTAGGTTGTTTCAGCTTACAGCCATGACGCTAGAACCAACCACCCCATTGGAAGCTTTTGAAGGGGCCTTTGCTGCTGTTGAATCATTGCGTCGCGGAACCCTTCACGACCCACTCTCTGCGGAAGAGGAAGGCGACATCCACGAGTGCTTAGGGCACATGAAATTGATGCATTACCACTCAACTGGAGTTGACAAGTCGTTGGACGAAGCCATTGAACTCCAGCAAAAGGCAGTCGCTTCCACCCTTTCTGACAACGCTAACCCCCTCTACACCAGTAAGCGTCGTATCCTTGCCGACAGTTTTTTCATCAGACACACAGCTAGGCACGACCCCAGCGACTTACAAAACGCGATGGACATCGTCCAATCCATCGCGGCGAGTACACCAACGGACGAGAAAGCGCGAAACCGTATGTCGAAAATGTTCCAACTTTCGACACGAGGAATAGCAGCCTTGCGCAACGAGTCCCTCAAGGATGACCCGACGCTTCTAAGCGACTTCCATGTCTCGTTGAACAATTTTATCCCGTTTCCCGTTGCTGGTCCACATGGAACCCGCCAGTTGTTTTCTCTACCTGGCTTTTATCTCTCCAAGTTCAGCTACACCGGCTTCCGACGCGATTTGGAAGATGGAATCAGCTTACCCTTGGGATGGAACCGATCTCCAACCCTGACCGCGCAACCCTGCTCTCAACAATGGCCCAGCTCCTCGACAAGCGATCCACAATCTCACAGGCTATGGATATTACTGACACCCCTCTCCACGTCACGCGAGCTTCCTGAACATGAAAACCATGTGTCTCGCGAAATACCATGACCTCAAGATATCCAAGTCGCGCGGCAGTTGTGACGTCGTTGATGTTGAAGCCACTCTTGACCGTGCCATTGCCGCAATGAATGAAGCAAAACGTTGTCGGCCGTCAGCTTCGTCGCCCAGAGTGGCCGACCTTTCATTCTCGACCTGCGCTCTCTTGATGTTCAGAGAACATTTTCTCAAATCCCCGAACGTCGCTTCCTGGATTATCGTGTTGGAATGCGCCATCGACCTAATTCATCTCTACATTCCATCGAAACCCTCCAAGACGAATTTTGCGCCGATGGAATATCTGCTCTATAGGGTCAATACGGTCGACAGACTCGAACAACAACTTCATCGTTTCCACGTCGTCGTCGAAGAACTCGACCATTTACCATCCAGAAGACCTGGACATACTCCTGGACGAGTTCAAGAAGGCCACAATCGATTTGTTCTCCTACGGGGTGACTCGGTATCAGTTCCTCCAACGAATCATGTATTTGGGCTTTGCAATCCTGGAGAAAGACGCAGACGCCATAAACCTGGACGGTGGTAATCATTCCGTTATCGCTGAACCTGTCGACCCTCAACTTCTCCAGAAGCGTTTCCTAGCTTATCAGAACCGGTTCAAACAATCCCAACAACTTGAGGACCTCAACGCAGCCATAAAGTATGCAGAAGCGACCCTTGACGCCTTGGAGACTGGCACTTCCCAGTTTCTCGATACGACCATAGCCCTCATCAACCTTTTTCTCGAAAGGCATGTCAAAACTCCTACAACAGCTGCTCCTTTGCGGAGAGTGATTCAATTCTAAGCTTGCTCTGCTGGAGCAGCTCGAAGTAGAGGATCGTAGGATGCTCTCCATACCTGCTGTTCCTACATCTGCAACCTGAAACGTGTATCTGTCGGGAGTTGCGCCACTCGCCGACGATCTGAACGAAGTCATTCAATTGTCAAGGACAGCTGTGGATCGTTGCATCAGAAGTGATCCGTCTCTGGAAATCATTCCTCCAAATCTCCCTTACTCTTTGTCTATGTGCCTCAAGTCTCGATATCAGAGCACGGGTACCCCGTCAGATCTCGATGCCTCTGTTCCCATGATTTCAATTGCGTTGAATATCCCTCGCAAAGATGAGGGTGACCAGGAATATCTCAAGATGCTTCCTAATTATGGTCTCATCCTCAGGTTGCTATTTCATCGAACAAGAGACTTGGAAGACTTCAACCGTGCTCTTGGTGCTATGACAGCGGCTCACCTCTTGATGACAGATCAACCAGAAAGTCGAGCTTCCATTACATCTAATCTTGTGCTCATGCACTGGGAAAGATATAGTGTAACAGAAGATCGTGGGGACATTGACCCTGCAGTTCGATATAAGAATGAAGGATTGGCAGAGGTTTTGGACAAAACGGCCTATTCGACCAAGCTCACATAGGACTTTTGTGGAATCTTGCTAACTGCTACTCAACGCGCTTTCACTGGTCAAATGATCCCATTGACCTGGATTGTGCCGTTGACAATGCCTCTCAAGCATTAGAGCTCAATGCAAACGACCACAGTTATACGGCTGGGGCACAGCGTGCGGATCTAAGTCAGATTCTACTCAACCGTTATCAAGCTCGCCAGCAACAGTCAGACCTCGACCTCGCCACAATGTATGCTGTAGAATCACTTGATTACATGCCACGGACACACCCGACGAGAGGAGTATGTCTCCTACAGCTAGGAGCATGTTTGTTTGCAGAGGCTGACGTGTCGTCAAACTCTTCCATCGAGCGATGCATTCCAGTCTTCCGGGATGCTTGGAAATGTACCATGCTGCTACCAGCCAGCCGGATTGAAGCTGCGTTTAGAGCTGCAAAATGCTTCGCTTTACTCGACCAACCCTCACATGCGGCCCAAGTATTGAAGGAAGCTGGTGATCTAATGCCAGACATGGAACCGCGGTGGACATCGAGGAAGAATCTCCAAAGTTGGTCTGCGCTGCCATGTTTGGCGCTGCCCGCTGCAGCCTGTATGATGGCACTCAAAGCCGGAAAAAGCACGGCCGATGCCCTTCTGCTCCTCGAGAAGAGTCGAGGCAGGACTCAGAACTCCAAGCTGGATTTCAGGACTGAGGTCAGCCTTACGACGGGCGATAAGGAGTCTGTCGAATTAATACGAAAATTCAATCAACTCCGCGTGCGAGCAGAGGCTTCCACCTTCGACTTCGAGAGCCACAAATTGACGGAAGAGTTGAAGACGCTGGCCCAACAGATTCGTCAGCGACCAGGGTTGGAGGATTTTATGGTCCTCCAGCGTCGACTGACTTCATGAACCTTGCCTCAAATGGGGCCATTGTAACTGTTTTGACGAGCGAGCTCGCTCATTCCGGCACAGTCATCGTTGTTTCCTCGTCCAGCATAAATTCAGTCCCACTCACGAATCTGGTACATACAGAGGCAGTGGATCACATGAACGACTTGTCAACGGGCATAGTCACCGGGAAAACGCATACGTGGTCGATTCGAAACACCAAACTTATCGAGTTTTTGCAACGGCTCTGCGAAACAATCGTCAAGCCTGCACTCCATTCGTTAGGCCATGATCTAATTCCCGACCCGAATGTTACACCCCTCCTTCGTGTCAGATGGATTGGGGTAGGCATCCTGGCGAATGCCCCTTTTCATGCTGCTGGTATTTACTCCAGCAGTGCCATAGAAGAAAGCGCGATGGATCAGTGGTGTCCTCCTATTTCACTTCTTCACGTGCTCTGGTCTACTCGACACAGAGGAAGGACAAGAAATATCTTCACCGGAAACGAGATGCAAACATTTTGGTGGCCAAGATGGGTGTTACAGAAGGTACCCCCATCCTTCCGTTCGTCGATGAGGAAGGCTGAATGTTAATCGAAATAGCATCCTCAGCCTCAATGGATATCAAGACTTTGGATACTCCTTCCAAAGCTATCGTTCTTGAGAAACCTCCCCTCTACAATTTCATTCATTTTGCCTGTCATGGTGTCTCAGACCCAAGAGATCCTTTGAAGAGCCATCTTCTTCTGGACGACGGTGCCCTTACCGTCCAGGAGATATTCTATGCCCACTCTGCCGGGCCAGAAGTGGTCTTCTTGTCTGCCTGTTCCACCGCGGAAGGCCAAGATGCGCGAGTGGTTGATGAATCAATCCACTTCGCCAGCGCATCTTCATGATTGGATTCAAGCACGTTGTTGGAACACTCTGGCCGTCGTTAGACAGAGCGTGTCTGGAGGTCGCTAGCAAGCTTTACTTGGCCGAGAGAACGAGAACGACTGGGACGGGTCCTGGAAGGTCGCAGAAGCTCTGCACTTCGACATCCAGGAATTGAGGATGAAAGCACGAACCAAGTTGCTGATGTGGGCAGCCTTCGTGGCGTATGGCAAATAACCTGGCATATGTTTGATTGTTCTTGACAAAAGGTCCTCCGTTGACGCCGCCCACGCGTAGTAAGGCAAGACTAGTGAAAACGAATAGATGCACATACTGGGGGGTTTATTGGAAGAAAATGATTATTGAGTACAGTCAAACCCCTCTTAACCCATACCCCTCGGTGGACAGCCCAGAGTATGGGTTATGGGAGGTTATGGGTTATGAGGGGTCAATTTTGGTGTAAATTTCGGTTTGGTAGCGGCCAAAACCTATGGGTTATGGGGTGTATGGCTTACGAGAGGTATGGGTTAAGAGGGGTTTGACTGTAGAAGAATGACGAACGGATCATATGTACATATTTAGTATGATTTCGGCATTGACTGATGTAATCAATTCAGACATTCGTCATATGTAACCGACCTCGAGCTTGTCTTTCAACGTCAACCAGAAAACTCGACACCGCGCGATGATCGTCAAGCCTCGCCTACCCAGTTATCCAGCGCACTCACAGAGACTCTCAGCCCGGCAAATTATCGCCCGAAGACACCGAAAAATAGCATGATATCGTCGTTTGTGCTGACAGAGACCCCATCCTCACGAGGAATTCCAGAACGCCTGGAATCTACATATAGTTGCCAAAGCAAACACTTTGGCATCCCCTCAGCAGTGTGAGGCTCTCCGATAAATCCCTCGTGTGTTTTGCAGAAGATATTGGACTTGCTCAGTGCTAGGAGATGCTTTGCAGAAGGTGATAAGACGTCCGGACCCCGTTCTTTTATAATCCTTCTCGCCTCAACAGTCGAGTACATATGAGGCTCGGCATTGTCGATTCAAGTTGATGTCGAAAGATGGCCAACCCATGTCGCACGATTTCAGTCTAGCATTTGGCCTAGGCTGTCCACATTCCTTCCTCGTATTCAAGGGAAAACCTTCTCCCTGGTCAAGCATCTCGTCCATGATTTTTTTTTGAAATAGTATTCGCGCTACGCTTTTAATTGGAGTTCGTTTCACATCGTTTTCGTCAGATGCTCACCCAGAATTTCAGGCCACTCTTCACGATGGTGTTCTTCTCGGCCGCATCATGGTGCCACGCGTAATGCCCTCCAATGGCGATACCCTCCAAGCAAAGATCTTCTCAGTACCACACTGTCAGTAGAGACGAAGCCATTCAGCATCCGGAATAACCCCGGCAGAATGTATCACCCATGGTCACACCACCATTTTCTGCGTAGGCTCTTTTTTCAACTCCAGAACTGTATTTCGCTTAGAGAATCATAGGACGTACCAAGTCGCGTCTGACCGGCCGGGGGATCGCATCTTTCAGCCCACCAGGTCATTTTAAGAGGCCATCTCACCGCCTGCAGTTGAACCCAAAGGTCCAAGACCGAGACTTTATCACCTCATGCTCTTTTATGCGACCTTCATCGCGCTTGCAAGCTGTATTTCTCAACAAACACTCTTCGTAGGGGCCGTTTTTCTCCCCAACGATGCGTCTATCCCGTCTAGTGCGAGGTCAGACATAGTCGACACTGGGTACGCCCGGTATCTTGGCAATAGGACGTACCCCAACACAGTCGCCTACCTCGGAATTCCTTATGCCGAACCACCTTTGGGCGAGAGAAGGTTCCGAGCCCCACTGCCTCTGAACATCCGTCGTGTTGCTAGTGAAACCAAAGGCAGAGTGGTGGATGCGAGAGATTATCCAGATTTCTGCATTCAAGGAACGATTGGTGGTCAGTTCCCGTATGCATAAGAGCTCGCTCAGGTCATTCTAATGATTTATTTAAAATTTGTAGCTGGCGATGCAGGAGGAGCGGGTAGTGAAGATTGCCTCAAAGTAAATATATACGCTCCAGCCGGCGCAAAAAGAGGTAGCAATCGTAAGTCATCCTTTTCACGTCTCAACGTCACTCAAGCCACTAATTCTTCCTCCCAGTGTCCGTTCTTGTGTATACGCACGGCGGAGGTATATTCTCTACTCCCTTTGCTTTCTTCTTTTTCGGCCATCTAATTTTGTACCTAGGCTTTACATACGGTAACCCGAGGAATTGGCCTTTCGACCACTGGATCAACCAAAGTCCAAACGTCGTCGTTGTCTCTGTTTACTACCGGCTCTCGTCCTTCGGTTTCCTTGCTACCCCAGCATTTACAGACGCGACTGTCGGTGACTTCAATGCTGGTTTCCTCGACCAAGTTCAGGCACTTCGTTGGGTCCGGGCGAACATTGCCAGCTTTGGAGGCAATTATAGGAAAGTAACGATCAATGGAGAGAGTGCAGGCGGCGCATCAGTGGCTCTGCACCTTGTTGCGAGCACGAGGAACGAGGGCCTTTACAGTGCCGCCATTGGGCAGAGCGTGTGGAGGACACCAGTTCCGACTCCGGAGGAGCAACAGGTACGTGTTTTTTCGCAGTATATGTCTGTATTGACCGTCTGATTTCCTTCGCCTTCATAGCCTCTTTTCGAGTTTTACGCGAAGCATGCTGGATGCGGAGAAGGCACGGCTCCTGCTCAAGTCGCATGCTTGAGAAAGGCCAGTGTCAGCGCTCTTGCACGGGCCCAGGATGCTGCTGCCCCACCACTATTGTTAGTCCATTCAATTCCCCCACTTGAACGGTTCTGAAAGTTCATTTCCCTTCAGCACTGGAGGTTACAATAGGTTCCGTCCAGTCCTAGACGGCAAGATTATCACCGATTACCCGACGAGGTCGTTCCTTACTGGCAACTTCGCTGGGGTCCCTTTAATCGTTGGGTACGAGGCAGATGATCTTCCCGATATCTAGCCGCCAACGTTAATGATGTAATTCGGTTAGGTCAACGACAAACGACACCGTCTCCGGAGGAACTGACACCGCTGCAAATCTGAGAGCGTCCTTCCCATCGATATCGGACACAGCTATCAAGGCTCTAATTGATGTTGCTACCTTTTTTTCTTGTAGTAAATGCAACGTTAACACATCTTTTTAGGCTTACCCACTCGCCGATTTCGCCTCATCAGTAGCATTGCAACTCCAAACCATCCTCGGCGACACGCAATTCCGATGCGCTGTACGTGGTGGTTTGAAATCATGCTTAGACATAATGATAGCAATACTCACATTTTCCAGGGCTACATCATGGGAACAGCATTCAGCAAGGTGACCAGATCGTGGACGTATCGCTATAACCAACCAACTCCTGGCGCGGCTGCGGTACACCACGCTGCAGAGAACTGGATGATGTTCAAGGGTACGAGTACTGGGTACGTCATCCTACGATCATTCAATAAATGTGCCTCAATCGGAGAACATAGATTCAACGGAACGACAACCTTTCAGCCCCAGTCACCAACCGAAGAGGCGTTTGCTGAGGAGCTGATCGCTTATTGGCTTTCCTTCATACGCTCCAACGACCCAAACACCTTCAAGCTGGCTCGGTCTCCTACTTGGACTGAATACACCCCAACCTCCGCCCGGATCGTCCTTACCGCGGGCCCTACAGTTCAGCCCGGGACTGCTGTCGTCAGTGGGACTACATTGGAGGTAGAGAACGAGACAGGCATTGCGAGGTGTAAACTCGTCGCGAGTCAAGTTGACGAACAGCAGAATTAAAGAGCTCAAATATCTCTCGAGATTCATCTGTAACAAAAATCACGGTGGATAACTGACACCAATTGGGATTTAAGAAATCTTGTGTAAGAGTAGCATTGCGCGTCCTAGAGAGAAACGACGAAATGTAGACGATGAGACGGCCCATAGCCCTCTAGTTGTTGCTCTGTCGTAGAGGCTTCAGTTCAGAGCACAGACACGACCCAACAGTCAGTCGAGCTAAACGGTCGCGATTGGGTATAGGCTGTGATCCGAGGACTCAAAGCCATGGTCAGGACACTAACCAGAAGGTTGAGAGATCGAGTTACCGAGCCATTCCAGCTCCCAGATAGCATGAGGTCCACCAGATCGCAGAAAATGTAATACTTAGGAAACAGTTGATAACGACAATCTCGGGGAGGAGAACTTCGGCAGAAATGAAAAGTAAGGATCCTGTCTCCAGCATTCATGCATTGCGGAACGCTAATTACTCCCGCTGAGACTGGAACAGTTTGCCATCGAGTGAATGTAGTCCGAGGTTCTCTGAGCAATAGCCGTAGATTGAGTTTGAGGACCAACAAAAGTCTTTCAATCGCGAAACACATGTTGGATCTGCTGTGAAGATAGGGCTCCATCGCAAGAAGAATAGGTGGGCTCGACGACAATGTAAAGAAGACATTGAATGGTATAATGCTGGAGAGCTTATGTGTGCGGGCTGGATAAGTTCAATCAATCGGATAACGGGTCTTCGTAGTCAGTGGGAGAAAGAAGCGAATATGAAGGATCCGTTTATTCGATGTCATCAGAGTACATTGTATCTAGAGGAAATGAATTGGGGGAAGCATGGACAACACTGTCGATATCACACACCTATAGTCTCCTCTTCTCGACTTCAAATCGATAAAAAGTCCTCATCTTCCTCAACTAACATATCCAGCAGCTTGAAAAACGACGCCGCGGGAAAGCCAACCACGTTATTGTAGTCTCCTTCGATCTTACGAATCAAGATTCCACCTAAGCCCTGCAAGATATTTTAATAAGTTTGCTCAGAGAGAGAACGTAGATAATAACTTGAATAGCAAATCCGCCAGCACGATCAATGCCCTCTCCGCTCTCAACGTAAGCTTCGACGATATGCTTTGGGCTGTCCGCAAAATAGACAAGAGAGCGTTCGTCTATTGACCTTCGGACTATTTGAGTTTCGTGTTTTCGAAGCGCGGATAGGGTCATCTTACTTGATCATGTACCCTGGAGCACTGAGAACCGGGTAGACTGATACAGTTAGGCACGCGGCAGAGACGAAGACAATACATCTGGCTCACCGACCACCAGACCCGTAACAACTTCGCAAACATTCCCATTCATATCCAGCAACATTCGAAGATTGTCTTCTTTAGAAGATGGTTTCTCCAGCAGTTCTTGGTTATGCGAAGGCAACAACGAATATGACGTGTCGGAAGTCACAGGTTGAGGGTGGGTCAAGACAATGGTGTCAGCTAGGATATCGAATATTAGCGCCGAAAAGGGCAAACAGAGGGTGTGCAAAACCTCCGATGACAAGATCGGGAGCTTCCTCCGGGTTTTCCTCCTAGATATTTTCAGAAAAAAATGAAATAAAAGAAGACGCGAGCGACGTACGACGAGTTTCTCGTAGACCTGGACGGCTTTATGCGTTGCAGTTGCGACAGGATATTCATGGGGTTCTGAGAAATCACTGATAAGCAGATCTTCTGCAAATGTCGATGGGACTATCTCTGGAGCCAATCCCTGTTGATTGGACGCAATGGAAAGCCGCAAGAACAGACATGAGCAGGCTTCAGGATGATGTGAACGTCGAGGATTCGTGATAGACACGCACAAAAGTGCGAAGTATTTCCTTTCTTCTTGGGCTATTCGAGGCGAGTATAATCTTCTTTCCCTTTAGCCTCTCGATGGCCGGGATCTTGAGGGCGTGTGGAAGAACGTGCTCCAACATGTTCAAGATTGAAACATTGAACGTTAAGGAGGGTGGTGCCGTCGGCATTGCCATCAATTTTGGTCTGATCAGGCGACACGTGACTCTACAGGTTCCGAACCTATATTCACAAGTTCGTTCGAATTGAAGTTACTGCAGCCCTAGGATAGCACTTTCCACTACGAGATGAAGAGAAGGACACCACGAAGATAAATTTCTCTCCGGGGAGACACCTTGTCCTCAGGTACTCTGCTGCTTCCTTATGTAAGCTGAATATTTGATCACGATTGCGCCACACTTACCTTGAAAAGGCTCCAACGAAAGGCAAAAAGTGAGAGCAAGGTAGTCCCCATGGGTAGAAAACGAGCTATTCACTTTCAAAGGCTTAGTATTTCCGTATGAATAAAACTCTAGTTCGAATGGGAAATACATTTTTCGAGTTCTGGTCCATTCACGTTGCATTTCCACTTAAATCATGCGCTTTGGCGGAAAAGGGTAATTGGTAGCGGTAATTTGGCCCTTGATACGTTTAATCCTGAGAAGAGGAGTAATACAGGCCAGATGTTTGGTTCGTAACCTGCAACTGACTGTGGGAAGAGCGTTTCTGTCCATTGCGCGGAGCGGCTAGGACTTAACATGCTAACAGCGGACCCTTTCCCACAGTGCGTACGCGTCAGGAACTACCGAGTAGACCCTGTAGACTCATCTTTCACAGAGCCACCTGAGCAGGCCTTTCAAACTTTGCACCCCAGATGCATGATCAAGTTTCAGATCCAGAAGTAGCTTCCTCAGGTTGCATGAAGACATTCTTGGGTATATGAAATTTCTCAAAGCAACGCTTCCGCTAGACACGATATCTAGAGGAAAGAACTGTTGCCAAACCAATGAATTTCCAGGACTAAAAATAGACCTACCTGGGAATCGTTCCTGAAGCCTAATGGGAGTGGACTGAACACGGAAACCTTATCATAGGTGGCCAGTTCTCGGTTTCGAGTATGATCACTATACCCCATAAGTTGTGCTCGAGGCAAGTCGAGGATGGCCGAGCTTGCTATGCAGTCCTTCATTTGATTCCATAAATGGCATCGCTTACCGTCGAACATCTGTTGCGGCAAAAAAAAAGCAAAAAAAAAAAAGAAAAAAAAAAACTCCACCACTGTTCGGAAAGCCTTGGGTCATGAGGGATCTAAGCAGACAAATTCACAGAACGATACGGCACCGCGAATGCCGCATTATTTGCTGGAGGTATCTAGATAATGCCGTCCCTGGCCCTTCTCGCGCCACAATCCAGCTGACATTACCGAAGGGAAGAATGCATCCTCAACGATCGGCACCGAGTGGATTATTTAGAGAAACATGTTGGTTCATGCGGCACCCGAGCACCTGTGGCGAAATCCTCGATGCCTTCCCAAGTGCTCAAGTTTAGCTTGTGATGAAAGCCCGAATCGTTGAAAATGTAGCCACGATCCTCGGGGTCGTCCACGGACACCTTGGACACGAACGCCTTGGACACGAGCACATTAGACCTGCATGGAAGGTTGTATTCTTGAAACGTTAAGCTGACGGAACGAAGGTTTGCATCATCAGGGGTCTTGCTTTACGGTACCGTACAATTACAGTGTCGAAGGTGGTTGAAGGTTTCCCGTCATGAGATTGATCGGCTATGCTTAGACGCTGAGCCACAAGTCCGACGGCAAACATGGCAGATACGAGCTAGGCATGACCGGGCTTCATGGTCTCAGCACCACATTCTGGATGACCAAGATGGCGAAATGCAAAATCCAAGCTTCTAGTTTCCGGCGAGCCAACCCAACACCATATGGGGTCAGTTCCCCAGCCCAAGGAGAAGAACGCAAGCAATTTTCTCATAGACCGACAGGCAACAAGACGGTGGTTTCTCGAGACAGCGCGTCAAAGGTGCCCAATATCGGAGATATGTCAAAGGCAGAATAACGCTCGCGCAACCGCCGCTTGCGGGACGACGCACACGGCGGCCTGGAAAGTTTATGTGATGCGGCAAAGAAAAGAGGCTTAGGGTTCGATACCGAGTAATCGAGGCCGTTTTACACGAGCAGTCTTGGGCTGGCATGCTGGCATGAGCGTAATTGACGTGATCGAGAACACCTCGATCGGGCGACTCTGGGTGAACTCATGGGTAAGTGAGCCACTGTGAACCAACACGTACTGGGTTCGATCATAGTCGCTGAGTGTGCAATGATCTACTCTGCAGATGCCGCGGACAGCAAACGACCTGAGACCCATGGGGTCCATGAAACTATTTCGAGCAGTTCAAAGCATATGGTAAGGTCGACTATACAAGAAACTAAAACGTCGGGTTGAACTATAGTCAGGGGCGGATAATCAACCATAAGTGAGGTACATAAAGCTCACTAAAAGTAGATAATGATAATTCCTCGAGTGATCCATGATACCTTATGGTTAAGAAGCATCAGTCAATACTAGGTTATGGGGAGAGAACTGCAGGATAAATGACATACCTAAGCTTATGTTTCGGCCAATCAAGTTTCTGACACGCCCGGAGCTGAGGACTGCAGTCTCTCGCCTGCTTGCACTTGCTGCACGCAAGGAGCTTCTGGTCCTCGCGCCCGCACAACGTGCATGCCGATGCCCCTTTCAACTTTCGCCTTTCGTCCTCTTGCTCCATAAGCTTTAAGAGCCCCGGGATGACACCCTTCAACCGGGTACATATGAAGCGTGGAGTCATGCCATCCGAGTCCGCGATGTCCACGCTACCTCCATGACTCAGGAACCACTCGAGCGACTTGGTCGTTTTACGAACGACCGCAGGATCACGCGGGTCGTACACCTGGACGATCTCATGTGCTACGGCAGCCCCGTATCGGTTTCTGTGGTTGACATCTCCACCTGCGTCGCACAGGATCTGGGCGTACTCGAGGTCGAAGCCCGGCTTCGTGGAAAAGGAATGGGATAAAGCGGTGGTTCCCGACAGGTCGCGTCCGTCAACTGGAAGTCCGACGCTAATGTAGAACTTGGCAAGTGCAAGGTGTTTCTCCCGGCGTTCCGGAATTATCTGCGAAAGAAGGCCCAACAGGTTGTAGAGTGGCACTACGGTCGGGCCCCAGCGCAGTGCATATAGGTCTTTCAAGACAGCTGCCTTCGCCGCCTGCGAGTCTATTCCAGAGCGCACTTTCTCCTCAGTACGAGTTAGGAAGTCGAATTGGGCCAGAGTAATGTCCCCCCGCATCAACATCTGGCCGAACGGGTCGAGGTCGCGCTGTGGCTGCATGCAATTGCTTGAGTAGAAGGTTCTCAGTCTCAGCGACTCTACCCCTTTCAAGATTTCATCTGTCTTTTTGAGCTCTTCGAGAGGTCTTAAAAATGAGGCAAGAAAATATAAATGACGACGATGAAAGCACCGACCTGCCTTCCCCGGTGTCATGAAGTTTCGCCAGCTGTCCCATTCGCTTCTTGATCATATCATTCCGAGACATTCCGCTCTTGTTCATCTTCGAAGTTCGTAGTAACCGTTGTTAAAGAATCAACTTTTGGGTGGTGTCGAAACCAACAGTCAAGACTTGAAATTTGAAAGGTTTGAAAGAAAGTTGGCAGGTTCGAGTGGCAGATATCGATGAATCATTGAATACTGATGAACATCACAGAAAACGCGTCGATCACGTGACCGTATTTCTGATAAGATAACGGCCGTACCAATGCACGACAGATCGTCATCCGAAGGTTCTTGGGTAGAGCGAGCAGCCGAAACGGAGCCGCAGAGTTGCTAGGAATCACTGACTTTGGTACCGGTGATACATACCTCCTGAAGGAGAAAAGGCCGCATTCCGCAACAAATCGAATGACATCTGAACAATCCAAATGATATTTCAGGAGCCTCTTGGAGCAATCAGGGGGAATCAGGTCTGACATCGGACCCTAAATTCAACCGTTGACGAAGATAGAAAAGTAGGAGATGAATATGGGTGGCTTCAGGTTGGAGAGAACCTGGTGGAGATATAATAGCAGAACCCGAGACGGGAGCAATCGACGTTGATAGTTTGAAGCTAGAATAGATCGGTGGAGGACTATACTCCTTGAGGACGTGATCTAACGCTGTCATAAGATATGGCATCGAAAAGTACTCCCATATGTAAAGCAAAGCAGAGAGACGTCTAGGCGATCAATTCGGCAAATTCTCCATTGTCGACCATCTCTTGAACAATGTCCAAGCCTCCGACGAGTTCGCCATTGACAATCAGTTGCGGAAAGGTTGGCCAGTCGTTCAGAACTTTTAGACCTATCACCACCACCACGATCAATTTGTCCATCATGGTCAGGGAAGACGCCGAAATACGTACCCTGCCGTACGCTCTCGTCCGTAAGAATATCAAAGTGCGTAAATTGGACATTTTGGTCCTTGAGCAAGGCGCTAATCTTCCGAGAGAAGCCGCACCGAGGGACTTCTGGACTACCCTTCATGAACAGCACCACTTTACTCTGGTTCATCAGCTTCCGTAGCCGCGCATTCAGTTCCTCGATCGATTCCTTCTCGTTATCGTGAGTTTTTGAAGGAACTACCGTTGGCGCTTTCGCAGGTGCGTTGTTGGTTTTGGATAAGGGGCTATAGGCTGGGGTGGTTGCGTGCTTAGCGACAGATTGGGTGAGGGCGGGTGCGTCTGCGCCAGCGATGCGGTCCAGCAGAGTGTGGCCCTGGAAGATCATGAGAACGCTAGTCTCTTTTAATCCGGCGAACTTCGTACGCACTCTCAGAACTATGAACGATGGAACAGCTTCAATGTCGAAAGACTCCGCGATGTCCGACTGTTCCTCGGCTTCCACCTGGCCCGTAGAATGATTAGAGCACCAAAATCATTTGAGTCTACCGGGACTCACCTGTAGAAAGAGAGCTGCTGTGTACTTCCTTGCTAATTCTTTCGCGACCTCGTTCATTTGCTTGCACGGTTCCGCCCATGGTGCCCAAAAGTTGATTATCGACACTCTATTTAGGTCAGCCGACAGGAGTTCTTGAAAGTGAGTCGGCGAGGTAATTTCAACGAGATTCGGGGCAGACATAGCGGTCATAAATGGAGGAGTGGTGGCTAGCTTTCGGCGATCGGTAAGGTTTGTCATTCCGAGCTCATCGTCGTTATCGGATAAGATGGCGTTATTCGGATCTATCCGAGTGGAACGGCGCCTCTTCTCGTTCCTTTTTTGGACAACGTGAATGGCGTCGTCAACGACAAATGTCTGCCCAGCGTCGCCCGTCCGAAATATTAATGAACCACTTGAGCCTTTTGATAGCCCCTTGTATCTCAAGTGCTTCAAGGGCCGACACAAGGTTCATGAACAACTTGACACTGTCGGGGGAGCCGATTCGGAGACCCCCACCAGGATATTAGGCAGCCATATACTCAGTGTGTGTAATAGTCAAGGATAGCTGAGCTCAGGAGGACTCCCAGCGAATCATAGAAATCTTCCTCTTGATGGCGGCCCTCCAAAATGTCAAGCAGTCCGGTATCAACCACAACCTGCTGCAGCCGTCGAGAGGTATTTAGTGCGCACCGCACCTTCACCATCTCGCCGAGGTGCTCCAGGACGACTTCAATCACTCCGTTCTTTTCATATATACGTCTTGCAACATTGACAGGGTGCTCGCAGGGCAACTTCCCTATCCTTATTTCTTCGTGTGAGGGAAGTTAAAAGAACTAGGAAAAGCTCCGAAAATAAATCACCTCCACATTCTACATGAAGCTTCCGAGTCTTGACTACGAGTCATTTCACCACAAACGCCAGAGTGGTTAAGACGGCTGGTCTCGGCACAACCCAACGAGAGCGTTCAGGGCTCGACAGTCGACACCACCCTCCGCGAAGCGATAAATAAGCATTTACACTAGATCCTCGACCCGTTCACCGTTTACAAGGAACAGACGTCTATTTTTTCATGGAAATCCGTCTCCCACATCTTGTGGCCTTACTGCGGACATTAATGTCGCGGATGCAGATCCACAAGCGGGTGGGAGTGACCCGAGTTACCTTTCTCAGCCTTTCTCAGCAAGACACGATCAAAATGTTCGATATCAGATTTCCTGAGCAGCTCGTCGCGAGGGACGATGAAGAATGATCAGAGGCACACGGTTCGCAACTGGAATATGACGCTTTAGAGCCGAGGGGCTATTTAATCAAGCAAATTGTTGATTCCGTTGGCGCTAAAAACTAGCCGGTAGTTAAGCCAATACCCAACTTGGACAATGCAATGTTTGATACCTCCCGACCGGTCGCACGCTTCAGATTCAGATTCCCGAATAAACACCGTCTCAAAACCTGGGGTCAAAGGAGAACGCAATTCCCTGTCTTGGTACTGAATTATCGGGCAAAGTTTAAAAGTGCCCTGTGTGGAAGATTAATCGATCATGCGCCACCCATTGGGTTTTCTGTTTTGCGAGCAGGTGCGGCACCTGTCGACCTTTAGGTTGGATAAGTACGCTGTGTTCCGCGAAATGAACGTAATGAGATGAGAAATTTCCGTGAGGCTGCGCTGCTGAGATACCATGAAACACGAGCAGAAGGCGCACTCAACCTCAGGTTGGACCTGACTGGCTGTCCTCATAAGTCAATACTGCACGGGCACAGAATCGAATCCCGACAAGTCGCCGCGTTCCCAAATGGTTGGACATATGGCATACAAGCATTCTGGAATCCAGGCTAATCAGGATCAGGCCGGAGATGGCAGTAGCTACTTGCCGTATACGAGTAAGGCAGCTCCCAGTGCCTTGTACGTGTGGGCAGGGACCTAACTGCCCCGACTTTAGGCCTGTGAAGACGGGGATACATACGAATCGCCCAGCTAAAATATCCATGAGCGCTGCTTCGGCCCTGGACATGCGCATGGAGTAGTCCCAGGGCTTGACATCCCCGGGCGTCCGCCGACGTCGAAGGATAACTAAAGGGTGCAGGAAGTACTGGGGCATATTTTTGAAGACACCTTACGAAAAGACGCAGCTGCATTGAGGAGATGGAACATCAATACGCCGCATTCTTGACGGCAGGCCTCCAGCTTGCGGTGACAGCAATAGTCCAAGCCCTGTCGTGCATTTCAGGATGATACCATCTCGGACCGGGGGGGGATCTAACTTACCAAAATTCAAACCCCTGGATCGATGTGATTAGAAGACCATATATATCAAAGTCAAGCACGCGAGGCCAGCCTGCGAATGCACATTTTCATTCTTGCAGCAGCCTCCCCTTGGTGAGCTACAACGTCCGACAAGTGCGCGCCTATGACCCATGTATACATTTGATCGTCGATGCCTTATCGACGTCGGGTACTGGTCGAGGAAGTGGGGGTGTGTCCTCGGATGATCCCGTAGGTCAAATGTGCACCCATTCTGGTGTTCGCAATGGGCAACAAGAACGCGGGTTCTCACAGAGTCTAGGACATTCAAGCAAGGGCGTCGACCATTAAAAGACACTGGCAGAAGACAAGCGAGGAAAGTACAGGACACAACCACAAACGTACGAACCTCCGCAAAGGCGAGTCCGAAGGAACTAGTGCGCGAAGACATGACCGGCTCAAGGATGTCCTTCTCTCAGAGGCAACCCAATGGGATAGCCGCAGAGACGGACGAGGCGTTAATGTGCATCAAACCACTCTGATACACGCTGCACCAGGTCGGCTTTCTTTCCAGATACGGACTGGCCTTTGGCTTTCAAGAACTCCTAACGCAAACGATCAATAAAATAAAGTTAGAGGTATTTGATAATGCCGGAACCTTTAATTGATCCACGCGCAACTGTGTGTAATAACGTCCAGGGAGAGTCAAATCGCTACTCCATCAAAATCTAAAAAAGACAACTTGCCTTGCTGAGCTGGTCAGAATCGTACTTGCTCTTTATCTCTGCCTCATCAACGCTGACATCCTGTAGTTTGGGTCAATGAACGAAAGATGCAACATGCTGAGGTTAAAAAAGAAAGGAGCAGACGAACCGCTTTGCGTTTCGAACCGGTGGTCGCCACAACTAAATTAGCAGAGTTGTCATTCGCGAGGTCATCTTTCCATTTTTTCATGAAGGATCCGGCGCGCTAGGAGGAAAACGGAATCAATGCGATACATTTCTCGGACTCGTGTCCGGAGTAGCCCAGGGATGAGAAGGCAGGCAGACCTTATGCATGGATTCGTACTTAGGTTCTGTCAAATCCTCGAACGAATCTGGATCGTACTGCTCTCGGAACGCACTCGCTTCGAGCTGTGCGTTGTGATAGGCAAGGGCTGTGTGCGCCACGGGTCAGTTGAGCATGTCCATGTCATAATGGAGCAGCTCGCATAAGGGAGTGAGCACATACCGGGATTGGGGTACGAATCAGGCGGGTATGTTCCGTTTTTTACTGTCATCTTATCGATCCATTTGCGAGCAGCATCTCTCATCTCGTCTGAGGCTAGGTCGAGTCGCGCAGTGTTAATAATATTCCAAGACTCCATTGGTCAGACAGACGGAAATAGTACATACCTCGAAAACCCTCCTGAATGGGGGCAGATCGAATTTCGTCTGCGAAGGGTAACGGAATAAGGTGGAAGCCGGCTGGCTCCGTCCAGCCACTGTCGTCGACGTTTTCGTCCTTTGCACCTGTTCAAAACTTGTTATCGCAGTAGAAGACAAAGATCGAACCTGGGGTAATAGTGCGCAAAAGATAGGTGTCGAATTTCTTCTGGTCATCGCCAGAACAATCGCAATTTTATCTTTCTTTAACATCGACCGCAGTAACGCACTGAATGTGCGTTTGCTTCCTGAAAATGACTTTAAGAAGACCAACCCGCTCTTCGATCAGGTTTGCCCGAGAATTATAATTAACTCGACCCACCATCTCGTCTGGGTAAATGAACTGCGAGTGTTTGATATTATCCTCAAACGCCAGTTCGCTACGAGGTTTAAATCCGAGGAGCTTGATCCCTGATCCAGGATGACCAGGTTAAAATAATACAGGGGGTATAAGCAAGCACTGAACCAACCAGGTTCAAGGCCAAGAGTGCGGAATGATCGAATTTCCTCTGTCGTGAAGAAGGGCTGGAGCATGCGAAGAGATGTGCTCAAAAAATTCGCGTCACTTGACTTCAAAAACACTCACGCGACTTCCAGGTTTGACCAAACGCGCGCCAGCACCACCAGCGGCTTCTTCTCCATCTTCGTCTTCCTCTGTACCACCGGCTCCCTGATCACAACCGTAGACGATTTTCGTCTTATCAACCTCGGCTTGACGGTCCTGACCCAAAATCTCAGTTGCGCAAAACCGCTCATAATCTGATTTTTTACCTCGTCCACATATGTTGTTTTAACGGTTGCTACTTCCATACGATCGCCAAGATCCACGAAGTACTTGTAGGAACCTTTTTTCTGTTCGGTTACCAATCCATATCTGTCTCATTGGTTTTGAGTCGATAGGGATTGGATAGTCTCGCTAGATCCATCAGAAAACACATGTTACGCACCCTTTAATCCCAATTTTGAAGCCATTAGCCAGCTCGAATGGAACACTAAAGAGAGCTCTTTTCGGAACTTCATGAAAGCGCATTTGAGACAGAAGATCTTCGATGCGCGATATGGATATTGATTCTGGCAGAATGGAGGAATCTTGTTGGAGCTCGTCCTCGTCTTCAAGGTTTGTGGGGAGCAGAACGGACTTCAGAAGAACACAAGTCAATCGTGGTCTCGAGAACTATCAGAAATTCTACTCACAGAATAGAATTTGGAGACGTCGAATGGTTTGTCTTCCGTGCTGATGAAAAAAGGTTCCACGGTAACCCCGGCTTGGGTGAGGTCCTGTGATCGAATCGTCTCTTAGGTTTCCGCGTCGGGAACAAGGCAACCATACATACGATCAAGGTCGTTCGCGCGGAAGTAATCAGTTGTTTACTACTTGTTGAAGGATGTGGATTATCCTCGTCTGTAATCAGAAAGACACGCTTCGAGGCTGTCTTTGGAGCGCTGCGTGTTTTGACATCAGTCAGGTTCGAGATAAGGTGGTTCCGGCTGACCCGTCTCGCAGGACCCAGTTGCAGCTGGTAAACACATCTCCCATGGGCACTCTGCCGTGGGTGAGAGGTGGGAACGTTTTTCTCAACTCATCGGGATCTTCACGGGCGGCTTCGGGAATATTCAGCACCGACGCGACGCGACGCGTAAACGAGAACAGACCGTCAAGCAATTGAATGACCTCTTGCACCTTGGGAGCACTGAGTGGGCCAATGGGTTGGAACAGAAACGTGTTTCTCTTGATCTCGGAGCCTTGACTTCTGGACGTCTCTGATTTCCTAGTCTTAACACACGGAGCCGTGTCATTCCGAGGGTCAACCATTAAGCTGGTATCTCACAGTGTTGAAAAGCAATATTCCAACGGAGTCGTTAGGGCCGACAATAATCTTCTTCTTCTGGATCTGCATAGCGGCTTCCAAAGCGGTGAAGAGGTGGCACGTTTGAACGTCTTCGTATTGTGGGTCATCATATGGCTTCAACATTGAGTCAGAGCAGTCGATGCAAAAGAGAATGACATCTTTCTTTGTCTCGTACACCTAGTAGCTGTCAATAAGCTCTTCGCTGAACAACCACCTTCTAAAACTCACAGACGGGTCCTGCAGTTCCTCGTCCTCTTCCTCATCAATATTGTTCCAGTCGTCGTAAGGAGGCATAATTCAAGCAATTCACAAGAAGCCAGAGATGACGAAAGCTATAGTTCAGTAGGAACGGGCGTGATTAGTGGTTGGCCAGTGTGAGTCTATGACTATGCAGAGTGTGGTTTCGTTTCCGAATGGAGGCTGAGTCACACCGCGAGACGCGTTCGTGACAAACGTGACGCGACTCCAATAAGCGTGACCAAAGCCTTCATCCATGACCTTGCCTTCAGCCGCCTCATTGAATTCTCATTTCAGCGCAAAGCTCGAAGACGCCATGGAAAATCAATTGCGAGAACTCCGAGAGGTCACAATTGATGACGTTGCTCGCCTTCACTGCCTACCTTCGACGAAGATCAGGTCCGAATCTGACCTTGATTATTGGAAAACAACAAGGTCTTACGCGGACTACCTTCTCTTTCTGCGACGGCTAAACGAGTCGGTGGTGGGGTTTTCACTCCCTTGGAATCCAACTAGACACACCGAGGTATGCTGGCTTGACTCTGCTTCCGCATTCCCAGATTTAAGCCCGATAGTCAGGCGAAAAGATGATGTCGCTATTGGACCAATTAGATGCTTGGATCGAAGACATCCCCCCGCTCAAGACTCCTCAGCGCTTCGGAAACCTGGCTTTCAGAACTTGGGGACAGCGGCTAGAAGAGGTGAACATCTTCCAGACTCGATCTTATCTAGGTTATTGACAGTTGGTTCCAGAAAGCTGGCGGCCTCCTCGAACAACTCCTGTCACCTACCTACTCATCAGTCATACCACACGTTAAGCCATATCTGCTCGTTTCTTTTGGTTCTTTCACCCGAATGGACTACGGCACTGGCCATGAGACTTCGTTTGGCCTGTTCTTGTTCTGTCTGACACTAGTCCGGTTCTTCAAACCTGTCGTCGAAGAAGAACGCAGTCTAGTTCTGACTGTCTTCCTACGCTATCTCAAACTATGCTGGAAGCTTCAGGACACATACAAGCTAGAGCCGGCAGGTAGCCACGGAGTTTGGGGACTGGACGATTCCTGTTTTCTTCCGTATATTTTTGGTAGCGGCCAACTCCGAGGTAATTGCTCCTTCACCTCGTGCTCCATAGGATTCCATGCTTACTATTGCCCGAACGCTAGACCAGACAGAAATTCCCGTGTCAGCCGTCTTGCAACGCCCTTTGCCACCAACCAATTTATACTTCATGAGCATCATGCGGATTCTCGACGTCAAATACGGCCCTTTTCATGAACACTCCTCCCAGCTTCACTCGATCGCGACCGCGGTGCCCAACTGGGGCAAGGTGAACTCCGGGCTGTTCAAGATGTATGAGGTGAGGAACATTCCGTAATTATACTTTCCTACCCCGAGAGCCTAATGACCGTTCTAGGCCGAAGTGCTAGGGAAGCGTGTCGTGGTCCAACACATTCCATTAGGCGGTCTATTGGAGTGGGAGCACGAGCACGGCCTGTCGACTCGCTCTCAAACTGCACCTTATCCGACGTCTCCGGGCGCCAGTCAAATTTATCCAAGTACGGCGGCACCCTGGGCGACACCAAAGCTCTCTAGCTTTCCTGCTCCTACCGCGCCGAGGCAGGTGCAACATCTCCCCGACTCGGGTTCCCAACATCCTGGCCCGTCTTCCGCCTCTCCGAGACCTCGTCGACCCTTGTAGTCATGCACAGAGGCTGTTGCCTTGTGCCTTAAGATTTCCAGAAGTTGTCTAATAGTCTCACGTAACCTGTAACCTAGCGTCTTTATCCAAGATTGACTCCACATTGATATCCTCGTGTGTCGCAAGTACAAGTATTGACCGAATTTAGCCGCCCATAGAACAAAATGCCTCTTCATTGTTGAACTGTGGCAATGACCGAGCAGAATATGATCTGATTCCAACTGTTAATATTCTCGCGTTATCATTTGGTCCACCACTCTTTCACTGTCCAACGTTGCTGACCCTAGTTTGGCGCCATTAAATTTGTCTACGTTCTACAAGATTTACCGTTTAGCCTAGAACAATTCTATAGCCTTGGAGATGAAATTCTCCTCTGGTCAACTTGCCCTGGTCTATATATGCCACATACGATCTTAGATACTCCCGCCTGACATTGAGAAGCAGAAGAGATTTCGCAACGGCTAAGAGCGCAGCTTCCGCTAATTTAGGTCGTATCGACATGTTTGTTGAACAAATCCTTGAATTATGAGGTCCTGCGTAGTACTCACATCCACCTCCTCCACGATACGGAAGCGCTGGCGTGTGATTTACCCACGGATCCGGTCAACGTCATTTAATAACGGCCCTCGGCACCTTTGAGCCGCTGACCTGGCTATGTAATGAACCGATCCAGGGACCGACGAGTCGATCGATCCAGCTCGACTAAAGCCCACTGATCCTGGCTCGGTTGATCATTGATCCCGACCATGATGGTTAGCTTGTCAGTCGTTGGTTGCCTGCTCGTTTTCTCGAAAACCGATATGTCGAGCTCCTCCCTGGCTCCGCGGCAACCGCAACTGATAGCCTTTGGGGTGGAGCCCTTGTAAGGGCAAGTTGAGCCTTTCGTTTTAGCATACTTCCAGCTTTCATATTCCACGTTCATTACATCTCGTATGCTAGCGTTGGCGACGGCTTTAACAATAATTTCCGAGACATAATCATCGAAGAGGCAAGCAGGATGCTGCAGGAAGCCATGTGCCCCCTTCCGCTTACCTAGTCGAGTCCGTTCTGCTTCGATTTCATGTCTGCACCCTGTGAGACCCCGTGCCTCAAAGCTCAAGCGAAGAATGCGTGTTGCAGAAGATCGTGCGAGGTACGGGTCTTGAGTCGACAGAAAAATGACATGCGGAAGGGGATTCCGCAGGTATTTTTACGTTCCCTGTTGTCGTTGCGAGGAACCATAGTGTCGGCTTTGACAAAAATTTTCTTCTTTTTTTCTTTCTTTGTCAACTGACAACTAAAATATTTCATGAACGCGATTTGCCGTCTCGCAGATACGTGAACATCCAATGGAAACGAAGGCGCAGCAAACCTCGAGGCTGGATTCTATTTGCCCAACATATTGGATGGCAAATCTAGTTGAAGGAACCAGCATCGAAGTGGATGCTAATGGCGGGCCGGTAGACGGCCCGTTGGGAGCCGGCGCATCATGTACGCCACAGTCTTCTCAGATTGGAAGACACGCTCACGAAACTTCGATAAAAATGAGCGCACTGCCCCCCCAATCCCACGGCGTGTATGTAACACCGTCAATCACGCTCATCCAGCACCAGAATCGAGGCGTTTTTCGTCGGACATGTGACGTTATCGAGCTTGAAAATATTTGTTACGGGCATTCAAACGAGCGCTATTCAATGTTGTTTCCGGACTTGTTTGCTGGGGTGCGTGTAATTGACATGACGTCGGTGCAGGCCCACTGACATCAGCTAGGAGATGACATCGAATGACATGGACTATCGACATCAACTCGACATTGCCAGTCGTGCGGGCTTTGAACTGCTGTCTTGTGTCATTCGCAGTTATCATGAACCCGGATGGCTTGCGCCGCCAAACTTGGACTTGAACGATAAAAATGGCACGACGAGCAAGTTCCGAGGACACCTGTGACAGAGATGGAAATGGTTTCGTACACGTTTTAGGAGAAGGGAAAGGCGAAGATCCATTCAGTATCCTTAAGTTCATCATTGACGTCAGTTTTCGATAGGTGATGCCGAGAGCGAACGAAAAGGGTAGTAAAATAGGCGGCTTGAGCCTACGGCTTACCTCGAACGCATGGGGTGCCTCTGTCTTCGAATTGTCCTCGAGGCCTGCCGAAGAAGAATACCTCCCCACGATCGTCTGGACTAAGCAAGCGATAACATGCGTCTGGAGATAGGAAGACCCCCGGTGGGAGGAAGTGGGAGAAGACGGTCAGAAGAAGGACATCTGCGAGTGTTCTGACAATCGGTATGTTGCCCTTACATACTCGATGGCATATTTCGAGACGACACCAGGTGATCGAAGACGACGATGGGAAGATAAGAATTTGCCCTAGATATTGGAATATGTTGGATTTATTCTTCCTATACTTTGAAATCTCCTATGAGGGCCCCATAGTCCAAACACCCTTGAAAGCTTACTTTCCCCGACATATTATCGGCGCTTAATTATTTTGCCACCCTTCCCCAGAAATGCTCGCTCCTCGGGGAAAAACCAAATTTGAACGTTCCCAAGCTGTTAAATTTGAGCCATGGCGGACGAAACTTAACCACCTATAGCTGCAGGAAGTGAAAGACCTGGAACGCATACGAGATAAGATCATTCTGGAGAACGTAAGTCCCAATGTAACTTATAGACGCCGACGGCGTGCGGCGCGAAAAGGCCCCGTGGAAACAAGGTACATACACATAATTGGCCAACTCGGCCACACTCTGCTAAATTCCACCGAGTTCTTGTCAGTCATACTTCATTTCGTAGGACAGTTACGCCGAAACAATTGCGGTGAGGGGGATACTTTCTCCATCTGTTACGGGTGAAAGTACACCTTGAGGACTGAGGTAAGGATTGCCAGCCAGCAAACACGATTCACGAATACCCTTGGGTTGGAGAATCAAGAGCTTCGCGGGAGTACCAGACGCTTATTCCTGTCTGGGCATCGGTACTTTCTTTCCTCCGTCCCGACGTACATCAGTTGCATTCGAAACGAGGAACAACGGACACCCCGCACGCTTAAGTCGATCGAACAAATGGGAAAAAATATATCGCAACACGAACTCATGCTGCTCCGTTTTTCTATTGAAAGCTCAGGAGTGTACGGTGTTCAAACGTTATGCAGCAAATTTGGGGTTTATTGTGGGCCTCGACTCTATCATTGACATTTCAAATTGAAGACCGACATGGAGTTTGCTGTGGCGCACCATTCTCGGAATCAAAAGCGCGGACGATTTTGGGCTGAGCCGAATCGGCAACCTGTTTCGGCCGGTAGCCGGTAACCAGCAACCCCTCTGCAGACGACAAGTGTCTTGACCTCCCTCGTGGAGAATAAGCTTTACTTTAGCGATATCGACGCCGGTAGTGTGATCGGGCGGGCTGCCTCGTCGACACTGCTTAAACCCACCGTATGTGACCTTTGCCTGGTGGCCCTTATTTAGTCACCTCTTGCGTCCATCCTTAGCCATCCTTTGACATTTGGATCAGGAAAGGCACATTTGGGAAGGTACAGGGAGTAGGAGCACATGGACAAGTGCGCCACGCGACCGCGTCCAAGAACACGCATTTGCTTGTACGCCTCGGAAGCTAAGGTATCAGGATGGGTTTTCGCGGCTAAAAGGCACCTTGAAGGCCCGAAAGGTCCGCTGTATTGGAGCCTAGAGACTTCCAATAATACACCTACTATATGATACGATATGATTATGATGGATGGGGGTAGCAATACGGCTAACGGGACTCGAGAGAAAGATATCAATACAAGTCTTAGCCTTGGACCCCGCTTGGTCGTGGCGAGTTTGCCTACTAATACGGCAGGTACAGTAGAATGGGATGTGGTGGATCGTGATGGGATGGAGATGTATTCCTGGGATGAAGATGGAATAGACCATCGTGATGTTGTTGGGATTCATGAAGAAAAGAAGGAACAAAGAACTGTTGATTAGAACCTGGATTCTAGTGGAAAGACCGTCGATCATGGTTGGTGATCTCCTCGAAGACTCGACCGCACGTTAGGTGGCACAGAAGAGGGGTCAAGTAGGCAATGGTTCTCTATAGGAAGCAGGATGGCGAGTGTTCAATTGATCGAGACAGAGAAGGTTGGGTTTGAATGGGGAACGTCGGTCACTTGGTCAGACCAGGGTGCTGGCCACTAGTCGAGGAGAGCAACCCTTCCGAGGTTATCAACATCGATGTCGACGTCTGATCCTTGTCAATCGAGAGACCTCGAGAGCAACAGGCAGCGCCTAGCGGTGACGGCGACGCGTGCTCGTAGCGTGGATATGATCGTTATAGGCATGTCAACCTACGATAGAAATAGCCTATTTCTCTTGAATAAAACCCATCCGCCTTTCCAGAACGTCTGTTGCCTTCCCTTGCTGCTTTGCCCGACGACAATATGTTCGAAATCCAGAGATGTGAGTCCTAGTCCGAGTCGGAGATGTTGGAAGCAATCCTAGTCCCTGGTGTCCATGCGCTGCCCCGCTGTGAACGCCGAACGCGAACGTGAGCGCGAATATGGATGACCAATCGACTATCTTGACTGAGTTGGGTCGGGCCTGGTCTTCGAATCTCGAAGCGAACGGAGCAGATCTCCTTCGACTTTCCTGGCTTATCAGTGTCACCCAATGGAGTGCGAACTGATCATCCATCATCATCAATGATAAAAAGTCGAGGCAGATATGTTCACGAGCGAGCGAAGGGGAGAGGGAAACAAGTAAATTCACCAGAAGAGGAGCACATCCAGATTCCAAATCGGAGGCGCCAACGCCGAGTTTCGATCGCGAAACTCTCGTGCCGTGGGCGAGCAAAGAGATGAGGACAGGTGACTGGAGCTGCTGACGAGCGAGCTGCTGCAAAAAGCCCTTTCGGGCCTCTTTGGGATGGCGCTGAAATGACGAAACCCGCGTACCAAGGTGTCTGAATGGGACCAAGAGTATAGATAAACAATTGGCTCTTGATTGTGCGAGGCTCCGAGTTGAGAGGTCAAGATGAAACGAGGTACATACTGATCGAGCTCCGGCCTCAGGATGTGCAGCAAAGTCGGCATGGGCGCTCTCTTTCGGACGGTAGGCCCGCAGGGTACGACGGCGCTCGTCCGTACTGAGAGGAATTCGGGTGCAGCTGCATGCGGACGCAAATTTCCTACTCTCGCGGCCTCCCACCGGACCAGCGGAACGTAGAGCAGACTCGAGGCAGAAAAGTGGCACACACTCTAGGGTCATGAGGGTCACAGGCCCGCCTCTCCCAGTTCGAAGGGCTCAAAGACAAAACTAATCAGGGAACAAAGCTTGACAGGTAAAGAAGAGCCGTAGCGCACCCGTCTCCCGTCACCGCTTCGAACGCGCGAACTGTACGGTTTCTTTTTGTGGACGCAATGCGGGTGGCTGGAGTTAAACGTTAAACCCTAGTGCGCATCAAGGCTTCGGAGTCTATCAGAAGAGTACGTTGATTATCGTCTGCGGTTTCCTTCTCGAGGTGCTCGGTCGGGCTGCCAGGGCCCCAGTTCGCACACAAGGCTAGAAACCAAGGAACCAATAAACCATTGACGTCACTAAGCCCAAGGAGAGTGCGGTAAGGAACGGCTGATAATCTAAACATCAAGGTTCAAAGCAACAACGCTTGAGCGCTAAGAACATTGACAAGACCCCGCATTAGTTTCGACGTGCTGCGGATTGCGACTGTCCGCACGAAGTGGCAAGGTCAGAGGTCAGGGAGTGAGAAGCCAGCCTCGGTGCATCTTACCGCACTCGTCTTTTGTCAACGTCTGTCCCGCGCGGCAGCCGACGGACTTAACGCAGGTTTCTTAATGACTGCGGTGCACCCCAGAGAGGAAGAATTAAAATCCGGGCGTACGTACTGGAAGAGAAGAACTTCAAGCGATCCAGTGGCGCGCATTGCTGTGTCAACCCAAGAGAAAGGGTACAAATTGCCCATTTAAAGGCTTGTACGGCGTGCACGAAGCCGCCTAGGTGGACACATGAACACCTTCGCATATGCAACGAAGACAGCGCGAGGTCCGACGATCCAGAATGCCAGACTTATGCAGATACGAGCGGCGGCGGAGACACGGGCCATCAAGTCGGAAACAAAAGTTGGAGAAGGATTGAAAGAGGGTTTATCTGCCCGTACGTACGGGAGAAGAAAAAACGTAAGTCCTATCATCCGCGTTGGTTGAAAAAGAGGGTATGTTTTTGTCGGGCTTCCTGAGAACGTGGTCGTCCGTAAAAGATTCAGAGACGAAACGAACTGTGAACTGGTGCAATTGCGCTCAGAGTGTACGCAGGGCCACTTGCAGTCCGGAAATGAGAAGATCCCGAGAGCACAGAGCAGAAAATAGCAGCACGAGAGCACAGAGAGACACTTTGGTCTGAATGATGTGCCTTCCTCGATGTCAGAAGGAGAAATCGACAAGAGAGCATTGCTTTTTATGGGTTTCCTCCATGATCGATAGGGCCAGCCTTCCCTCCCGGGCCCTGACCGGTTTCTGTCAGGAGATAGGCGCTGGTGACGCGCAAGTGTTCAATATCCCGTTGAATTTCACTGAACGATCATGACGGTGCTCGCGAAGGGATTTTCGCGATGGCCTCGAGGCATAGCCATGCGGTGAATGGCTGTGTTGTGCCGGGACAGGCCGAGTCATCGATAGTTGATTCAACTCCGCCACAATACTGTTGTCTTCTCCAACCAACAGCGAAATTCCACCTAGCATCTTTTATTGAATCTCTACAGTCGTCGACGTATCGTACGGCGTAGGGAACACCGAGTTCCACCATTACTGTCCAGAAAAGAAACAGCGATCTCCGGCTGTTGACCCTTGAGTGCGTCCAGTTCGTGTTCTAAAAATTTTTGCCAGCACTGACGAGGATTGTCGGATCCTCCAAGGTGGTCATCCGTTCGAGGTTCGTGTATTCCAGTTGTTCAGCCGTTGTATAGCCTGACTTATGGCGATCCTTGATCCGCACAGGCGAACCTCCCTGACAGGACCTGTCTGTTCTTCTTTGACCACGTAGCAGTTATAAACGAACTTGCGCCACCACTTCCAAGGAGCCCCCTCTTCCCCACCCAACCACCTCTATTCGCCCTTAAAGCGCTTTCCTCGCTGTACAGGGAGCGAGGAACCCACATCGACTGACAAAACCCCAACACTTGCCGTCCTCTCCCGCCCGGCTCGCCATCGACCGTGGCGGTTCAGGTTCGGTAATCAGGGTTAACGCACACAATCCTCACAGATTAACGCAAACCTACCTCAAACCACCAACTTCCTATTCGCACTACTGGCACGCCTCACTCGCAGTTTCTCATCCACCAACACCACCAACCACATAGAGTCTTCCATAGACACACTGCCGAAAAGATCAGATTCAATGTCCCGTTTGGAAACGCTTCCTCCAATCAACCCTATTGATTTCAACATATCTTCGTCTCCTGATTCCTATACCCGGTTTCATGAAAGTAACTTACCATGGGCGACCAATGCATTACTCAACGATATTCTCTCGTCATCACCTCCTCTTCGCGTAACCGCCACGCCGCTTTCTGCCAGCGGCGACTCTCACGTCAACAAGGGAGAAACCATCTTTCCCTCTCTACCACCCCTTCTTACGGGGCACCCTGAAGTCCATCTTCGCAATGGGATCATGAATGCCTCACGTCTGGCGGCCGCTCACGAGCCCGACGCCGAAAAGGCCTTCTTTGTCGCTGACCTCAGCCAGGTCTACCAACAACAGCAACGATGGAAGACCAGTCTCCCCGAAATTCAGCCGTTTTATGGTACGCCTCCACAACGATTATATTTAAATCGCGTACACGCCCTCACACGCGCGTGTGCGTTTCTTGTTTTCTTTTGACAGCGGTGAAGTGCAACCCAGACCCTTATGTGATTCGCCTCCTCGCGGCGATGGGAGCAGGGTTCGACTGTGCGTCAAACAACGAGATCGCACAGGTGCTCAGAGTGGGTGGGATCGACGCGTCGCAGATCATCTTCGCGAACCCGTGTAAAGCTGTCTCGTTTGTGCGCAACGCAGCGAAGATGGGCGTCGACCTCATGACGTTCGACAACGCTGACGAACTATACAAGATCAAGCGTGCGCACCCACGCGCGCGCTGTGTCGTGCGGATCCTTACCGACGACTCGAAGAGCCTTTGCGCCTTCGGGATCAAGTTCGGCGCACCACTTACTACGGTGCCCGGCCTGCTCGCCAAGGCACGCGAGCTGGGCCTGGACGTCGTCGGCGTGTCCTTCCACGTCGGGAGCGGATGCTACGACCCCACGGTCTACTCGGACGCGATTGCGCGAGCGCGGCGCGTGTTCGAGATGGGGAAGGAGGCTGGGTACCGGTTCTCGCTCCTAGACGTCGGTGGCGGGTTCGAGGACGCGCTGTTCGAGCAGGCCGCGGCCGTACTGCGCACCGCGATCGAGCAGTATTTCCCCGATCGCCGCGAGGAGGGCGTCAAAATCATTGCTGAGCCAGGGCGGTTCTATGTCTCGAAGGCGTTTAGGCTCGCCGCCAATATTATTGCCCGGCGTGCCCCACTTGGGGGTGCTTCGACGTCGACTGCCGCTGCGGATTGTAACGAGATCGATACCCCTATCGCTATGTCTCCGTCGCAGGAAGAGAAAGAAGACATCTCAGATAAGCCTGCTGTCATGTGTGAGTGCGATCGTCGTGTCCTTCGTGCTTTGGTTCCCTTTCAACTGACGGTTTTTTCTGTCTTTCTATTCTCATCGATGTGTATATGTTCCTCCGTCAATGTCTGGACACCGACCTTTGATCTTTCACATCGATTCGGGGCCGCGCGGCAGACTACATCAATGATGGGGTATACGGAGCGTTTAACTGTATTCTTTTCGACCACCAGGTCGTGCATCCTTACGTCCTCTCCATGCGGGGCTCGTTCCATATCTCGCCTTCCGAGCCGACGCACATCAGCAGCGTCTGGGGCCCGACGTGCGACTCGATCGACTGCGTCAGCAAGAAGACCGTCCTTCCCGCGGCGTTGCAGGTCGGAGACTGGTTGGGCTTCGATAACATGGGGGCGTATACGGTTTGTGCGGCGAGCCAGTTTAATGGATTCGAGGTCAGCAACGTCATCTACACGACAGGTGGCGCCGGGGGGTTCGAGGTTCGGAGCACCCTCGCTGCATTCGCAGCAGCAGGGCAAGGAATGGGGGTGTAATTCCAGTTCGAACGACCAGAAACTTGTTTCGTCTTCCCCCTTGCCTGCTCACGCGCACGATCGATTCTCTTTATTTCTATCATCAAATTTCGCTCTCGTTATTGATGAACCTTGGACCGTACAGTCGATGTACACGCCCCGCCTGTAGACGTACATGCAGACATATGATAGTCGTGATGATATTTACCCCGAAAATTTACATGAAAGTTTATTTTAGCTGATTGGGAGTCCGGAAATTGGCGTCCCGGGACCTGGTGAATGAATATTGATGGTGATGGAAACAAAAAATTAAAGTTTCTGTAGTCGGTCCCGAGGAGCGATAAGGGCGGGCCGCAGTCACCACAGCTGCTCGGTCAGGGTGCGGCTTGCGCGAGCGTTCGGTTCCCACGACTGGTTTGCCTGCTTTTGAGCCAGCCCGTCCGAGCTTGGGGAAGAGCGAACCGGCGATCGTTCGCGATCGAGGTGGGCCTTGTCAGGAACAGCTCATCGCGTCATCGCAATCGCATGACAAGTGATCGAAATCGAATCGGAATCGAAAATACCGTACTTGTACGCTATAGTACCCGGTCGGATTGGAGTATTGGTGCTGGGAACGCTCGGTACACAGACGGTTATGCGTTTTGAGGGATTGTATACTTGGGGAATACCTCCTTCGGGGGCCGCTTTCGACGAGCGAGCGAGACGACAGCCCGACATTTATACTTTTGCCTGGTGGCGGTGGGATGGGAGTCGACGCGGGAGTGGGCGGCGAGCGCGTCGTTAAATTCCATAATGGCGTCCTTTTCACCTGCTCGTTGCTCCGCAGCGTTGATGGAGCACGCCGGACACGCGAGGGCGCGGCCATGGGCTAGATAATGAGACACCGTCGTCACCACCAACCGGGCATGTTCCATTCAACCGTGGGTCTCTCGAACAGCGTTCGCGCGCACGCCAGGAGCTGCGATGGCGACCGTGTTGACCTCTGCGGCCCCCATGATCCCCCATGATCATTGGCCGTGTCTAGGCAATGTACCTGCGTACACTAGCTTCAATGACAGCCGGGGGAGCATCATAACTCTCGGTCTATTCCAACGGAACCCCCCGTTTGACGTGGGCGTTTGTAATTATAACCAGGAGTCGCTATGGACGTCGATGAGGGTCGCAGCGGGGGCCGTCCACAACACGCCGTACTGGAATAGGCAAGCCCCCTCAGGGACGAAATCAAACGAAACCCCGCGAAAAATTGCACAGATCACATCTGGTGGGTTTGGTTCCCCTTTTGCGGGTTGCTACAGATTAGAATCTTGCCGACCCAGGCCGCATCACCTAAAAGCTTGGAATTCCTTTTCCGGCGCCTGCTGGTGACATATTTACGCGTGGTTCGCCCAAATTAAGTCTCGCTTGATCTTGAGAGAAGGATGAAATGTCGCCGTCGGAGACAGACCGAAAATGCCGTCAGAGGGCCTAACAGCGCCTTTTCAATTTCAAGGGCCTTTGCTTCAGATTGGGTGCATGATGCCACGAGTAGATATCCCGGACTCGAGCATTCTTCCGTTCCAGATCAACTGATCCACACACCCGCCTCTTTCTTAGGCACTCTGCAGATCCCACTAGCCCGGGTGCTTATAAGTAGCCTCCCCTGCCCGCGCAAATTCCTTTCCTGTCCTCGCCTTCAAAATGACCAGTGGCATGCTCCAAGTAAGCGCCTCACCCCCTCGTGCCTTTTCCTCGAACTCCTCGAACCTTTATGCTAATATTTTCCCCTCTCCTCAGGAGACCGTTCAAACGTCGCCGTCGGGGTCGGCCCCTCGCTTTCGACCGTTCGCAAGTCCAAACCACCATGTAACGAAAGGGCGGTATATCACGAGTAACGACCCTAGAGGTTATATGTGCGTCGTTGTCTTCCTTCGCCGCCGTGCAACCGTTTATTTTTGTCTCCGTTCCCCAGACCCGTCTATGAGTACCCTCTCAACGGTCAGTGGATCATGATGGACATCGATGATGGGTATATTTTGTGGACGGGGATATGGAAAGGTGCGTTATTGACAGCTTCTTTCGTGCAAGTCCAATCCTCGCTGACCGCGCTCCTTTTTCTTCTATCCACCCCAATTTCCGAACAGCTCTCGGTAATTCGAAAGGTGTGTAACCGTAGCCCCACCACGGCCTCCAGAAAGATGTTGATGATGATGGCATTTCAAGCCGACATAGTCAAGATGATCGACTCGCAACCTGATCTGGCGCCTCTCATCCGTCGGGTTCGTGGAGGGTACCTGAAAATTCAAGGTACATGGATGCCGTATGAGGTGAGTGCTCCTCGTCGCCCGTTGCCATACGGCAGACGCCACTCAAGTCCCAAGACACGGCACTGACGAAAACCCCTTGTGCTCTCTATCAGGTCGCCCTCAAGCTCTCTAGAAGGTATTTATTATTTCCGTCAACGGCCCCTTTCCGCGGACGCGCCGCGGGACGTTTGAAGCCAAACCCACTAACTGCCCCTTTCTCGTTTTCAGGGTAGCATGGGCAATTCGTGAAGACCTTATTCCACTATTTGGGTATGTCGCCATCTCCTCAACGCGCCGCCCAGCTGATAATTATCTCGTATTTCCTCCGCAGACCCACCTTTCCAAGCACTTGCTTGTCGCCTGACCAGCCAGGATACGGGCAAGTGGTCCCTACTGGCCAAAACCGGCGGCGGGCGCGCCGATCCACACAATCCTCTATCATGCAGATGCCTCGCGCTCCTGCGGGCTGGACGGTCGTTACCCCCAGCTCGAACTCTGCGCGGGAAGCCCTGCCGCCCCTTCATCCTGTCAGCGCGAGGTCGGCAGATTACCCCATGGCGTCTCCTTACTCGTCGCACCCACACATACGGAGCGGGACACCGTCCGACCTACACCACATACCGCCTCTCCAAAATCCGGTCGATATGCACCTCTCGAGCTCGTCAATGGTGCACGACTCTCATCGCTTCGGCAGTGGCCCGTACAGTGCCCCACCACCGTCGTCCTTCCGCAAACCGGCGTCAACGTCGCCGGGCAAACCTGGTCTTATGCTCGACATCCACTCGCTCTCCATGCGAGATGGACCTCACGAACCACCGCACCCAAAAGAAGATTTCAGGCTACCGCCAATACAGGCGGCTGACGGTGGCAGTCCGACCCACTCGCCGTACGCCTTGCCACCGATATCGGCCATGGAAGATTTGAGGGGCACGGTCACTCAGGACTCGGCTGCCGTTCTGCGGCGGCTACGCATGGACGACGACGAGTATCCTAGGGCAGGAAAGCATATCGATGGGCTCTCATGGGGTAGACGCCATTCCTTGTCTGTCCATCCTTCTTCATCGTGAGTTTTGCCATTTTTTCTCTAGTGCCAGACGATAAATTTATAACCCCTTTGTCGTATCTCCAGACGGTCCCTAGACACCTCTCCTCGCTTCCAGCCGTACACAATGCCCCGTTCGTTCCAGGACCACTCGATGTACCGCGGACGTTCCCCGTCGACGGCCCCAGTATACGGCTACCCGCGCGCAAGTGGCTCAAGGAGCGAACTTCCTCGTAACGCGTACTCAGACGCCTCGCACGAAGGTGACTCAACGTCCAACCCCTCGCCCACCTCTCCTACTACCCCCAACTCGCTTTCAGAAAGCGAGCACACACGCTACACGGGTGGGAGCGTCGTTCGCGGAAAACCCTTCCCTTCTTTCACCGTTGACCGCCTGGGTCAGGACCGTGCTCCTGCCCATGCTAACCCGGATCCACACAGTTTGTCGGTGTCTGACACCATCTCCGTCCGCCGCAACTCGTACGATGTCCAGAGCGACAATGACTCGCACCAGCCCCACCGCCCGTGGTAACGTATGCTCTCCTCGTTCCTTTCGCTTTTTATTCGATCTATATACCTCCTTCGTTCGGTCGGTCTTTTGCTTCCTTAATTTCCACACATGCATACGCACAGGCATCGTTGTACAGATAATTCGCGAGTTATACCCACATAGCTATCACAGTGTACTATAGTCTATAATCCGCAGGCGCCATCATACACCTATACCACGTATCACAGCAATGTCGATTTGTCCCACCCAAGTAGCTAGTACCGGTTTTGCGCATGCGCAGGCGTTGTTGTTTTAATGAAAATACAAATCTTAATCTCCGATGGGTATCGAGCGTCCAAAAGTGAGGTTTGCATGGCCTACTTTCGAAATCTTGCGGCGTTCCACAAGATTTACAAGAATAAAATCTTTCCGCGGAATTAAAGCGACAACTATCCATACCTCTACGTGTTCAGTGGCCAGGAGCACCTGAGGCCTTGTCAAGGCTTCTTGCCATGAGGTACAGTGAAAATCTGGAAATGTATGCGATCCTGGGACGCTGTGAAACTGGTTACTGTAAAAAGCAAATCGCGGAGTAATGCCCTACTATCTCGACATTGGGGTTCGTCGACTTACCGGTCCTCTGGGAAGATCCCAGAAGTGTCTAGGCGCCACTTCGTCAGGACCTGATGCCAGATAAAAATACGCTGGAGAGGCCTCGGAACTTGCATACGAGCTCGTACACCAGCTGGGAGAGTGGTAGCTTTTCTCGGTGCCGAGCCTTCCTCATGCATTTTTAGAACCGAAGATTCACCTGTTCTCTCACCCTTGTAAGAACGGGTGCATTCTCCAGGGGAAGGAACGGCCGTCAAGGCGGAAAATAGTTGACTGAATCAAGCTCTCACCAGGAATGCCAGCTGGCCAGCGAGCCGCAGCTGTCCTTGGAAGTTGCAATGCAACGGGCATAACCGTCGATTTGACCGACAGAAGCTAGGGAACAGAACCAAAATGAGTACAATAGGACGGTTGTTCGGTAACAGCGCATACCTACTTTGGGTTGCCCGGCGACGCGCGCTCAAGGTTGCCCAACACATGACCTTAATTATGGCGACTCGGCCGTGACGACCGCGCGAAAAGCGCTAATGCAAAGGCAGACTACTCGTATCTGCACCCACCGACCGCATATCTGAAGAGCAATTGCTCACACGAACGCAGCAGCTAATACAATTGGATGACACTCACGTACCTGACATCCTGAGTTCTGCGGAAGAATAAAAACGGAACGAGACTCGAGGGTAGAAACCCACACGATGTCCCGTACTGAAAGCAAGGTTGACGATAGCGGGTGGGCCGTCCGGTTCCCACTGCCGGTCGTTGAGCGGATATGAAGTCTACTGCAATATTTCTCCACATTCGCGGTGCCGGACATGGTGCTGGCAACGTGTCAGTGATGAGAGACCGGGCCTTTAGCAAGTAGTATGGCATTAAACGAGCATATTCGACTTCATATACTGCGCACAACGATGGAGAGCAACTGTTCAGCAGTGACGACAATATGATGGGAGCAGAATTCTAGTTATCGAAGATGGAGCAGTTTTTACAACCTAACAGGATAAATTGTTGAGTACCACAGTTCTGGAATTGTAGAAGAACATTCGATCAAGGCCGGACTTACCCAATGACTCTCATAAGAATAAAACCAACGGTGGAGACGACCTGGGAATGGGATGTGAGCATCACTGAGGCAGAAAGACCTAAGTCCCGCTGGACCAAAACTAAACTCACCAGCGTGGCAATTATGCTCGCTGGAACCCCGTTCTTGAGGAAATCTACATTGGTCAGATACGCTTCGCCCAATTCGTTCTCCTGGGTAGCTCTGAGGGAGGTAAACAATAGATGTATCAGTAGAAGGATCTAGGAGGCCGGAGGTTCGGCAGAGAACAAGAAAGATGGACGAACGCAGTTTGATTTGGGAACCCAGAGACGGGCATCCCCATTCCCGTCGAACAGATGAGGCCGGTGATAAAGATGAGCAGATTTTCATGATGTCCTGGAAGACTTTTTCCGACTGCTTGTGCAATTGGAACCAGTAGGACACTGGCTATCGTGTGACTGATGAAAGTCGAGACAACCTGAAAGAATGGATTCGTTAGTATTTCAAGGCGGTCAGAGAGGAACCGAGTCGGTCGTTACGGCCGTCATATCGCCTTTGAGGAGATACACGCGAACCACGGTAGGTCAGATGAGGAGAGTAACTGACCAATACGACAGGTGATAAAATCAGTACGACCCCATAAAGCGAGACCCCTGTGACGAGGTCTCGAATAGCGACGTCCAGGACATCCAACAGTCCACTAGAGACCACGCCTTTGCCCAAAGCGATACCTCCCATAGCCAAGAATACAATCGTCCACATGAAATGTTCGAAGTCATCCTGCCATAATGAACCAAGAAACAAACACACAAAGGAGAAACCCGGCGAGCAGCGAGAAAGAAAATGGAAGACGTCAGTCAGTGTTGAATTCATTGGCTATTGAGGTTCCCAACATTGGGGCCAGACGCACCTTCTTGAGGACGTTAGTCGAGAAGAAAGCCACAATGGGGATGATAGCGATGACCCCCATATCGCCAACGTACTCCTCGATCTGATGGGCAATGCACCACAAACCAATGGTCACGATGCACACGAAAGTAACCCAATACTGCTTCAGAGTGAATGCCTCACGGGTGGGGCGTATCGGCTTGATCTCAATGTCTCCCTCGCCATCCGGAGACCGTGCCGGATGGTAGGAGACCAAAAGGAACAGCCAAATGATGAGGATAGATATGGCCGAGACGGGAAGTGCGACGATAAACCACCGGCCCCAGTCCAGTGGCGGATCCATGTACTGCAAGGCGATCAGATTCTGAGGTGACGAGATGGGCGAGCTCTGTCCGCCGATGTTCGCCGCCAATGCAATAGCGAGCTGACGAAAGGCCACCCGGCCAAGAAAGAAGTAGGGGTGAATGTCCAGATCGTCAGGGCTTCGCGAAAACTTACGATGAGGCACGGTCCGAATGACGATTTGGGTGGAAGGGTCCGAAGAATAGGCTGGAGGAAGACAAATTATCAGTCAACACGAATGTCAACGGTGAGAGTGGCCAGATTGACGGAACCGGGCGGTAGCGACGCGTTGCTACTTACCCGGATTAACGTAAAGCATAGTGTGGGGGCGGCAACGTTGCTTTAAGAAAAGAGTCAGCTGGCGGTTCCAAAAATTGAACAAGAGGATAAACCGGAAGATCACAGAAATGAGATGATACAGGGACACGACATCTACGAGGATAAGGGAGAAACTCGAACCTAATCCACATGGATGCGAAGCAGGACACTCCCATGAATGCAAGAAGGACGGTACTTGGGCGGGTGCCAGCAAGATTCAACACGCGTGTGATCAAGACGCGGTCGATATTGGTCTTACTGAGGGCAGAAGAAATTGTGAAGCCGCCGATGAGGAGCATGATGGTGGGAGAGAACATAATAGAGAAGACATATCTGGAGCCAGATTAATCAGAAAAACAGCCTCATGGAGGACAACGGTGCATAACATACTTTGTAGCATCAGTCCGGCTCATTCTTACGTCGTCGTTGTCGCGGATAACACGGCAGAGCACCAACAGAAGAGGAACAAACATCGAAGTCACGAAAAGGGGTATCGCCTATAAGGTGCTCGTTGAGTTAAGGACAACAAGAATAGAATCGAGGAAACGCACCTCAGTAGCCCAAAGGAAAGTACAAAGTGTCAGAATAGCAAAACATCGATTGGCCTCTTCACTTTCAACGACTTGCACATTCAGCATGATTGCGAACAAGAACGCTGCCAGGACCTTGAGGATCTTTCGCTTCGTGATCTTGAATTTGCCCACAGGCGTCGGAATGTCAACTATCGCTGGCTCAGGTTCCTGCACCAACGTTGCTCCAGCGGTGTCGATTGTGTCGCCCTCTCCTCGTCGCTCACGACCAATCATCTGTCTCCAGACGGTGTCGCGCTCCCAAGCGATGTTCTCCCGTTGGTGCAGGCGTAGCTGTTGTCGGGCAAGGTTTTTGTCCCCACGGGACACGCATTTGGCGTACAGGTCGTGCAGATGGTTGAGGGCATCGTTCACCCGGTCTTTCGCAATTTGAGTGAATGGCAGAGCAACCTCGACGACTTCATGTAGGTAACGGTCCTTCAACTCAGAGTAAGTGACCTTGTCATACCTGCAATAGGAGCTCAGCAGGGGATATTCAAATGATAGAAAACTTACTTCTTGATGATTTTCCGGAACCCAGAATAGTTTATCTCCACATACGACTTGAGATTCGTGAAGGAGATGTACAGGTTAGTAATTCGACGCTTGTAGAGCAACCTTGTGTCGTAGGCGTAGTCGGACTGAGATGTCCAGATCGTGTGCTCGACAGTTGCACTCGCACTCGACGTGATGCTGTCCCTCATGTTGGTGAACTTGGTTTGCAGTTTGCTAAGGGTACCCCTCTTTGGTGGCTGCAATGACGCATAACTCGTCTCGAGACCAGGCCCATCATCTTCGTTCGATGATATGCTTTGCCTGCGGAGTATAGGCGAGGCGTCCGGAAGACCACTCGGACCGCCTTGGAACCACTCCTTAGTGAGCAGCTGAGCCTAAAGAGCAACGTGCGACACACCTGGCAGCCGCTGGCCCCTTGCAGCAGAACTGGACTTCCTTCGTCGCCTCGTGCCGACGGGGCTCCTGGAGATACTGTCGTCGTCTTCTTCATCTTCCTCGTCAAAATCCTGGTAGTGTTCTCCACCACGCAGACCTATCTCCTCCTGCAATGCAACATCCTTCTCTAACTCCTCCAAGTCGTCAAGAAGTTCCTTCTCTTGGTGTTCGTAAAAGAGAACGATCTTCTTGAGTTCGCGGTCGAGGAGGGGAATGAACAGGCTATCGGTATTCGATGCGTCGCCCTGGCGAAGCAAAGAGCTGTGCTCGTTGGATTCGATGTCGTGTAACAGGAGATGTTCATGCCCGGCTTGCTGCTTTTCCAGCTGGTATATGTACTTCTTGAGGGCATCGTACCTAAACTCCGCTTAGCCACCTGGCAACACTCAAGGCTTTTCTGACTACATACGCAATGTATTCGTCCCACCAGTCAGCTACGGCATTGAACTTGAGTGAAGAACTGGGGTCATAAGAATCTGTCGGTTAAATGGTGAAAGGATAACGCACCTGAACTTCATAATGAAGGATTGGTGGACAAGGCTTTGTTTCTTCCTTGGATCCGATAGAGGAAGAAGGGGTATGGACTCCACGTTGGCTATTTGCTGGGGTCGATGGCTATATATCCATCCAGGGATGCTTGCAATTCCCAGGAAGAATGATGTGTATACGTGACTACGTCGAGGAGGCGTGGACGGGACGGAAAAGAGTACTGTCTCGAGGCTAGAAAAGGAAATGCCAAGCCTGCATTTTCTGTCCCTGATCGGTTCAGCTCTTTCGTCTGTCCAACGTCTGTTCCTCGCCTTTATGACAGATACTTTGAGAACAGGCGTCTATTTAGGCCATCGGAGTTCTTCTGGCTTTATTACTAGTAAAATTTTTACTTACTTGAAAGCTGCAAAATACCCTCTTGTAGGTTGCCGAGTGTCTATTTTTAGCTTCACTCTTTCGAGCCGACTGTCATGGGCTGCAGCGAGTGAGGAAGACAATTTTACCATCGAAGTCCATAGGAAGAAAGTTTGGCAATAAAGGAAGCACCAAGCCATGCCGATTTCTTGGCATCGCAGGTAGATCGCTGCTAGAATCCCGGCAAGGCGTCTCAGGCTCGTGTGCCAATTTATGAAGAGCTCGGATAGTCAAGGCACGAATTGCGAAGTAAATTTCATACAAGAAGGGCAGATAAAAATGCGTGTATTAATCTACGTGTAACCTTGGAATAGATATTTGTGGGACGACAGCTTTGTATTTCAGAATGTGAGCTCGTAGCCTTGGAGTTATGTCTTCTGACTCTTGTCTCTTGGGTTCAGCGTCCTCCAATTTGCGAGTATTTTGGCCAGCTTGAATGCCGTATCCTGGACAAGTAGCTGATAATGATTAGAAATAACTAGGCTAGTGAAATAAAATGAACGCACGTTGGATGCATGGGGCCCTTCTCCAAGGCCATAGGGAAACATCTCCGGCGGAACGTGTACACAGATGCTAGTTGCGTGGCTAGTCACGCACGTGCAATTGAATGGATTCGATGCCGACACCTTTATTAATATCTCTCTTGGCTAAGGTTTTGAGTTGATGATAACAGCTTTTCTGGCTCTAGAAGAATAGCAGGCAGCGTCACTGGCGCAAGGTGAAGTGTCAAACAAGAAACCAGTTACAGAGAGGTGACAACACCGAATACGCCCGTGACGTCTTGGGGTAGCCCTTTGATAGTAGTCTGTCCCTTCGGCGCTTATTGATCAGCCTTCAACAGGACGAAACCCTGGTCTAAAAGGGTTGTCAGGCAAACAGAGGGATATTGTATGCTTCCCTCTGTAATGAATAGGAAGCTCCATCTGTTCCAGGACAATAGCGCATTCAGTGAGCGTCAACTATATGGGGACGCAATATTCTCAAAACGATGTCAAGAACTCGGGAACCTATCAGAAGGTGAAGAGTTTGAGTTACAGCAAGATTTTTTTCCGCGCCGTGTTTAAGTCAGGCAACTGGATGGAGAAGCCTAGAGAAGTAAAAAAAAGCATAAATCCGGACGTGCTTACCTCAAAGTAATCAAAGTGGGCGGGTCTGGGAAGAGGATATATCCTGACAATTGTGCATGGGATGTCACCACTTGGGCTTGAATGCGTAGCAGTTCCCGCTCTGGTGTCGGTTCCTGGCATTAAGGATGCGAGCTACCGCTTGGATGATAGTTGCTGACAGCTAGCTTGTGGAGAAGCTTGACATCCAGCAACGTTTTAGTAAAGAGGATGAGACATATCGCCACACGGAGGGGGCACGTGACATGGTGGTCAAGAGTCAAAAGAACTTGAAGAATGGCGCGTCCGAATGCACCAGGTCACGTGCATAATCGTTGCTTATTTAGGGTAGTCGACTTCCTCACTGGGAAAGGCTGGGCAAGACCTAATGCTAAGACCTAATGCGAATCGGAGAATCAAACAGCATAAGTTCATCTCGTAATTAAGCACATACGCTTAAGACGATTACATAAGTTGTGAGGTATCTAACTAGAGATAGGAGTGAGTCCAAAAACTAAGGTCCATAATATGGGACCAACCTTCCTGAGAGGACCATTCTGAGTCTCCAATCACGCCCGTCAGTTGACGTGATGCGAACGAGTCGTAGTTTCTCCAAAGCATACTGATGAGGATTAAATGACATTTGGTGGTCTTCTGACGTCGGAAGTAATGGAATCCGTATCTGTTATCAAGTCATCGTGGTCAGCACTGGAAGGGAGGCAACAAAAATGGATCGACTACACCAACTTCAAAAAAATGTCGAAAGGCATGAACAATTTCAAGCCCTAGTCGTGCTCTCGTGATCGGCCCACATCGGCAAGATAGTCGAACAGTTCTCGTGACTGTGGTGCATCCGTCGAACTGGAACACAGGTGCCCTTCAGAAACATGGCATCGATGTACGTAGAAAGCTTACGGAGAGAATAAGCCGGATCTTTTGTATTCCTTCGTTTTTTTGCCGCAACTCCCGAAATACATCCTGCTTCCCGCCTATCATCCCTTGCGGAAACCTCTCGATGACAAAAAGCGGTACACCAACGTCCTCTTCGGATGGCTCGGTCGACTGGAAGTACACCATGCGATCGGTGGCGGGTACGCAAATCGATGTCCGATCCAGCCCTGTATGTGACCAGTCAGAGGGGAATACCAGCTTATTTGGCGACTCGTCTGGGGCGGAGACGCAGATGGTGGCGGAGCAGCGTCGAGGACAATGAGGTATTGGCGTTTTGGACTCGTAAATCTGATTGCTACTGGTGAAGCACGACGGTTGCAGATAGGGATAGGCACACGCTTCGACGTGGCTAGGAGAGTTGGACTGTCCACTGAGGTAGGCAAGTAGAGACGCTGGGCTTCTGGGACAGATTTGTGATCGCAGAGCGCGGTCGATTTGCTGGTCACTCGAGTTGCGCCTCTATATTAAGGAAGATTTTAGGACACCGTATGAGCACGCTCCGCGGCAAATTCACCTCAATGGACCGCATTAATGACGTCACGGAAGCGAGATCCCCGCTGACGTCTAGTCTCTGCATGTCTACTTGTATTGCTTCCCTCCGTGTCGGTACCGGGTGAAGAGCCATCACAACAGAGTTCGGCGTATGGAGACTGTTTCCCTTAGCTGCAGAAAGCCGTCTTGCGTGTCGTTTTGAATAAGGGCTAGATCGTTCTTTCAGTTTGGGCAGCTAATAATGTGGTAAGTCGATGCGATCGAGAAAAAGTGACACTGGGACAAAGAACATACAGGCCTGGCGACTTGCTGCTCTCTGGCCGTAACATCTCTGGCGTTCTGATTGACCTACGACATAGACATCGATCGATCGACTATTTCTGCAACACGAGAAACGCACCGTTCGATGGGCATCCGGATTCAAGGCTAAAAACGTCTCCACTTCCTCGATAAGTGCACGAACAGGCGGCAGCTGGAAAACGGCAGGCATCTGGGCAATCTGAAAGTTGTTGGTTCCAACCGCAAGAAAAAGTAGAGTGGAGCTTACGGCTGTTGGAGGAAGTTCTGAAGTCAGCATTTAAGTTTGAGGGGGAAAGCATTCATCACAACCCAGACAATATGCCTTCTTTTATACCTATCGCATCCTGGTTGTGCTGATCGTCTTCCAGATAGGCACCGTGCCCCGTTTAAGACAGAGAGCGGCCTCGTTTTTTGAAGTCCCTGGATTCCGAACAAAGGATTGGTTTAAGAAGACGGCGAAAGCGGTCATCACCGTTCCTGAGTGGCGGCAAATCACGAATGAACCTGATGCTCGAGGTGTTCGATGGAGTGGACTTGACATGGTTTTGCCTCTATTGCAGGACCTTTGCTCCAGGACACATGTAACTGAACTCCCAAGATTGCAAGTCTTTCTCTTCTAGAATCTAGAAGAGAGATTATCGGGGTTGTATCAGATTTTCGCTAGATCCTTGGCCAACACGTGGATAAAACGCACCATGGACTTGTCCTGGTCCGATGGGTCCATACTGGGGGTCGCAACGTGTCCATCCAAGAATGAGGCCACATGACAGAGCGTAGTGGGCCAAAATTTAAGACTAGAGGACGGTAAGTGGTACGGGCAGCGAGGGCGTCAGTGGTTCTGGACAAGACTCTGGCGGAGTGCCAACGCGTCGCAAAAGGTAACACGATAACGGGTCACAATCATTCACCCTTGCTTTCAACGGTGACTTTTGTACCAGAGAGCACACGCGCCGTCTCGCGTCCTCGACGCGTTCAAGGACCAGATCTCACTCTCAAACGTGTCAAGGGGTCTATATGCATTAATACCCCTTCAGCAGGCAGACAAGTGCCCAGATCTAGTGTCGACATTCAATGCGCTTTCGTGCCTCCATCACTAACGTTCCGACCTTTTTTCGTGAGTTTAGTATCGCATTTCGTCATGATGCAGAGTATTTATCTTTACACGAGTCAGGTATTATTCAAGCGATAGAGAAGTTGCAGAAAAAATGCATCATTAAGTTCACCGAGACGAGCATGCACATCATCTGCAACCATGACGCGAACGAAGGAGGCATCCAAGTCTGGTCGTGAGTACCACCTCATTCTGATATTTTAATTGAAGCTGAAGGCGCCCTTCCAGTCAGATAAAAGTGGACGCCATCTTCGCCAACTACCGAATCCAGTCGAATGCCAACAACGAAATTACAGTTGGCCTGGCCTCAGAGGCACTTCTTGGGGCACTCAAATCGGCATCTACGTCAACGACATCGTCTTCATCGTTCGATACGGAGGAGGTGGTGATGAAGCTCGCGAAGAAGAACGACCAAGCGCTGTTCTCTTTCGAAATTAGTGGGATGTCGCGTGTTGGGCACAGACTTCGGGTCGCACACGACGTGAAGATTGAGGTTATGAGACCTGCTGATGTCGAAAAGCTGAAGGAACCTCTATGCCCTGATCCAGATGTATGCATATATTTGCTACTTCCTTCTTGCTCTGCTAATGCATTTTCTTGCCAGTTGCATATACTACTCCCTCCGCTCCAGAAACTACGCACGATCGTGGAGCGGATGCGGCCTTTGTCCGACGTTCTCGCTGTCCGCGCAAACAATAACAAGCGTCTTGTACTAGCAATTAGCACTGAGAGCGTTCGAGTTGAAACTGAATGGACAGACTGTCGAAATACTGCGCGTAAGCATTTTGATTTTATTTTTTTGCAGTATTTGCCCAACTAAATGTAACGCTGGACAATGAAGGTGACGGTGCCGATGACGAAATTGCAGACCCTGACAAGCTGTTTACTGTTCTCATCTCAACTCGCAGTTTCCTCAAGTTTCTGAATAGTCATGTTGTATCCACTACTACCATCGCTGGTCCGTATTGATCTGTTTCTTCTGCTCTCTCTTTGCTTACTGTCTCTTCTGACCATCAGCTATATGCCAACACCATTGCGTCATTCTTTATGTGTACATCGGAGATGTGGCGGATGCAGGAGGGGTGTTGACCTTTTATATTCCTGCCATCATCGACGACGAGGGCTAGTGGTGCCTATCTTTGAAAGGCAATAATAGTCCTCGTTCCTCGTCTCTATTCGGGATCAACAACCAACTGATAGTGCTCTGCGCCGTTCAAGTCCCGTATTTTACATCAAATCTGTCTCTATCCAAAAGTATTCCATGAACTCGAATGAACCATCCGCGTATGAGAAGATGGGCAACTCGGGCCGATCGTTAAATTCACGCCAGCCTACATATCGATGCATCCAATCTGGGGTGAGCCAGGAAACTAAGGGTGAAAGTGGCGTGCCAGTTTGCAGGCGACGTCGAATGAGCGAGACCATGTCTTCCTTCGCATATTTCATGGACAGTCCGACCCGAGGAATAGAACGCAAGCATGGGCTTCGGAGATAGTCCATGATCTCCTCATCGGATATGAGAAAATCCTCCCCGAAATATGAGAAGTGGTCACTGTTGTGCCTTTCGTCGATTAAAAGACTTCGAAGGCAAGGTGATCTCTTGACGAAACCTTCTAATATTGCTTGATCGCGGCGCAGAATAGAAATGTCGAGAGATTGAAGGGAAGGCATGGTAAAGAAACGGAGCAGCCAAGTTGGATCACATCCTCGAGAGAGTTTGAGAGAGGTGAGGCTAGTTAGGGAGATGGGAGGGAAGGGTTCTGTGGGCCAACGGGTTTTCTTAGGATCGAAGATGGTGATGCTCTCGAAAGTGATTGTTGTCGCGGCGGTGCATTGCGATATATAAAGGAATATTTCTTCCAACGATGCGGGAAGCTTGACGACGACCGTCTTTAAACGGGTCCACGGAATATTGTGGAGGGGTGTGGTTCCGCACTGGTCGATCCAAACGAAATGTTGCAACGATTCAAGGCGGTGAATGAGATCAACGAAAGGCTCCATGGCTGTTTGCGGAACCTGGTAGTCCTTGTTCGCCGGATTCTCCACTCTCAAGCCTTCAAGAAACATAGGAGCAGACTGTTTCGATCGCAGGAGGTTGGTGAGTTCATCGATAAAGTCGAGGTCGAGGTCGATGGAGAGTGATTGCCACCGATGCACCTGCTTTGCGAACAGAACGAATACGGACCGCGAATAATCCTTCGGCACGAGGTCAAAGGGCGGGGTGCACAACCGAAGGTCAAGAGGGTATGCAGGGGCGTTCGCTAGCCAACGCCGAATGTTGGCAATCGAGTCGAAAGAGGGGCAAACGAATCTCCATAAGGAGGCTGTTCAACACAATCGCTCTCCATAGAGTGCATACTTGCATCAGAAGAATTGGGCCGCAATGCCTGACAAGGGACCCAGTGTACTCGTACAAATCGTCATCATCAAAGGATTGGCGATGGAGACATAAGTCGAAGACGTGCTCGAGTATTTCAACTGGAACAGAGAAAACCGGACCCTTCATAATTCAAGGTTTTTAGTGAGACTGAATATTGAATATTCCGACCAACGTCTGCCTGAGAGATGTCCATAGCGGCTTGAGAGATGAATGACTTGGATGAGATGACGGTCGGCGAGACGAGGGAATGTCGACTGGAATCGCCGCGCTCCTGACCTTAAGAACATGAAAGCTAATTGTTCATTTCATCTTCCTGATCGTGAGGTTGGTTGCTCTGTCATTGCGACAATAGCTAGCAAAGCGATGATTGGGTTGCTGTTGAGGACAATTGGAGACAATCGGCAATACTCGAGCCGGAGCCTCTGTTTCAAAGCAAACTGAGGCTGGAGTCTATCAGGAAACTAGGAAACAGAAAATTAACTATGTCGTGAGCATTCGTAGCCATAAAATACATATAGACATTCTCTAGTTAACGATGTAACCTTGGTGTGAATTCCCAGGTGTATGTTTTGGGGTCATGAATTGTTGTCTTGACACAAGTGTCAAGAGGGATTGACTGATCGTGAAACGAAGGGCTGGAGTTCTGACTCAAGATCGAGGAATTGACTATAGGTGGAGATGGCGATACAGTGAAGGCCTGGAGCAGTCAGATTCGCCCACAGTGGACTCAAACTCTCGACAATTGACAAGCGCAATTCGCGGAGCTTTGGACAGCGTAGTGATATATTCTGAGTGTTTCGTTGCCTATTGTCACTGATACTGAAGCATCCAGATTGAAGGGACCTCAGAGAGAGAAGGCTGGTGAAAAGATCCAATGAAATAGGCTCGTTGATGGTGAGATATGCCAAGACCCCTCCTATTGGAAACACCGTTAGCGGCGTCGACGGGTAAAAGGAGGGCGAAAGCTTTCGGATATTTGACCAGAGGACATGCGGGATTATGGTGTCAATGAAGGCGTTACAACCTTCTCGGGTTGAATCGATAATAACTTGATCAAGATGAGGGAGATCGGAGGAGAAGAGCTGGCCAGTTGTTGTAAACTGATCAAGATCACCACGCCACGAGAACTGTTGGAGGTTGTGGCATTTGGCAAGGAGAGCACGCAGATAGCATGGCGGAGATGAGGCACTGGTAAGAGACAGACTCTTTAGGGCATTCCAGGGTACGTTGAGTTTGGAATCGATGACGAGTGGCGTCATGAATTCAAAAGGAGCCAGTCGGGATTGCAAGGATAAATGCCGGAGGTTGAGCATCGTCAAATTGGAAAAGAGATTCGTCAAGGCCGTGGAAGATGTGATCGAAAGTGTTTCGAGGCTTCGAACTTCCGTTGGAGAGCGTAATGGCGCCGAGCCGTCTTCGAATATGTTGCTGAACGTTACAGTCCGAAGTGCCTGTCCCACGACAAGTTTCGTACGCGCATCCTGCAACGACAGAGGACAATGGAGGGCGAGCCTGACCAGTCGAGACCACGATAGACCAGTGTCGAGGTTGCGCAAGGGGAACTTGAAGCGAGCTGGGATGGCATCATGAATACCAAGAAGGCTCGATTCCCAAGAAAATTCGAGTAGGTTGGGAATTGCCGTTGCTATGTTTGCTTCAGGGGTACCACTAGGCATCGATCACAAAGGAGACTTCGTCGAAGTTCTCTGAGTTGATGATTCGCCTCGCGTTGCCGAGGATTTGATCGCGGACGTCAGGCTCCTCAGTCTGGATAGTGTAGAAAGGGCTCGGGAACCTGGACACACACAAAACTTCTCGCGAAACTTGTTGGACACTTTCGTACCACAGTCCACAGACAAGTTTTGCGTCTTCGAGCCAATAACTTCTTGCCAGACGGGCCAATATCTCCACGAGGAGCTCGTTCGGTAGCTTATCAATGCCCTTAATAACGGAGACTGAACCAACCATTAGCAATCGTGTAAGGGGTTGAAAATGAAGCTTACATCGAGGGGCTCCGTCTTCCGACGCGGCGAATCCAGTCAGAGGGTCTTGAACTACCGTCGGTATTGACTGTGAGTCAGGAGTCTCACTGCAGGTGAGTGGTACGAAAGAGGGTTCCGATCCTTCAGGTGAGGGCGGAGAGGGTATCCTGATGGTCTCCGAGTTTGAACCCACCAAACTCACTGGACCTTCAGACCCAGGGACAGCTGTATCAGAAGACACAGGAGGATGGTCGGACAAATTGAGAATGCCATCATCAACAGCTGGAAGCGAAATCGTTCCACTGAGGAGTCTATTCCGGGGCGGCTGGTCGCCCGTCGACTCGCTAGGATGTACGGTGGTTCGAGCAGGGCAAAGTGGAAAACAGGTGCGATGAGGCAAGTTTCTCCATCTCTTGGCTGAGGTTCGTAATTCGGAGGCGAATCGTCACCAGAGAGTGGCTCTCCAACAAGCATTGGAGTAGATGTAGCTGAGGTAATTGTGGTCGCAATCCTCTCAGTATCATACTGCCCCGATTCGTCTATGGGTCCTGCAAGCATAACTCTGTTGTCCTGCAATTCCTGCCCATCTGAAGGGCCACCAGAAGCCACAACGGTCGTCTCTGAAATCAGGATTCCAATATGTTCCTGCTCGTTGGCGAAATGAACTGAAGCCGTTTCATTCCTTTTTAATGACTTGAAACGAATTAATCGCCGTAGTCTCTTCAGTCCTTTCGTTCGCGTCGTGGGTTCTGGTGGGTTTTGTTCAGAGCGACGGAGAAAGGGAAGAACAGTGGGGAGGATCCATATGAGTTCTCGTATTCTTGTGAAAGGGTGCACCTTGGGGTACAGTTAGGTGAAGCAGAACAGCCTGGAGTTCGTACGACGTACCATGGTGCCTTGAGTCAGCTGGAGCGGTTCAGACCAGGGCGGTAAAGTCCTCTGGAAGAATTATCTCAGGAAGGGACGCTTTCAAATGCCTGCCTAGAATAAGACATTACAGTGAATATATCGAAAGTAAGAAGACAAAGTATACCGTACCCATGTCCGTAACCATGGTCTTCAACGAGCTGGCATGAAGGTCGCGAGACTGTACAACCGGCGCCTTGTTCCCTGCCTTCACATTTACGAGAACACGAGGATACTGAGCATGTGTCTATGGTGCTTCTTCTGCTTCCTGACGGTTTGGTGGTTGACATTGTCAGAGGTTGACGTCGACATAGTCGAGATGGCTGTGATCAACGTAAAGACAGACAGAGCCTTGGTCTTATTGAACGACTGAGCAGTTCCCTAGTGGCTGTGAGGATGACGCTTTTCACGACGCGACCACAGAAAAACAAGGACTGACGTTGAGGAGCACATTGTCGAACAACGACAGCCACCGAAGCGCCTAGACCCCTGCAAGTAGTCGTCTTGAACCATCCAGTGTCGCTCTAGGTTGTCGACGTTGTAGGACGGTGAAGGTAGGAGGAAGAGTGCGAAACAGTGCACTTGGCACTGGCGCGATCAGGTGACGGTTGCGTCGCGTCGCGTCATAGGAGTCTCTCTTCTGGTACTCGTAGTCTCTCTCCTCCAGCTCATACGCCATGTCTGAAGCCAGTGCCACCGCTGTTGATGCGAAACCGGTACGCTCGTTCTTCTTCTTGGTTCCCTTCCAGCTGCAGGCTTATGCACCACAGTCGCAGTGTGAGGTGGGGAAGGGAGGAGAAGAGGAATGGCAACTCCAGTCGCCGACGCGACGTGCTGGAAGCATCAACCCCTTTGCTTCTTACCACCATCCCGACTCCTGAAGTCCGCTCTCGCTATTCCCCACGATGAACAACGTCTTCCGAGGCCCTGATGGCCAATCTGCAATGCCATCCCCTGTCGCCAACTGACTAGTCTTATTTGCTAAGCATAGTAGACGGCAAGGGGGATGAGAGCAGAGTCGGTCGTCGACTCCACACGTGAGGCCGTGAGGCTCGCCCACTTGTGTCGTCGTTACACGATTTCACTGACAAGTGCGCGGTGGTGCCGATGGTGTGATAAGGTTCTGATGCCCCAGGGCGAACAATAGCAGGGTGAGCAGATTCAAGCTCGCACCTGCTCCTCCCAGGCCCTAACGTCCTCGTATGCGCAGTCCCCGCCCACCACGCAGCCGCCATCCCAAAAACACAAATCATGGGCTCGCTCCGTCCTTGCTACAGGACAGGCGGGAAGGGGGGAGACGAGGACGCACGGCGCGATGGGGGCGGGTATGTTCACCCTCGAACGACTCCCCCGTTGCAGCCCCGTCGCTGATGGCCCTTTCAGTGCTGGGTGGTACATCTAACAACTGATTGTTGGTCGTGTGGACGGTGGGTGAGTGGTTTCGTTTTGTGCTCGTGGTGCTTCCTAACACCATAGTCTCGACAATTCAGTGTCCAACTCAACGTGGATGCCCTTGAATGAAAGGGCCATGGTGGACTGCGAAGGATGGGAGAGACGGGGATGAGGACCTTGCATGAGAGAGGCAAGCCCGCCCTGGACTATCTTTGCCCATTCATCCTTTTTGACTGTTATATGCACTTTTTATAGGCGTTCTACTACTACAGGAGGACCTTGCTGGAAACAGGGTGTGCGTAGGGCTTTACGACACGTCTAACAAGCAGAAAGTCTCGAACAAACGACTTCAGTGAGCGTTCGAGTTGAGATTTGCCCAATTTCGCTCGCAGGCTGTGCTATTAGAAACAACCACGAAGAGCTTCATGGCCTCTTAGTGCCAACCGCACTCTCTCTTCACCACTACCATAGTCACTGCCAGAAAACTAATACCCTCTTCCCTTGAGCAAGAATGGACCAACCAGCAAGTCGTTCAAGCCAGCTGTGGAAATAACCTGGAGGATGTTTAAAAGTGCGTTCACTGCCGTATCTTTCTCTCTCACTTTCACTTAGAGGAGAGACAACAGAAGAATATTCATATAGTACCTATAGGTAGCTATGTATCGAGGAGTCGACAAGTCTTAATATTATTCGAGGAGGTAGTATGTATTTACATAAGAAAGCAGTAAGAACAATAAATATAATAGTGACTGCGAGACGATAACGAGCAATTGTATAATACCCTATCTAGTCGATCGAGGGCTTAGGCTTGTGTGGAAGACCTGTACAATACATGCAATGGACTCAGTCTCGTATAAGGGAAAGAGAGCAAGACGATGAACTCATCGAACGTGTTCGACCTACGTGGGACTAGGGCAAATGACGCCTTCGACAACATATTGAAGTGTGGCGACTCTGGAAGCTCGATTCGGCTACGAAGGAGAATGGTGAGGTGGTCAGTTGTGTCGTTGAGCACGTGTTTGAAGAATGAGACCGGCAGGAAACAAGTGGCCCCGAAGTCGAGAGCGACAATCCGGTTGGTGCGGTCTTTCTTGAAGTTGTCGCGGTTCAAGTCCGCTGGGCATAGGCGTAGACCGTAGGTCTCAACCTCGGTGCTGAGGTCGACACAACCAGCATTCGTCCCGTACGCGAGCCTGAGGATCTGTCAGAGTGAGAACCCGGGATTGATCAGCCAAGGTGTAGGAGAGGGGAAAGGGCGAGACGAATGGCAACACTGACATTATTGATATGCTGCTGCAGCCAATCAACAGAAGAATAGGATACCGCTGACTCGCGGTCAAGGAAGAAAGGGTGGCGAATCGGGCCCCCGCCAATGGGTCCGGGCACCAAATCCGGGCCCTTGATGTCCACGAGGAACTGCACGGCGGCGGCGATAGCTGCAATGTCCCTCTCGTTGTATTCAGGTGTAATTCCATCGACGAACTCCATCGCTATGAAGCCCCAATCGTCCCACTCGAAGGTGAGGTAGACGGAGGGGATCCGCACGGGGGCATTAACGCTGCTGTTGACAACTTGCGCAACGTAATTCTGCGTGCGCCCTTCGGCCATGGTGATAGTCGCGCCGAACTTGACCCAGGCATAGGTGGCGCCAGACCCGTCAACGAGCGAGACACCGCGTATGTCGCTTGTCGGGTTGGCAGCCTTTGCCATTGCAAGCCTTGTCTTCCATTGACTCACGATTCCCTCGGCACTCGGGAAGTGGGCTGGCTTGTTGCTGGCGACGATGTCGACTTTGATGTGGGCCACGATGAACACTGAGACTCAGAGGGTACCTAAGTAAAGGGCTGTGTCAGTCATAACTCAGGACAGTTCGACAGATGACGATAACGGACCGAGCAGGGGCGAGGCACTCGACAACAACGATGACGATGAAGAAGACAAGCTCGGAACAAAGAGCGCGTAGGTGTACGTTGGCTGGGTCGATAGCAAGAGCAAAGCAACCTTGGAGGGAGAGCAGAGATGAGGATGAGTTGGCTGGACAGACTTTGATCCTTGGCGGTTGCCCCTGGGCCCACGCCCCTATTTACCGTCGTGCTACTTGGAATATGCTACTTACCTGCTGCCTTGCGTCGAATCCTTTCCAGAAGGTTCGAGTCTCCCTGTGAGTACGTGTAAGCACAGAAAAATGTTCCCCTTAGAGTGTGTTGTGATTTCCTGCCCAAGAAGTTCAAGCATTTTTGAACAACCTCTTGGTCAGACCACACCCGAGGGTTTGAAATCGAGCATGGATTGTCATTGGACTCGAGGGCAAATTAATATGAGAGATTTTCAAGTTCTTAAATGGTGTTGGCGTTTCAGAAAAATATCAGAATCTCGGCAAGTCCACAGTGGCGAATCCTCGATCGTGGCACGAAGTTGGCTATGGGCGTCTATTTCTGTTACCGAAAGGTCAGATATCTCGAGGTCATGTCGGGCGTTGCGACGTACACGATTCGCTCATACTTCAACTAGAGCGGGTCCGCCCGGAGCGGTAAACTGGAAGAATTATCTCGGAAGGGACGCTTTTAAATGCCCGCCTAGAACAAGACATTACAGTGAACATGTCGAGAGTAAGAAGGCAAAGTATACCGTACCCATGCCATTAACCATGGCCTCCAACGAGCTAGCATGAAGGTCGCGAGACTGCGCAACTGGCACCTTGTTCCCTGCCTTCAGGTTTACGAGAACATGAGGATACTGAGCATGTTTATATGGCGCTTCTGCTTCTCGACGATTTGGCGGTTGACACTGACTGTCAGAGGTTAGTCGAGACGGCAGTGATCAACGTAAGATAGACAGAGCCTTGGTCTTATTGAACGACCGAGTGGTTCCCTAGAGGCTGTGAAGGATGACGCTTTTTCACGATGCGACCACAAAAAAACAAGGACAGACCTCGAAGAGCACCTTGTCGAACAACGACAGCCGCCGAGGCGCTTAGACCCCTGCAAGTAGTGGTCTTGAATCATCCAGTGTCGCTCTAGGTTGTCGACGTTGTAGGATGGTGAAGGTAGGAGGAAGAGTGCGAAATAGTGCACTTGGCAATGGCGGGATCAGGTGATGGGACTCGGCGTCGCGTTCTGGCATCATGGCTTTGCTGGTACATAGACTAGCAATACACAGACGTATATTACACGAACTGCAACTACTTACATTCCGAGCATGATATCCACACGACAAAATCCTATGAGAATGCTTCACGACAAGCGTACGTAGTTCCGGCCTCAGTGAAGCTCAAGTCAATATTAGGCCCTTGTCTTGCCCACTGAAGCGCGTTTGTGAAGGGCCTTATGCCCCGTCGGCTGGGATCGTCTAAGCACCCCGAAGCTCTCGTCAGAGACCGACGAAACATCCGTCATATCAGGCGTGCCACAGCCCGAGTCCAAAGACGAACAGTCGCCCTTGGGGTCCTCGAACGGGTCCAGAGAAAGGGCTGTGAAGATGGACGATGGCGAGGAGGAATGTGAGTCGGCCGATCCTGAGGGCCGGACCTCTGGGATTCGTGCCCATGAGTCGGATAAGGGGCGCTGGGACCACCGAGAGACGAAGGACGGCAGTCCAAGCGGTGTAGACGAGGGAGGAACGGGGAAGAAATCGAGTAGGCGAGTCTTCTCATCGAAGATCTCGTTGAAATGTCCGCTCTCTTCTTCTTCTTCTTCCTCCTCCTCCTCCGCGAGCGCGTGGAGGGGCTGCGCACGCATTGCAGCTGCATAGAAAATGGCTGGTGGCGGCATGTCGTCGACCACCTGCCCATCCTCCGTCTCATCTCGTTCTTTGACCATCTTGAGGATCGGGATAAAGAGCTCGCTGTGCTCTCCACTTCGTTTCCACAGCAGATTCCGACTCTCAACCAGAGAAGGAGATGACGCCTGGCTGTCATGTTCGGGAGGTGAAGGAAGGTCGCCAGTGATGTTTGGAATGGAGTACAGAGAGCATGGTTGCGAGCTTTTGGCTTGAGAAGATACAGTCGGAAGTACTGAGCGCTGGGTAGGCCAGACAGTGTCTGACTTGCGTTTGGGGAAAGGTGTGTCGCAAATACGCTGAGGTGGTGGCGGTGGTGGACGCCAAAGTGGGGTACTGTCCTCTTTCTTCAAGTTCTCTGTCACAAGGGTAGAGGAAGTGTCGAAAAGAAGAGGTGTACGGTCGTCTGAGTCATGTGCGTCATTAATTCGTGAAGCTTGTTCTGAATCTTGCTCATATCGACTTTTTGAATCATTCTTTCTCCATTTTGAAAGCAACCGTTGAGATGCTTTGCGGAGCATAGACACAAGGGCGTGGTAGAAAGGTAATTCTGGAAACTCTCGTCAGCTAGACCTATGGCTGAATCGTTGACGTTAACTCACAGACTGGCTGACGACTAGCGTTCAGGAGCAGCGTGGAGTAAAGAAACAGGACGATGAAGACAACGACAAGGACGCACAGTGATCCAACCCGTGGACAATGGGCATAATCCTCGCCTTCTCCGCGCCTATATAGCAAGCCAACCCTGGAACAATAGCGCCATTGACGTTAGTCTCCGTGTCGGCGTTCGAGGTTGCATCGAGGCATCTTGCTCTCGGAAGTTTCCATGGTTCTAGCGTTTTGTCCTCGAGCATTGCGGACATGGGCCATGTCTGTCTTATTCTTCAACAAGACATCCCCAGATACTACAATTAACGACAGGCGTTGGAAACAACGGTGATGGAGCAGAACAAAAGGACCCACAGAATGTAAATGAATGCTGATAATTCGTTGTAGCTTCTGAATTCCGGCTTCAAGACATACAAAGATGGCGAACCTAGTAGCCAAACGGCATAAGGAGGTGGTGGTCGACATGTCAGCACTTCCACGTCAGACGGTTGAATCTAACACGATAAGATAAGATAAGATAACAAATATATACTTCAATTCACGACCATTGCAATTTGAAGTTCAAGTTCGTTTTTTTGTCTTTCAGCATTTTCTTTTTCGCCGTTCTGGCATTCCTAGATCTCTGGCCACGGAGTTAAAGCGTACTTATGAACAATGAAGCTTTGGAGAGGCGTCTAGACTAGATGAACGTCTTATTTCCCCGACCTCTTTCCCGAAGTCACAGAACGGTCAAGCACCATCTCTCCTCATCCACATGAGTGATGAAAATATCGTGCCTTTGGTCTTGGACTTCGTTCAGAAATGTGTTTTTTCTGTCTTTCTAGAACAACTGCCGCTTTGCAATCCCTCTTCTGGAGGCCCCTGAGCACTTGTCTTCTCTCCGACAACACCGCGAAGTATCAGTGCCCCGTCGGTGTCGGTACGGGCTCGGACTCTCTCTTGTGGCTCGGACTCGGTGGTCGACCCCTCCACAAATCTTAAACTCTAACTCTTCTCTCTAGAATTCCTCAGGGGTTCTCCTCTCGGAGCTGGATTGTTAGGGTTGAATGTTCCTCGAACTGAGCTGAATTGCACGAGAATTATCTCAGCAATATGAGCGGCTCGGTCTGGGTCAACGTATGTAAGTATTCCATTTGACTCGCCGTCCATATCGAATTTACATGTGAACCGCCTTAGAAGTTGTTGAGTGCCAGTGGTCCAGTTTCTCCCGCTGGTTCGGACGCCTCGATTTCCCGACTCAGCTCGATATCAAATTGGAACCTGCAGGTTCTTCAATGGATCTCATTCCATGATTCGCTTCCATATGATGTGCACTGACTCGAGATCGACAGGACGTTGTTTATGGCTATGGCGTTCTACATGGAATGACGCAGCACCCTGCCACGTTGTTCAGAAGATACATTATGTTCGCGAAGCTGACTTGGGACCCCTAGCAGGACTCTGCTTTCAGCGCATCAGGATTCTTGGACACTTATACTTTTCTCAACAGAGGCGCCCACCTACGGCACGCCATGTACTTTCCTTGAACAAGTCACTATAACACGCTCCACGTCCTCCTGTCTTTTTTTCTCAACTTCCCGCACCAAAGTCCATCTGACGCTACTGCGAAATATTCGGAGCCAAACCAGTCCTCGTCTCGCTTCTTACCGCCGAACGAGCAAGAAATTCCCAAGCAGGTCCGACTCGATCGAAGATAGATGGTAATGGACACCGACCACAGCACAGCTTTGCGCCGGAGTCTATACCATAGGCGGCTTTCGAGGTTGGGGTCGTAAATATCCCAGTTTGCTTGTCGGTCTGCATGACTGTTCCCACAGGCTCTCCAGATAAGCCGGCTCAATTCTCCTCGCCCTCGGAGTGGCGCGTGTCAGGAATTCCGCGAACCTGACAAGGCTCCAGGCGAACGAGCCGCGAGCTGTTCATCTCCGAACCTAGATCGACATGCAGTCAAGCCAACCTGCTCGATTGGCTCGTCGCTACGAGCATTGCCTTTCCATTGTTTTAGGCACAGTTTGTCTGACCTAGAACGACAGAGAAGCACGACAACTCGACATATGACGTCGGCGATGGATTCTGCCACGGAATTGCGGGAATACTTCTAGGCCGGTGGATGGAACGGGAGAGGAGATTCTTTCCAAATGCTTAATAGAGGTGATGACCAAGTCATTATTAGAAACCTTCATTTTAAGTCCCTTTGGTTTGTCTGTGGGATGGCGGTCTTCAATCAGATAATGCTCAATACCTATTATAAGTCAACTTTGAGCGGGAATAATCTGAAAAGCAGACCGATAACACCACGATACCAGCGACAGGCTCTAGCAGAAGTGGTTCACCATGTTAACTTTGGTTGTAATCAGACGTTACTGTCTTGTGGTGAGGACTGAATTCGATCAGGTGCCAAACTGGGTAATCGCGATCACGCACGCCACACATCCTCGATCAGTCGATAGGCTTGTCACTGCTGTCAATTATCCGTTTATCACCTATGATCGTCGAAAGCAACAATCTATGAGTAGAGACGCTTTCCTAAATGACTGGGTAGCATGATTGAGATGTGAAGTCAGGTTTCCGAACAGTACGATGAACTGTGAAATAGGAAGGGCATAACGAGAGATTTAGGGACTGGGACCAATGCGTAAATACAAAGAAAGAGGTGTAGACGGTAACCGTTGACTCATATCCCACCTGTGGTTCCTCTTTCATCTCACATCTTGCGCACTGCAAACCCCCGAGAATTATAATCGTCGAGGAACATAAGATCAGAATCGAGGCTTGATCGAGGCCAGAATAAATTACAGGGACTATGCTGGAGGGTATAAAAGCTCGGGAGAGGGGATATAAATGTCGCAGATGTGAATAGAGAAGGTAAAAGTTAACATAGTTATCAAGTCTGTTGATGTGAGGATTTAGGGAGGACAATCCGAATCGTCGAACTCATAATACGGAGAGAATTCGACGGACCCTTCTTTATAAGAGAATAACAACGCATCGAACATGGGATCTAACTTATCCCACCATCCGACTAACCTTTGATAAAGCGACGGCCTCCAGCACAGCAACGGTGGAAGAGGTCGGTGTGCATCTAATCGCTGTTGAATCAGGGCAAGGGTCCTCTCCTTCGTACACAATAGGTCGATTCCGACACGAGGCATGGCGCGTAAGCAAGGGCTCGTGAGGTAGGCGAGGATTTCGTGATCTGAGATGAGGATTTCGTCCATGTAGGAATAGTCTCCGCCATGTCTCTCGTCAATGACGAGGGTGTGGACGCAGGGTGAACGTTTCAGGAAGTCTTCGAGGACTCGCTGATCACGTCGGAGGATCCCGACCTCTAAATGCTGAAGGGATGGCATGGTGAAGTATTGCAGGATCCACATTGGGTCGCACCCTCGCGAAAGCTTGAGGGAGGTGAGGTTTGGGAGCGTGAAAGCTGGGAAGTGATATGACGGTAAGCGAGTCTTGGTGGGATCGGCTGTGGTGCTACTGTGAAATTCGATCTCTGTGGCAGAGGTGCACTGGGAAAGGTAAGAAAATATTTGTTGTATGGAGGATGGAAGCTTTATAATGGCCGTCTTTAGTTGCATCCAAGGAACATCGTGAAGGGAGATTTCGCCCCATGGGTCAACCCAGATAAGGCGTCGCAGCGATTTCAAGCCGGGTAAAAGTGCGACAAGGGCTTCTAGAGTGGACCCGGGAACCTTGAAATGGTCTTGGAGAGAAGGTTCCACTTTCAAATCCTCAAGTTGGGCAGGAGTTGTACGGCTGTCGGACCGGAAAACATTGATGAGTTCGCTGGTGACCTCGGGGTCGAGCTCGATGGACAGTGACCGCCAACGGTAGGCTTCTTTGGCAAACAATTTGAAGACCGACTGCACGTAGTTGCGGGGAACGAGGTCTATCGGACGACGGGACAATTGAAGATCGAGTGGGTATTTTGGGCAGATGGCCAACCAGCGGCGAATATAGACGATAGGGTTGTAGGAAGGGCAAATGAAAGTCCAGAGGGAGGGGGTGCCTAACGTTATCGATCTCCAGTGGTTGCAAACCTGCATCAGTACCAGGGGGCTGCTGTGAGTCACAAGGGAGCCCATATAATAGCCATGGAATTCATCTTCGAGCGGGATGTCTCTGTCGATGTAAATGTCGAAGATGAGGATAAGAATCTCCACAGGTAAGGCACCAATGTCTATACTATTCTGAATGCAGCTATGGCTTCATATTATGCCACAGGAGAAAGAAAATGACGAACCTCCGTACCGTCCATGGCGCAAAGGCTTCGAGAGAGTCTGGAGATGGGAGGTGTTGACCCTCCTTGAGACGTTGAACCCAGCTTTTAAGTATGACGTCCTTCCAATTGTTAGTGCAGCATAGTTACACACGATAATTTGCGCTCACTTCTATCCAGCAGAACAAAAGAATCACTTCTTGAGCTCGTTATATAACCGCGAGGCGACGGTATCAGGAATGGCTGCGAACAATTAGACGCATGACAGCGCCTTCGCTCGGCGACGTATTCAGATCGCACATGGACTATAGAGGCCGTAGTAGTGAACTCAGAACTATGTGGTAGACTCTTCATGAAAATTGACCTATAACTGTACACAGTGAAAAGAACAACCGATCGGCATTTTCCGGCACCGCAGCAAGGTAAGCCGCCATGAAAATCAGTACAAATAATGTCGTCGATGAACGTTAACCATTCCTCGGTCCTTGGCTACGAGTTGCTTTCCGAAATCCCATTGGGGTTTACAGGTTGGATGGAATTTCATCGCGTGAAAAATGTGAATCGTACAAATTTTTGCCATTAAGTACTAAGTAGTCGTTAAGAAGCGGCCATTATGACCATGATGGAGTAACGGGTCGAAGGTTCCAGGTATGCACTGGAGTGTTATACGTATGGATTATGGCGGCGTTACTGTAACGTGACAAGAAGGGTTGAATGTCATCAATAAGGTCGATGCAGTGGTTCGGGGTGGAAAGTGATATGGTGTTGATATTCGGACAGAGGAGAGAGTTCCAGAGCGGAATCAAAGACGTGGTAGTTGACAGCTCCAAATGACGAAGCGCTTTGCGAGGCACGCGCCCACGAGTGTTGATGCCTTGACTTCGAGAGCAAGGCAAGTTAATGACAGCAAATTCACCATGCTCTAGCTTTGCCAGCTCGCGTAGAATGGCGACTAGTTTTTCGAGTGGAATGGGGTCATGAACGGCGAGGTGGGTCAAGCTGACATAGTTTGATCGAGAAAGCGCAGAGGGAAGTGAGGTAAAAGATCCCTTTGTGATATTCCATATGATCTCCTTGGGAAAGGTGTTAACGAGGGCGTTACATCCCTCTGACGAGGAGCTGATGCTCAACTCTTCTAGGTGCGAAAGCTTCAAGGCAGGGAGACGTCCTGGGACCGCAAACCGTTCCAAGTCACCGGACCAGGAGAATTGTCGTAAGCGGCTACACTTAGAAAGGATGAGCAAAATATCGCACGAAGACGATGACTCGTTCGCAAGATACAGGCTCTCGAAGCTGGCCCAAGGTATGTCGAGCGCCTGATCAAGGACAACAGGTCCACTCAAGCCCGAACATGAGCCACGACGAGATGTTAAAGAGAGGCGCTTCAACTTTGGCAATTCGACCGCCTTCTTGTCGAACAGAAACGCCAAATTCGCTGAAGAAGTGACCGACATCGATTCAAGATGCTCGAGCTTCATCACGCTCGGCCCACGCAGGATGGGCCGGGGTTGCGCGGGGTCTTCGTACAATTGTCCGAACGTGACGTCGATGAGGGTGGATTTGCCCTGAAGGAGAAGCCGACGGGCCTGGTGAACGAGGAGAGGGCAGAGGAGAGAGAGCGTGGTCTGATTGGACCATCGATGGCCCAACTCGAGGTTGCGCCACGAGCAGCCGAGTCGGTGTGGAAGAGAATCGCAGATCTGGAGGATTTCGGTCGGAAGTGGGCAACAAACTGTGAAAGAGTAAGCAAAAGTGGGCAACGATGGCGACATCGTAGACGCACCGGAACTGTTCTGCGGAGCTGACTGCCTTCTCCTCGCACTGTCTCTCGACTTCGGGGCGTGGAATTCTTGTCCTGGAGGAGGAATAACGAGACCCAGGGCGGACGAGCTCGATGATCTCGCGATATCAGTGGCATTCGGAACGACACCTATCGGGAAGGTCTCATCCTCAACATCTGGAAGCGGAATAGTCTTGCCAAGCAGTCGGACAGGCGCTACATTGTCGACCTGCGTATCAAAGGAAGACGGTGCAGCAGGCATGGCGGTATCCGAGTCGAAGGATCCTACAAAAGTCGAAGGACCGGCAACATTACAGTCGTCAGAAACAGGCTCTATCTCCGTCGGATACCTGGTGTCCTCGACGTATGGAAGCGGAATGGTTTTACCCAACAGGCGCTGACGGGGCGGGCATGTGGAAGGCTGATATTCCCGCGTTCGGTGGGGTGCAGGCGTTTCATTTTTCTGGGTGGGCCTCGGTCGAAAGGGCCATACGCCGACGCCCCATAGTTCTGATCTTCGTGGTCTGGTAGAGGTCGAAGTATCTTGCGCAAGGGGATGGTAAAAGGGAAGAAATTGCGTGCCGTTCCTGACAAGGGTCATCAAGACGGAAGGGGAATACACCTTGAATACATGTCGTGAGTAGGCGTGTCTGCGACGAAACATCAAAAGACGTACCATCGTGGTGGGTGATTATGGCTCGTGGTTTCTGAGGACAGTTTACGACTAGTCCCAGAGCAGGAGCAAGGTTCTTTGGTAGAAGCCGACCTCACGAGAGGTTTATGAAGGGTCTTGACAAGAGGACCGACCACCGAGCACGGCTCAAGGTGTCCAACCCGTAACCACGGACTCGAACAGACGCGCATGGGTATTCCAGTGAGCGCCTTGTTCCATGCCTTCATTAACAAAGCTACAAGGTCATCCAGTACGTTTCCATGGTGCGTTGGCGAACTTCGCTTTGACACCTTGTCGAAACTTCTGGCGTGTGCAGCTCCGAAGTTCCGGAGGAGACAATGCTCGGCATGTATCCACGAAGAGAGCATGGTCGTAAGAAGGAAAACAGTGTCCTATTCACGACCGACTCGGAGGGATAGAAGATGTTTCATCGGCGATAATCTTCGTACGAGAACAAGGGCACGTCAACGAAGTAACCGAGGAAATGGGTATAAAACGCACTAGAGCTGTTGGTTCCTATGTGCCAACCAGAGGAGTGAGATACCTGGGAGGTCTTGTTTACTCGAGAATGCTTGTCAGCCTTCAGGCATTGGTGGTGGTAAGAGATAGAGAGAAGATGTACCCTTCGGAATCGTAACGCGTCAGCATGAGACACGTGACTCTGTCGCGATCAATACGCGGTGCGCGTCTGGCCCCTAATTGGCCCCTAGTAGTGAACCAGTAACATACGAGAGTCCCAAACATCGTGTTCATTAATTGGTAATAAATTATACTAATTATCCGATAGTTCTCTATTCCTAAATATGTTGCGCTGACCACTATACAGATGACTCCTGGACTGGATGATCAACTACTCGGACATGTGCCCTTGTAACTTGTAACAAAAAGCGGCATTCTCATGGATAAAGAAAGAGCTTTTCCCCTCTTCCCCAGGTTTCCCGACCACATCTGGAACTAGGGCGAGACCTTCCCGAAAGGTGTTTAAGGCAGACGGTGAAGAGCAGCAGCTTTCAGAGGACTCGCAGTCCGAGTCTGGCTCCGAGTCCTCGGGGGTGTCATATAAGCCAGGAGCATCTCTGAGTGGGCCCGAGTTGCAGCTTCGAACTGGTCGCGTGCAGGGCCTTTCGCGTGAACAGGACTCCTGTGCACCATTTGCACGTTCTTCCGCTGAGCAGGGATGATGTACGGGAGAAGCAGAGGAAATAACGACACTTGGTGGTGCGAGTGCTCCAAAATATTGCCCTTCGAGCTCGGGTGCTTCATCTACCCCACCGCTTGAAAGGACTTCACAAACGGACGGGAAGAGGTGGCTGAATTCCGACGCGTTCCCGCTCGAGAAGATGCCATGCCTATTGTGAACCGGGCACCCAGCATCGTCGAGAATCGGCTGATTCCCCGAGGCAAGTAAAACGAGATCTGAGGGCATGTTAGCCTGGTTGATGGACATCGCGTCCTCCGGCGAACTCGGTCGCGAGATTATAGACGGCGTGGGATGCAGGGAAGAACGGGTGCTCGAAGTCGGAGACAAAGACCGCGAACGCGCCGCTCGATCTCTTTGCTTACGGTCGGATAGCTTGTCCAAAGCAAAGCGGAACTGTTCATCATCAAGCCGGGAAAGGCGCCGTAGGTTGCCGTGCTCGTCCACGAGACACGACAAAAAGTCTTCATAGTCTACATCTTGGTCTGGGTCTTCGATCCGCTCCAAAAGATGTTTGTAGCGATCTTTGGTCGCTGTATTCATCCACCGCTCTATCAAAGAGCGAGATGGCTGCGTGATAACTTTGACGGCAACAAGGCGCAATGGAGGAAGGGCAATCGTCTTAGACATGCCAACGGTCAGCGCGGTGAGGGGTCTGATGGATTGAAAGAGGCTTACAGGCATGGCAGACAAGAAGGAATGGAATTAAAGGGCGCCACGAGAAAAAGAAAGACGAGAAAAAGAGAGTAAAAGAGCAAGAAAATATCTCGGAGGGACGCACAGCGTTTCAAACACCCTGCAAACGAGAGAGACTCCCTAGAGTTTAAATCAGTTCCGGGACAACAAATGTCGTGATTATGGTCGGATCTTCAAACAGATGAAAGAATGGATTGAACAAAAACTTGAGCTCTTAACAAGGAGAGATCGTTCAAGAGTGCCCCCTCCGGGAGCCAGGCCGGCGTGTGGGCGCCTCTTCGTTGTTCATGCAGGTGGTGTGGGCGCTTGAAGTAGACAAAAAGGCTTCAGACGTCTATTCCTTGGCTTATTTCTACTTTTAAAAATGTTTAAATAGGTTCAAAGAACGAAGACAATTTTGATAAGATAAGATTGTTGAAGAGAAATGAGACACGTGGGCCTTGACTCCAACTCGCTGCGGCACTAGGTATGTTCACGGCTTTCTTATGATTTTTAACCAAGACTCGTAGTGCAATGGTACTGTGTCCACGCGCTTCTGAAGACTCAGGGGCCCGGGAGGCTAGAGGGTAATGAAGTCCGAGTCAGTTCTCCGGATCCCGGTCAAGAACAGCCCTTGAGCTTGAGCTTGAGCGCTTGAGCGCTTGAACGGTCGGCTTGACTGGCTTGACTGGCTTGACTTTCCGTTCAACCAGGTGGACTGCACTCTGCGGTCGTGGAAGTGACTCGTTGTCTCTGTTTTGTTGCTCTGCGATCCCCGTTCTCAACATCGAGAGATGATGGTTCCGATGCGCCACCTATTCCGATATGGTATGAACGACGTTAATCTGAATCGATTCTCCATCGGCAAGACATCTCGGCCAGCGCTTATAGAGAGCCTCTTCTCTCTATTTCTCCTTGTACCTGACGTACCGCCAAAAGGGAGACTAGGCGCTTCTCATCCTACGAGCAACCATCAAGGAGTGGTTCTTCCGAGGTTTTTGAGTGTTTCGTCGTCCAGTCCTCATGTTTCCTTCCTGCTTGCCTCTGATATGTCGTGACGTGGCGAGAACATACAGTGAGTTCTTCTTTCCGTCTCAACACATGCATATGTCTTGTTTGACTCAAATTCTTCCGATGTTTCTCTCCGATAGTTAGACTGCAATATCTCCTCAATAGCTCTTCATTCTCGGACTAACAACCCTAATGCTTGATGTCGTTTCCCATCGCATGCTTTCCCTCTTTCCATGCAGACTGTTCTACGCCGTCCATCGATATTAATCGTATTTCACCGCAGCTTCATCAAGTCAAAGATGGTAGGTTCAACAAACCATCCTACACCCTACACCCTATAATCCAGTAAATCGCCGTACATCGAGGTTCTTCGCCTATCTCACCCCCCTCGCTCCTGGATCACTGCTCTAATTCTCCGGTTGATTAGCTAAATAACCTCTCGCCTAAACCTCCGGGATAGTAGCGAGTTGCGTGGCTCGACTATCATCGGCATCGACGACGTCATACGAGTACCTCTCTAGACTTTGGGCGACCTTGAGTTCTTAACATCCTCGATGGACCGACGCTCGCACTTTTCATTTATGAAAATCTCCGCGTCTTACCGTTGCGAGGCACACCCAACGTTACACTCGGCCTATCCGCAATCTGGAAGCCGCTATTTCTCCAGCCTTCTCCGGACTTACAAACAAACTTTGTACGACCGGCGAGCGAGGAACCTCCAGGCGAATGAACACCTCTTCTCAAAGCCCAGCCTGCGGAGGATGGTTGCTAAGCTGGCTGGGTGGTGACCTTTCTTCTCGCCCCGTTTAATTGTGCGCTTGAAAACGTGGCAATTGAGATCGATGTCGACCTCGCCTGGGGTCCGTCTGTACCTTCAAGGTTTCGAGATCTATATCTGCCCGGTGGCCCGAAGTGCATCGTCGGTGAATTATATCTGGAAAGGCAGAAGCGGTATCGCCGTTTGGTTGTCCCTGTTCTTCTTTTGCGCTCCAGGGATCGGGAGGCCACCTGATGCGTCTGCGCTGACCTCTTGAGTCCTGAGGTGATTCGGAACCGTTCGCTCGTACTTGTGGGCTGGACCGTTCGGTAGCAAATCCGTGCTGGCTTCGACTGAGTCGGTCGTTTGACCCCCCAGTCACGGTTTGTTTTGAGCAGTTCGCCGGACGTCCGAGGCGGTAGGTGTCTTCAATTCTGGATCCAGCCTGCAGGTCCAGCTCCTCCTGGTGTCTATCTTGAAATATGAAGCTATACTCGGTTCTATTTTCTTGGACGATACATTTCGGTCACCCTCAAAAATACCCCCTCTCCTCCGGGTAGCTTTCGTCCGGAGGCAACTCTCGCTGAAATCCTCGTTGCATTGGGTTAGCTTGACTTTTTTTAACGCTCGAAGCAATTCTACTCCGAACCTCTCGAGGGTTTAGGACGGAACGAAGCCCCGTGCAGTGCGCCACTTCGTCCTTCCGATGACCCAGGAGACCAACAATGCTAGATGTGTCGGCATGTATATAATACTCTTATATTTTATATTCCTTTCGAGCAGCGACAGTTACCGTGCCTGGTTCTTTCTCGGGAGGACTACTTCATGATGCTGCTTGCCTGTTATTCTCTTCTTCAAATCCTTATTTCCTGGGCTTCCCCAAGTCCAGGGCTTTCGACATTATTCTGCGGGACATTAATGGCTTCTACATAGGCAGACTCGACAGTCTTAAATTTAACGCTTTACGCAATGACCCTAGCTCGGGATTTGCAAGGTGTATCCTGGCCCAAAGACGGCGCTTGCCTCGGTGCGCCTTTCGGCTATCGGGTGTTTGTAATGGCGACCGGTTCTCCAAAGCTCTTTAGAAACGTGTTTCACGCTCTGGTTTCCCATTTATGCTCTTGTTGCGCAGCATCTCTCGAATCGGTACCGAGGTAATTTGCCTCTACTTCCCCATGGGCATGTCAAAAATTCCGCGCGCAAAAACTCGCCCTGTCTGTGATTTTGCCGGACCTCCACGATCGCCTTTATCCTCCTAAAATATCCTAACCCTGTTGTATATTCTAGGATCATCTCTGGCTGTCTATTATTGTAGCGTTTCTGAGAGGTTGCATTCGCCCGACGTTCGCCCATTCCGTTCGCCCTCACACAATTATAATAGCCCACTCGTCAGTGTCACAACGCCTTTCCGAACACTCACTAAGACGGGTCAGTAGCTTACCTCGCTCTCGTATCATATCTGCGTCACAACTTCATTCCTCCTGCGCAGCATCTCTCGACTGGATACCGGTATCGTTCCTGTCCAATAAGTACTTCCCCATGACGAAGCCTTCGGCGCTTCTACTCTCAAAGGCACCCCTTTCTGCAGCTGCGGGCCCTTTCGTTCGCTCTTCGTTGCTGACAATGATAGCCTTTCCCCGAACACCATCACGGTTACTTGTCTTTAAACAAACAGAGCTGCTGCGCACTTTTACCTCCCCGTGCCTGGATTTTCTCTGTGCACCCCGTGTCCCTACGCCAACGATCGACCGTCCACCATCTCGCATCAGCGCGCGTGCCCCCACCACCAAATCTATTTTTATCCCACATCACAAAAATACTTAGACCAAGAAGGCTAAGAATAGCACGCGTGTGTGGCGGCCCTACGCGCTCCCCATCTGGCTCGAAGTTGATGTGATGTTCCATGCAAAGTCCATCCGCATGGTGGGACATCTGAGGATGCTTTAAAAGCTGGCAGATCATGATCATGATCCCTGTTTTTTTTTTCTGTGGAAAGGGTAGGTTATGTGCTTCGGGTTTGAAGGAACTTCTGCGAGGTCAGATCGCTGTGCCCTTGGAAATATCGATATCACCTCACGTTAACGTTAACGTTCTCCCCTTCTTCTTCTTCCCCTTCGCATCTTCCATTCCCGTCACGCCTCCAGCTCCTTCCAGCATATCAATGTTCGAACGCGGGCTTGGAGGGGTGATAGAACTCAGTTGAGCTTTCAAAACGAGAGACAACCGTTGAGTGTTCCTTTTGGGAACATATGAAGCTTTCAACGTACGTCGCTTTATGGATATTTCAGTGATGATGAAGCTACACAGGTTCTAAGCTCAACTTGAAGAAGCTGTCGTAAGATCAGTGATCATCCACGCACGATGTCCTACATGCTTTCTATCGATCATCTGTACCGTACTTCCAGGAAAATATTCTCGACGTCTGCTTAAAGGAGTATATGCGTCCCGAACCTCAACTGTCAACAATAAACGTACATACATAAGGTGTAGGGTCCTGCAAACCTTCCGACACCCGAGAACATGGAAGCTACTCGAATAGTCAACACTGCTCTATCCGGACTAGCGTCGACGCCCTTCAAGTTCCCCTTCCCTTCGCCCCTCCCTCCTCGCCCCTCGCTCCTCGTGGCTGATCATCGAGCCCACCCCTCGCCTCGCGCTGGGAACTTGGGGTATCGACGTCAAACAAGGTTGACGCGGGCGGTATTGAAGTTTCCTTTGGCTAAACGTTGTTTGGTGGTTTAATGTGATGGACACGGTGTTGTGGCTAGCGAAGATGAATGCATACCTTACCATAGATTATCGAAGGGAACGCGTACGCGTTTGAATGGAAGATTCTTACGTTCACGTTCACGTTCACGTTCACGTTCACCGTTTCGGCTTTGTTCGAAATACTTACCGTGACATACATAAAGCCTCCAGCGGACGTGTTCGAATGCTTTGCTTTCGCAACATCTCCGGCCTTCTGCCCTCGCCCGACCTTCCGAGCTCGGTACATTCCCCCCTATTGTCGCATCTCCATTCACATATCCCCGCATCTCCATCCAACCTCCACTGACGTTAATTGTTCGAATCCCTTCTGGATAAGAGCACGTACACCTTTCGTCCGCACATTCGTTCGGATAATTCGAGATCGCATGGGGATCGCGGGGCATCTCTCGCTTCACCACCAGCTTCAAGTTCCTTGTTACATATGTCGCACCTGTCAAACCCCAAGTAAGTGTGGAATGTTCATCAATTATACTCGAATCACAAGTACCGTACTTACGAAGACGAGTAAAAGAGCATAGTGGGTGCGATGCAACCGCATACCGCGCGCCGTTGATCAAGAACCTACTTAGATATCTCTGGATCGAGCTATCGGTTACCCGGCACGAAAACACGACACTAGGAACTTGGTCGAATGGATGACGGTTGGAGATGGGATCCGTCAAGGTTATTCCGGGTATGATGCCTTGGGTGTTCCAACCGTACACAAGACCTCGAGACATTCTTCAACTTGGAAGGGCGTATGTTATTTTTGATCTGGAAGTGGGCGTTGAATGGAGTTGTCAGTTGGGGAGATTGTGGGATCACATCATGACGGCATCGTTGGCGTTGGAGTTGGGAAGTTGGAAAAATCCAAATACGAGAGAAGGGATGGCTGTTCGGCGTGGGATGGGACGAGATATGTCACAAATAACGGAAAGATAAGGCTTCGTCCATCCAAAAGCTCCTGAGTCAGAGTCTGGTCAGAGTTCGAGATGGATTAGGGTTCGCTCGACCAGGTGGCCGGGTTCTCGAGAGGTATTTCCGGATGGGGATCGGTTAGTAAACGAGGTCAGGGACGCTTCTCTGCAGAGATTGAGAGCATTGGGTCCTTGGGCTGAAAGGAAAAACGTCGAGGGAAAGGAAATGTCGTATTTCATACCCAGGTTGACGAGAAGAGCGAGAAGTGGCCAGAACAGAGCAGCGAAGAGAAGAGCAGCCGTTGCGACGAAAGTCCAAGCGAGAGCTACGGCCGGAGGCGCGGAAGCTAGAGGTGCACATATGAATATATGTGGTGCTTCGGAATGCATTGGATAGAATTGGATCATCAGTGCATATTGCGCATTGAGTTCTTATCTCCCTGGGCGAAGCTCAAGAGGTCGACGGGAGTTGTATGAGCACGAAAAGCGACCGGTAAGTTACCGTTTGGGCTCACCAGGGGTTGCAGAATATGATACAAGTAATTGGGATGACAGGGCTACAGAATGGCGGCCTGGCCACTGGGCAGGAGTACGCGGCCCTTGTGACACGATTATGCATCTGGTGGCTGGGCGGCTATATGGAGGTGATTCTGCTCAAGGCTTGGGATTGGCTAAAGAAAGCTGGAAATATGAATCGATGTTCGTGCGGCACGTACGTGAGGGGTGTGTTAAAGATGCCGACGGACGTGGTGTGAGATCTTGGGGTGTAAAGAGGCCTGGCGTGGCGAAGAGAAGTTAGGGAGACACGGGGACCCACGGACGACAGCGACAGGGAGGGAAGTGTATAATTATATGAGGCGTGGAAGGGAAGGCTAGTTGAATTAGAATTGAATCAGGGCGGTGTATTGGAAGGCAAACGGAAGTGGAGCGACACGGGAAGGCTGGATATGGGGAATCTGTGTCTCCGCAGGACCGGGGAAGCAGCAGCGCTTACAGCAAGGGCCAATAAAGGAGAGATCAGGACAAGACAAATCGACGATCGCACACCTGTGTTCCATCGATCCGATTTTGTCTTTTAGCGTTTTTTTATATATTTCGTCGTGTCGATACCGTTTGGGCCGCCCGCGCGCTACTTAAAGGCCCTCCGTCCCCGTCCATCCGCCTCTTCCCCTCCCCTCCCTCCCCTCCCTCCCCCAGCCCCCAGCGTCCAAACACACGGACAACAAAGCACGACAATGACGTGGCCACAGCCTCTTTGTCAACACGTGACTGGAATGGGGGTCTATTGTATTTTTTCGTTGAAGAGGGAGCGTGGGAAAGCCCCCGCCTCACCCTCTCTGGCAAGGACCTGCCAGACCGCACCATACCCGACTGATCTCTGCCACTCCTCCGCCCTCTCGTAGAGCCAGCGACCGCCGTGCTGCACAGGCGAGGACGGACAACTGCCTCCGATTGGTAAGCAGGCTTCTGAGGGCCCCCACCCAACCCCTTGCACTCGCCCGTCACCACCCAGCCGTTGCAGCTCGTCCTGATTGCCTCGCAGGAAGCCCATTGACATTTGTCACACATACCGAATCCATTTGCATTTCCATTGCACGTACACTGCAGCTGCTGCAATATCCCACAATACCCGGCAGGCCACAGCACAGCACGTCCCAAGTGAGCAAGCCAGCAACGGCCCATCCAAGGCCGCTGCACACCTCACGAACCACCGATATGGCCGTGCACCTCTTAGGCGCCCCCCATTCACCGACGCAGGTCTCTCCCGTGCGCAGGAGCGCTCGCCTCCTGCCAACGCAGGCCCCACCAGCGAGCAACTCGCCACCCGTGCCACCGCCACTCCCACCACCAGCGAATGGAGCTGCAGCAACGACGCAGCACAAGCGGAGCAAGTCAGCGCCGTCGGCGACGATGCTGCCCTCGCGGAAGAGGGCAAGACCATCCGAAGTTGAGCCTGAGCAGCACCCCCATCCGGCACCGCAACAGCAACAACAGCAGAGGCAGCCCCGGTACCGCACTTCGAGTACAACGAAGCCGCATGCGGGTGTCCTGCCCACGCCAGAAGCGACCCCGCGGTCCCTGCGTGCGCTGAAGAGGCAGCGGCTCGCAGACGATGCCCCGGATCCGGCCTCATCATTACCATCGACGTCCTCTTCCTCTTCCTCCTCCTCGTCTCCATCGTTATCCCCACCTGCCCCTACCCCCGTCCCCCTGCATCCTACCACCACCACTCCGACGTACACCACGAAGACCCGCGCAGGGAAACGCAAGTCCCTGCTGCTCGACGCCGACGAGCCCACCTCGAGCCCCGTCGTCATCGAGAGAATGGCGAGGCGGCCCAGGCCTGCATTAGGGCCGTGAAGAAGAAGCGGAAGGAGAACGACGAGGGATCTGCGAGTGCAGCTGCTGCTACTCAAGTAGCCCAGGGCCCAACACCTGCCCCAGCAATCATCAAGCCGAACACGAAAGCGAGGGCTGCGCCTGCAAGCAACAACGTGGGTTTTTTCCGTTTTTGGTTTTTGGTGATCGTACTAGATGTGTGGGTGGCTTATACGTTGCTTGTTTTGTGGTTTTTGTAGCATGTTGTCGCCGGCCTGAGATCGGCCAAGGGCAAAGAGAAGGCCACACAGGAAGGTGGAGAGGAGGTGAAAGTCCCGCTTGCGCCCCTCCCGAGCCCTAGAGTCGTCGCACTCAAACCGAAGCCGAAACGCCGCTCGACGAGGTTATCGCCCAACTCTCAAGAGTCTACAACATCATCTACGTTATCAAGAACAACGAAGAACAGCAGTAACAATAGCAAAACGGGCGGTGGGAAAGCGGCTGATAAGGGCGATGGATCATCACCAACGATATCGGCATCGGCAGCGACGACGGCGACGGGGTCTTCAGTGTCGGATAAGCTGACGGGAGAGGGGACGGAGGAGGATGCATCGATAAGCGATGCGCCGACGCCGACATCGAATCCAATAACGTCGAAACCTACACCACCCTCGTCTACTCCGACGCTTACCTCATCTACCCCCACCCCCTCTCTATCCCTATCCTCGCCTGCGACACCCTCCTCCTCATCAACGCCCTCAACGCTATCACCCCCGCCCCCGCCCTCTGCCCTATCCACCCAGTCCTCTTCCTCTTCCTCCATCACCCCCTCATCAACGCCCGCCCCCCTCCCAACACACCCACACCACCCCCTCCCGCAACCCCAATTACACGTACACTCTCCCTTAACACCCCTAGCGCACACCACTACACCACCGCCCTCGCCGCCGCTCCTCTCGTTAGGACTGGGATCGCAGAGGACCTCGCCCCCGCTTGATGCGGTGGATGTGGGGCCGCTGCCGCCTTTGAGCTTGCCTGGGCCGCTTGGGTTGGTTGTTGGCGGGGGCTTGGGGCCGGGTGCGGCGGGTGGGTTGACGAGCCCTACGTCGGGTCCGCCGAGTCCTCTGTTTGAGTCGGGTGCGGGTGGGAGCTTGGCTGGAGGCCAGGCGCAAGGATCAAGTACGAGCCCCATCGCCCTCCCAACTGTACCTGCGTTCTTTCAGAGCCAGGTTCAACAACCACAACCTCAACACCCTTCTACAGCTCAACCTCCACTTCCTCCGCTCTCTCAACAACCTCGAATGGACGATGCCCAGCAGCAAGATCCCCAACACCAACAGCAGTCCTCCTTCGCATCGACGCCTTCGTTCCCCTCGCAACCCTCCTCCGAGTCTAGCCTTGTTTATACACCTTCTGGTTCCTCGTCGACGTCTACGTCGAGTTCGACCGTGAATGGAGAACAAGACCAACCCCCGCCCTCACCTACGTCCAGCTTCGACCTCGGCATGATGGGGATGATGGGTGGGCTGGGGATGATGGGCGGGCTTGGGTCGATGAACATGGGTTCTATGTCTTCAATATCGTCGATGTCGTCTATGGGTTCGATCGGTCCGATGGGCGGTATGAACTCCATGACCAACCTGGGAAGCATGGGCGGAATGGGAGGTATGTCAGGCATGGGCCTCGGGTCGATGAGCGGGATGAACCTGGGAGGATGGGATTTGGGCATGATGAACATGGGCATGGACATGTCGCTCAACTCTGGTATGGGGCTTGGAGGTGTTGGTGTTGGTAGTGGGATCGGCGTCGGAGTTAGCGGTGGGATGAGTAGCGGTGGGATGAGCGGCGGTATTGGGAATGGGATGGGTACACTGGGCATCCAACCCTCGGAGAGCGAGCTCGGGTTCGGGTTCCAGACGCAGGATGGGTTTGGGTTCCAGGCGGCGCAGGGCGGGCAGCCGGAGCCTGTCCCTGTCTCTGTCCCTGGTTCGGTTCAGGTTCAGCAGCAGCCAGGAGGAGGAGGACAGCAAGTTGGACAAGAGGGTGGTGGGTTTGGTGGGTTTGGCGGGTTCGAGCAGCAGCAGCAGCAGGGGTATGAGGCGGGTGGGGTGGGACAGGGCGAGCAGGCGGGCCAGCAGTTGCAGTTACCGCCCCAACAGCAGCAGCAGGCGATGCAGACGCAACCCCAGCAGCTCCAACCTCAGCAAGGTCAGCAACAGCAAGGTCAGCTTCAGCAGCAGCAGCAGAACCAGCAGCAGCAACAACAACAGCAGTACCAGCCCCAGCCCCCGTCCTCGCCCATCTCCTCCCGACATCGCGCGTTGCAGTACCCAGAGCCGATCCCGCTAGGCCTCCCGCCCAGGATCGAGAGGGACGGGGATATGTGGGTGACGGTGTGTAAGTTGCGATTGTATGAGATGTGAGTGTTGTTTCTTTTTTTTCCTTTTTGTGTCCCCTTTTCTATTTTCCTATCTTTCCTCGTTTTCCTGTCTTTCCTGTCTCCTCGTCTTTTTGAAAGAACTCTTATTAAATGCTGAATATATGCGCGTACTCTAGGACCCGCAAGTACCCCCCGGTCATGATCCGCGAGATCACAGAGAACGAGGCGCGCGATTACTTTATCCGGCGCGGGATGAAGTTCCCGCGTGGGCCGCCGTGGCTCTCCTCGTCTTCTTCGTCTTCCGCGTACTCTTTCTCGCACTCGAACGGACATGGTAGTAATGGGAGGAGAGGGGCCAAGGCGCGCGGTCCTGGTGCTAGTGGGACGAGGAGACGCGGGCTGCTGCGGAGCCCGCTGGCGATGTCGAGTGTGAGGGCGTCGACGTCGGCGCCGACCAGCCCGACTAGTCCAGGTTCGGAGGGGTCGATGGGGGATGTGCAAGCGCAGGGTCAGGGCCAGGACGGAGAGCAGGAGAAGGAGCGGGACGACGAGTTCATGTCGGAGGAGTACTACCCGTTCGAGCTTCTGGACGACGAGGACGAGGACGGATGGGGCGAGGAGGAGCTGGACGAGGGCTATGTCGAGGGCGACGAGGACGAGCGCGTGCATGCTTTCAGAGAGAGGCCGTTCTCTCGATGGGTCTGTGGTGCTGATGGGTGGGAGGAGAACGGAGAGGAAGGTTGGGACGAGGAGGAGGATGAAGATGAGGAAGAGGATAGTGAGGATGAAGATGATGAGGATATGGAGGAAGATGATATGGAAGATGAGGGAGAGGAGGAAGGAGGAGGTGGAGAGGAGGTGGAGATGGAGGTGGAGAGGGCCCAGGAGGAGGTGCAGGCGGGCATCGTGGTCGCGCTGAAGAAGCTCGGAGACGCGAAGAGAAGGTTGGCTGCTAAAGCTAGCTCCAAGTCGTCGGCTTCGTCGAGCTCAGCGTCGGCGTCGGTCTCAGAGTCAGCGTCAACAGAGGGCACTCCGAGCGGCTCGACGTCTGGGACGGCGACGACGGCTACAACGAGCGAGGACGAAGATGCGGAGGGCGAGATGGAGGTCGACCATAATCCCGAAAGTGCCGCCAAGGATCCAACCACGTCAATGGACGTTGAGCCGTTCAACGATCCCGACCCTTCGTTCAACGCCGAGCTCTCGCGCCCCAACTCGCCTGCTACGAGTGCTGCTCCGCTAGGACCTGGCGGGGGTATGTTGTCGAGCTTTTACGTCCCTCCGGTACCGGTTGAGCTGCAGATGCAGATGCAGGCGCAGCTCTCGCCTACCTCGCCCACGTCTCCGACCTCTCCTACTTCGCCTTCAGAACCTACCTCAGATACCAACGTCGAGGGTCAAGCACAGGACCAATCCCAACAGCCATTGCAAATCACCATCCCATCCACACCGCCGATGTACTCGCCCACCCCTGCGCAGCTGCAACTACCGTCACCACTGTCGCCCCTTCTTCCTGTCCTGCCCGTGCCCCCACCGAGGCTAGACAGCATACGCGTCGGATACCTCCGCCAGGCGGAACTGGGCATTAAGATGACGGGGCGGGGTACACCCGCCGATCGAGGAAGGGCAGCTGTTTGGGCGAAGGGGTGGGTACCTGTAAGAGACGAAGGCGAGGGAAGGAAGGTGGAGGTGGAGGTCAAGGGACAGGAGGAGGTGAAACTGAAGCTGTGTTTGCCGGGGGATATGGTGGTCGATGGCCATGGGCCGCCTGAGGGATGTTTTGGAGTTGAGGTCGGCGAGGAGAAGAACATGGAGCAGGACAAGGAACAGCAGGTCCAATGGGCGTCGTTCGTCACTGGGCTCGGCCAGGGCCAGGGCAAGGATGCTGGCGCCTGTAGCCCACCCTCGATTTTCGGGCCACGCCCCGGGTCACCAGCACCATCGTCGCCTTTTTTGACGTGTACATCACCTCCTGACTCCGCCACTATCGACGCCACGGCCACGAAAACTACCACCGCCATCAGCATAGGCACACCGTCAGACCTGGAAATGCTTGAGACGGGCTTCGGCTCTGAGCTCGCGTCTGGGTCGGCGGGTGTGTCTGTTACTGCTGCCACGAGTAGCGCGTTGAGTTACGCGCTTGGCTAGGTCGTCGTCGCTCCCTCTTCTTATGGCTGTTCTGCCACTTGCCACGCCGTCACCTGCTCTGCCCTTCCCATACTTCGTCGCCTTCGCCTCTCGTCACTCGCCACTCTCACCTCTCCTTTTCGCCACGCCTCTGTTATAACCCTACCTCGTCTCCGTCGTCGCACCCTGCATCCTGTTATCCCAACACTGCTTTCGCCCACTCGTATTCTTTATCATCAGCATCGTCGACATGCTATCGATTTCCATCATCACATAAAGTTAAGACTGCCTATACACATCGCACACCGTTACACGTTACATTCCACACCATTCTATTTCTTTCTTCGTGCATATGCATGGGATTTTCCGGGATTTTACTTTCTTTCTTTCATTCTCTCTCTTCTCTTTCCTTCACTTTTTTTCCTCTGCTGTGCTTTTACATCATAAACACCTCTCATCGCTCCGTGTTGTGCCCACTACTCATCCTCAATTTTCTTTTTTTTCTTTTCTTTTTCATACATCTCTATCCCTCTCGCTCATCGATTGTATCGTGTATCTGGATCTCTCTCTGTTTTCTGTTTTCTTTACTCTCGTCTACGCAATATATTATTTTTCAAAGGCTCCAAGTGGGATATGGTGAGTGGCCACTTCAGAATTTGGTAACCGGCCCCTCTCCTTCGTCGAGAGACACTCATCCAACACTCACCTCCCTTGCATCTACACTCACCTACGCCATCTGAACGTCAAATATCAGTGGGTATTCATGATTGTCATGTACGTCGGTTGTCTCTCAGCAATTATAGAGTAAAAAAAAGGATAATAGGAACGAAAATAAGTCAAATATTCTTTGGCATGCATGTCCATGTCTTGACTCTTGATGCTTGTCTAACCCCTGCCAGTCCATCTCGACAGGAATGTTGAGTTGCGCAGTCTCGCTCTGGTCTCTGAAGTGTGTATAGGTAGGGAAAGGGGTCCAGTGTCATGACAGTGTTTCACTGCGACGATGAGTTGCATGGTGCACAACTTCATTGAGTTGATCCCTGGAGCCGTGAGTCTCTTGCTGAGTTTTCCTTTTCCCTCCTTCAGTAAATTAAAATTTGAAATCGAGGACGGAGGTCGACATTATCAAGAACCCGTTCTGCTTTGGTAAGTTTGGATCGGCCGCGGCGTTCTTGGATTTTCTGGTGTTTCTCTGCCACTCAAGTTGAAGTACTCACCGTAAAGGTGAATTTTCTTGTTGATCTCGCCTAGCTCGTGTATTTCGACCGTGAGTGCCAAATGACATCTCATGTCTATAGAGCAACGTCTCTTCAGTTCTGTGGGTTTTTTTTCCAATCTTTTTAGATGCCATTCACCCCCATGTTAGAACTGTGCGTAACTGTGGGTTTACCCCACCAATTCCATATACTACTTCGTCTAATCGTACAGTCTCTGATGCGCAACGATGTTCAACATGCTAGAGTGTCAACGCCCCAAAGCCAGTTGGTGACCTCCGTATCTTCGGTCACAACTTCGCGTTTCATGTCCTCTGCAGACCTGGTCTCTGCATTGTAACTTCTCCCGAAATCTATCAGCCTGTAACTCCAGTTTACTCCTTTTTTTGCATTCCTAGTCCGCACGGAGTTTGAGGACCTCAAAGGACCAGGAAAGCGAAGGATATTTCGACAGGCGACGGAGCCATGGATGTACCCCGCATCATGGAAGCGGAGAACCAGGGATGCACATTCTTGCCTAGGGAAACTGTTATTGATTGTGGATGCACAAGGGACAGGAACGGGTACGTACTTGTCGTCGACCGTCAGCGATTCTGGTTCAATCGGTTCACCACAGTCCTCGACGAGCTGAGGTACTCTGGTCGAACTCTGGGTTTGGGAACAGGCGGGGGTTTAGAGACAGGATGGGATTCTGCGGCCATTGAGACATCGTTGTTTTGGTCCTCCCTCCCTTCTTTCGAAGCTTCCACCTTCTTCTCGCCATTAAAGGTTTCAACTTTGTCTCCCGTATTTTGGTCTACCCGCTTCTCGCTTTGCAACTTGGGCTCTTCGGATCCACGGGCGCAATCCTCAGCTGATGCGTCGGCCATTTGGACATCTTTAACGCCCTCGTCCGACGCATCCATCGCCACCTCTCCGGAATCACGATCGGCACTTCCATCCCCATTGTTCTGGGCATTCAATTCGATGTCGTCGCCTTGCTCTTTCGCCTCTCCAGCCTCAAGGGAAAGAGATTCATCGTCATTCATTGGGTCGTCCTTCTCCTGATTCTCTGCCTTTGCTGCTTCCGGATTTCCACGACCGCCGGTCGAAATTTGTTGCTCCTGTGTCACTTGGCGAGCGGCCTCCTTCGCCTCTTTCTCCATCGCATCATCGTCGGGAACATAATACCCATAGAACTGTGGTGCCAGAGGACCGATCGGGACGGGGTCGTGAATGGGAAGGATGAGGTTATAGCCGCTCCAATGTTCCCAGAAGTGTCGAGGGAAACTCTGGTAGTTATTTGCTTCTCTTGCCAGATGGTTATCGCATTCCATCGACAGTTTTGCAGCGACGCTAACTGTAGCAGTGAGGGGGTGGATAGCCCTCTCTTCCTCCCGGATATGCTCGCAGTATGCGCCGCGCTCGAGGTTCTGGTACTTGACTCGAGTGAGAAGAAGACCTTCGTAAACCATCTTCTCGGAGTAGTGCCCTTCTTCGAGGATGTACTGTTGCTCCTCGCCGTCCTCGTTCGCCATCGTCGTCACCACCTCCGGTCTCGATTCAACCTTGCAAACATATACGCCACACATCCCGTGCGACTTCGCTTCATCACCCTCCTGTTCCTTCAGCTGCTCAGCCATATCGTCCATTACGCACGTCATGCAGAGCTCTTCCTTCACAAGGAAGGATCGTGGCAACTCCCAGCGTGCCTTGAACACATGGGAATGGTTTCCCGTGCCAATCCTGTGCGACGGCATCATGTAGAGATGAGCCTCCTTCGGCGGCGTACGTTCGGGCTCAGGCGGAAAAACAATATATACCGGCGATAAATGGCCTCACTTGTTGTCTGTCTGGACCATCACTCCGTCTGGAAGCTCGTTGCGTGTATGCGGGTCCGCGAGGAACGTTTCCAGTACCTTCTTGTGCTTCTCCTTCGCGACTCTGTCTTTCTCGTCCTGCTTCTTCGACGGGGTATTATGATTGCTGGAGAGTTTGTATATGTAGGTCATGTCGTCCTCTGACCATTTTCTCTCGGCGTTCCACCAATCACGACTCTTGTTCGTCACAGTGAGCACGTTCCACGGGTCGTGTACAACGAGTCGAGAGGGCAACAGAGTGTGCGGGATGTACTTTTGCAGGCTAGGGACGTACTGGTTGGCGACTTCGAATAAAGGCCCCCTTGGCCACCTTGGAGGATAAGCGTCCGGCTGGAACACTGGTCCCGTTGGATGCTGTCAAACCGGTCAACACAGGAAGCATCGCAGCCGGAAAACCGGAAAAGAGACTTACCCATTCTACGCCGACCAAGCCCAGCCGCCATCGCAATTCCTGTTCAGTTTCCATGATCGCCTTTGCAATGTCATACGGCTCGATCTTCTCCGGGTCCGGTTCCCTTTCCGTGTTGCGGACAAACTCCTTCGCAAACTCGACCTCTCCGTGCTTCCTTACCCAGGCGAGCATCTTGCTACCCGTTGTCAACGTCTCTAAGCCCATCAAGTCCGGAATCCGCCTCACGAAGTAGAAGTCCAGCAGCGACGCGCCCCAGAGCTCATGGCCGTTCGGCGTCATCTTCCCCAGCTCGCTGTTCTCCTTGCGGAGGATTTCGCCTTTCGGCGCGCGCGGCCACTGCTGGAAGATGAGTCGGTGGCGCGTCTCCTTGTCGTTTAGCACTTTCTGGCGAACACGGGCTTTCTCTTCAGGAGAAGCATCAGCAGAGAGCTGGTGTTCTCTGGAGCTAGCGAAGCGGATTACGATGTCTTCGATGAACTCTTGGCTCGTTTTTGGGGTCTTTGGGCCAGACTTGATTTTCTCAGAGATGTTGTTGGGTAGAGCAGGTTCAGTGTTCATGCCTATGATGTTTGTAAGGTTACAGTATAATTTGCGAACACGACGCGCACCATTCGGTTTGGCTTCTTTTAAAACTGATTCGGGACCGGTACCGTCTTCGTTTGGATCTGTCATTTGTGCATCTTCGATGTCGTTCTTTCCTTCCGATTGTATCCTGGCCTCATCAAGGATTGATGGATGTCCCATTTGACGCCCGTTTTCTGTATTGGCGGATGGATAGTCTTGGACTTCGCTTTCTTCACAATTCAGTACATTCTTCATTTCAGGCTTGGCTGTATCAACAGTGTCGACGGATGGGGTGTAATCTGGGCTGTCGACTTCCATACTATTACCTATAAAAATGTACAAGATCGATAGATTGAGTTAATAGAACGGACACGCACTATTGATTTTTGTTCCCTCCGACATCGTGGGTCCTTTTCCTTTTCCCTTACTCGAAGGCATTTGCACGTCTTCGGCAAGTAGGGGTACCTCCTCAAGCGATTCCAGTTGGCTAGCAGTGTTCTCTTCGTTAGAAGATGCTTTGTGGGGGTCCAGAGGAACGTCCGCCCCGTATGAAGGCCGGATTGGGGAAAAATTCTCCCGTAATTTTATACACATGGAATACGACTTAATACACAAAATTTCAGATTGAACACACACAGAGTATGGGGTGAATACACATGCAATGCAGTTTAACACACACACAACGGAGTTTGACACACACGGAGACTAAAGTCATACACAGATGGTCCGTTTCAACACACACAAATTGTTATTTTACACACATGCATGGAATTTTACACACAGAGAGCGCTCGCCGACACGCACAGAGGCGCTCACGGTTTGACACACAGGAATCTCGGCAGTTTTGGCGATCAGCGGAGCTTAAATAGCTCGGCGTTCTCGGCTGGCCTTCTTTGGGCGCCTAAGGTGAGTCCCCCTTGGCCCGCGTCCCCAATACTCCTCGCCCAATTTTATTACCTAAATAAGCTATATTACTCTTCAATTTAAGTTTACAAGCCCCTTCTACCCTTCAATCTCAACATCAGCACTTCTACTCCCTTTACTCGCGTGAAATGTGCCTACAAAGGACTCCGGGGTGAGGCGCACGAGGGCAAGCTAATAGTCAAAGAAACCTTGTGAATTAATTTATTTGGCAATAACTTGAGCAAGATATTAACCACTTGAAATGAAGTTCTAGGGAGTTTCAGAATGCCCCGTCTAGGGTATTGGGGACGCGGGCCAAGGGGGACTCACCTTAGGCGCCCAAAGAAGGCCAGCCGAGAACGCCGAGCTATTTAAGCTCCGCTGATCGCCAAAACTGCCGAGATTCCTGTGTGTCAAACCGTGAGCGCCTCTGTGCGTGTCGGCGAGCGCTCTCTGTGTGTAAAATTCCATGCATGTGTGTAAAATAACAATTTGTGTGTGTTGAAACTGACCATCTGTGTATGACTTTAGTCTCCGTGTGTGTCAAACTCCGTTGTGTGTGTGTTAAACTGCATTGCATGTGTATTCACCCCATACTCTGTGTGTGTTCAATCTGAAATTTTGTGTATTAAGTCGTATTCCATGTGTATAAAATTATGGGAGAATTTTTCCCCAATCCGGCCTTCATAGCCCCGTGGCACGTCCCATCACAGACATCCATATCCTGAATTTCGTTGTCACTTCCTTCCTCTGGGGTCTTCTTCGTTTGGGCGGCATTTGTGTTGGGAGGTGATTGAGCCTCGACATCATTCATTTTGGCAGCTACGACGTGCTCTTAGGGCCCTATTTCGCGCATACATCGACAACATACCTTTGCATTTGGCGTTGTCGATCATATTGGATGGCTCCTCGGCAGTTCCTTGATCTTTTTTCACATTCTCGCTGGTGAGGCATGCGCTGCAAACATCCGTGTATGAGGGCCGGATTGGGGAAAAATTCCCTGGTGATTTTGAATACATGAATTTGTATCTTATACACTTTGAAGTCAAATTTAAGATATAGGCAGAGGCAATTTGATATACACACACGGGAATTTTTAAACACACACACAGTGATTTTATACACACACACACACACACACACAACAATTTTACATACACACACAACAATTTTATACACACACATGACGATTTTATATACAAACACACCAATTTTATATATATACATGCTGATTTAATACACATACAGGCAGATTTTACATACACACACAGCAATTTTATGTACACACATGCGGATTTTATACATACACACATCGGTTTTATACACACACACACACACACACACACACGAGACATCCTACGACACACTCGGCTATTGGCATTTCCCTTGCCGGGCGGAGCTTCAAGCCTCTCGGCAGACTTGGCAAGAATTTGGTGCCCCAGGACACCAAATTTTCTCCCACGAGTCTGCTGGGGCAGAGTTGATGCCCTTAAAGGCACCCGTGATGCGTGTCAATTTGGCTCTGCTAGTAGTAATGCTGGCATATTTTGGGCAATTCTGGACTGAATTTCATGAAATAAAAACTGTAATAAATGGTAGAATATTGGGAGCTTTCAGTGGGTGACTTCCCATAGGCTTTTATTCTGGGGAATAGATTAAATCAAACCTGACAAAGGCATGGTGCCGTGATGCTGGGCCCAATTAGGCAGGACTTGGCAGCTGGATTATTCCAATCACTCTCGAATAAACGCAAATCTATTCAGAGGGTCCCTACCCCCTTCATAGATTCGTTCGATGCAGAATAAACATTAGTCAGCACAACAACCACAAACTCCTTCCATTTATGGCCCACCCTTGTCCCCAACATCGACTCAATGATGAAGACGCACGCTGTCTCCACTGTCCACACCTCACCACTCCAGCAATGCCATTGGCACATGGAAAATTTATTTTTCCATGAAATACTGTTTTAGGACACTGATAAGATCATGATATGATCAACTGATCTATTTGTGACTATTTTAATCTTTGGGTGTTACGGTTTATGTGGCCGAATAGACTTTCATGAGGAACCTGCAACTTCAAACTCTGCTACGCTATATTTTAATGCGAAAGCCTATGGGAAGTCACCCAGTATATACTCTTTATGTTCAAAATTACCCACATCTGGCAGCTCCATGGCCAAATCAATGCACCTCACCACAAAATTATAAAAATGTGGTCTCACTCCTCCATCCCCTAAGCATCTTGATAGTCCAGAATTGCCTGAAATATGCCAGCATTACTACTAGCAGAGCCAAATTGACACGCATCACGGGTGCCTTTAAGGGCATCAACTCTGCCCCAGCAGACTCGTGGGAGAAAATTTGGTGTCCTGGGGCACCAAATTCTTGCCAAGTCTGCCGAGAGGCTTGAAGCTCCGCCCGGCAAGGGAAATGCCAATAGCCGAGTGTGTCGTAGGATGTCTCGTGTGTGTGTGTGTGTGTGTGTGTGTATAAAACCGATGTGTGTATGTATAAAATCCGCATGTGTGTACATAAAATTGCTGTGTGTGTATGTAAAATCTGCCTGTATGTGTATTAAATCTGCATGTATGTATATAAAATTGGTGTGTTTGTATATAAAATCGTCATGTGTGTGTATAAAATTGTTGTGTGTGTATGTAAAATTGTTGTGTGTGTGTGTGTGTGTGTGTATAAAATCACTGTGTGTGTGTTTAAAAATTCCCGTGTGTGTATATCAAATTGCCTCTGCCTATATCTTAAATTTGACGTCAAGATACAAATTCATGTATTCAAAATCACCAGGGAATTTTTCCCCAATCTGGCCCTCATAATCCGTGGCGATCTCTGAGAAGTTTGCCTCCATATTCGCTGATTCTGTTGCTGCAAATGTGTCAGTTGTAGCCATCAGATAACCATGAAGCTTATAGTCGACACGCAGGTCGTGTATCGTGGTGAGTGGCATGCCAATGACCTTTTTATCATGATCAAGGATTGATTAGATCAGATATGCCCACATACATGTACATAACGACAGGTAGCATGGCTACACTAATGCTTCTTTGTATAATTATAGACTGCTGCTCGTGATATACGTCTATCTGATTTGACTTTTCTTGTTCCTTAGCCCCCGTTTGCCTTCATGTATATATGAGCAGATTTGGAGAAGATCATTGTACTAGGAGCTGGAAGAAAAATGATTCACTACATCAATAATCCCCACACTATAACTTTAAATCAGAATGATTTAGATGTTCTCCGCCAATCCTGCTGGGAGGGCCACTTGGCATCCATTCCCTTATCATGGGCCAAAAGCAGGGAACAATGAGATTGTGTAGAGTTCCAACATTTTGAGATCACATCATTTATAAACCCGTCACCGAAATTTAAATACATACATCCCAATTAAATCTAACGAGATTGGCCATAATCTAGGCGCCTTTTTCTGCAGTGGTGTGCTATTTGCTTCCGCTCTATATGTGGTCATGCATATACTGGATTAGGATCATGAGATTGGTCATTTGTTGGTCTGACTGAATGCCAGGCTCCTGAAAACGCTGGCCGATGTCAAACTCAGGATCGACGAGTTTGGCAACTGCAGTGTGGCGCACACATTACATGTACGAGAATGTCCAAATTTTGGGACCACACCTCTAGCGGTACATATGCGAGATACATTCCTCTCAGTAGATTGTCGAGTCTTCTTACTCACCAGCTCTCAGAGAGGAGGATGGCACCCCAAGAGCTTAATGATCTGAGTGTCCAGACCACTCTTCGAGCCCAGTTTGAGCGGTGGAAAATGAACGGTTCATGGCTTGGCTCGTAGTATAACCCATCAAATAAATTGTCCTCTCAGCCGAGCTTCAAACGTTGCTCGAAGCAACTGAATACTTTACGCACTCAACCCTTAGACTTTCCTACCAATCCTGCTTGATTAACGTACTTTGGGAGATTACGGGCTGCTTGTGTGAAGCATGGAGAAAGCCCAAGTGATCCTGAGGTGCGGGCACCATCTTCTTGATCCCCCTTTGAGTGGCAAAACGCCAAAAATGAAGCTGCTTCCATGGGTCTTACATCCATCACGTCAGATAACGGGTGCCCCAGCGATATCCGTGCTCACATTGGGTTTCACATTCCACACACTCTCTCTCGCAAGGTGTTCCCAACAATCTTGACTCCAGGGCCATGTTGCTTAGGGTTGTACATTGTGTTTCCTCTTGCCAGGCTATTCCAGCATAGTCACCAACAGGAATGCCTTCCCATTCGGAATGCACGACTATTGTAGACGAGGATGGGTGGTTGGCTGACATGCAGTCCTCCCAACACTTGGATTTCAATAGATGTGAACCATTTTGGTGCCTAAGGCGGATGCAATGGTCCATGATTTTTATACCGTCATAGATTCCAAGTGAACGTCGCTATCTGAGTATTCGCGACGCGAAGGTAGACAGCCCTAGTAATTCAAGGACAGCAGCCAGAAATATAAAAACGGGACGTTGTGCAACATGCCTCTGAGCCAACAGCACAAAGAGGTGGGCTAATTAAATATCCTCTTCACTAAATATCCTCTTCACAGTGAGTATACCAGTGTTGTGCGGTCATGACTCTGTAAGCGATGTAACTAGTGATGACGTTGACTAGTCATTGGCTAGTAATGACTAGTCAGTACCGATCCGAGCTAGCCACCAGGCTAAATAACTATTTATGGTGAAGTCACGTGACCATGTGGGAAAGATAAGCTATAAATAGCAGCCATGTAAGCTAGAAAAATATAGAATACAAGGCAGTTTCCTAACTATGAATTTAAGCCCTGGAGGGCAATATGCTACCTTCTGCTTTGGGAAGGCTCTCCTAATAAGAGGGAGGGGTTGCCGGGTGCCCGGCATCTGCAAGGGTGATGAGGAGGGGGTAAATAAATTAGTAAGCATCCATTTCCGGGGTGGGTGGGTGGTGGGAGGTGCAGGAGGGTGTGGAATGGGGGCGGGATAGGTCAAGCAGGACCCCAGGGCACTGCAGAGAACTGGTCATGTGACCTGTTTGCTCTGCAGCCTCAACCGGGGCCGTTTTTTGTGAAAAAAGTGCCCAGGGCCAATGTGATAGTATATTACTGTATGTCATAAAAAAATCTGGAGAATCTGGGATGTGGAATGTTGCGAAACAGCGCGTATGAGGTGTCACCTTAACTTGGCGCACGTTTATTTTTAGCACAAGCTGCTAAATTGGGATCTGGCATCAAAATAGCCATTGCTGGCGCATTTCGGGCTCGTTTGGCTTCCCCCTGGGTGGAAATTGATGGGAACGATGACGCGATAATTTTGAGGGAACTAATAGCTACCTGTAGAGACCCAGAACGTGTGAATACGACCGTTTTTGGCGATGTTATGGCCTAAACTGTGCTTCTATGCACAAAAATGCGAAAATGCGCACCTAATGCTCTGCTTCTCATGCATGCCTGCCTCATAAAAACTAGAATAGTATGCTACAGATGAGCCAATAATAATGGCCTTGCATGCATTATTGGTTATGCAATGGGCCTTTCGATGTTTATGTGCTAAAAAACCGAAAAAGCGCACTCAAATCTCTATGCCACACATGTATCTATCCTTCCAAAACATTATGCGTTCAGATAGAGGTTGATAAAGGCTACAAAACGCGCTATTCAGCGTCTCCACGCGTTCATTTGTTCCAAAGATATACCTACAACACTCCTCATCCCTCAATATCACAAAAAGCGAACTTCTGTATCTCCCCCAATTCTTATCCAAGACCTGTAGAACTTTTCAGTCAGTCTCACCCAGTGCCCTACTCACTATTTACAATCACTAATATAATATAAGCACCACTTCCTCCTTCCCCTGAAAAGCCAGAAATGCGCCCTCCATTTCCCATTCCCCAGGCTATTTATGCGAGCTGTAACATATATGCATATTAATAGTAGCCATATAGGTACCTCCATGCAAGAATACAGGAGTTAATAATGCCAAATGCACTTGCAGTGGCCAATTTCGGGTTTTCTACCTATAATCACCTTGTTTGCCCCATGGGATGCCCAATTCTTCACCAATCTTCAAGAAGAAACATGTCCCAGGATCGGAACAATCTCCTCTTCAAATTCCAACACCTCCGAGACGACAGACTGTCTATAAACACCCCCATTCCGTTACCAAAGACACTTCCTCCTTCTTGCCTGGGAGATTCCCACAATGTTGATGGTGGACATGGCATCCTTCTGGCATGTCCTCTAGTGCCCCAAATCTCCTCGGATAGCTCGGAATACCTACTATACTACTGTTAGAGTGATCTACAAAAATTCCGACACAAATTGGATAAGAACTGAATATGCTATTCATGCAACTGTCCTTCTGCCTTCTCACTTGCCCTCTCCAAGATTCTACCTCGGATTGGAGGTATAATCTTTGCTCTAAAATTTTGTAAAAATATGTTTAAAATAGATATTATAGAGTAGAGTAATTATCAGTGTCTGTAAACCCCTCTCAGAGGTGTGAGCAATGATACTACCTCCAGTTTCCGGGGTGAACACATTTGACAAACTAGGCAATATGGTGATCACCACTCATCACCAGTCTGTTTGAGGTTCATTTCAGACCTCCTGCTGTCCACAATGACCCAATCACAATAGAACTTTTTGAGGACACTTAGAAGTAGTCAGTAGAATGTCTCTGCATTGTCTATTTAATTAGATATTTCCTTGATCTCCTTAAAAGTGGCAATCAGTTCGATTTTTATGTTATCTAAGGTGTCACATTGGACGTCTCGGAGGTGTTGGAATTTGAAGAGGAGATTGTTCCGATCCTGGGACATGTTTCTTCTTGAAGATTGGTGAAGAATTGGGCATCCCATGGGGCAAACAAGGTGATTATAGGTAGAAAACCCGAAATTGGCCACTGCAAGTGCATTTGGCATTATTAACTCCTGTATTCTTGCATGGAGGTACCTATATGGCTACTATTAATATGCATATATGTTACAGCTCACATAAATAACCTGGGGAATGGTAAATGGAGGGCGCATTTCTGGCTTTTCAGGGGGAGGAGGAAGGGGTGCTTATATTATATTAAAAGGGAGTCTATACCATGCTATGTGATTGTAAATAGTGACTAGGGCACTGGGTGAGACTGACTGAAAAGTTCTACAGGTCTTGGATAAGAATTGGGGGAGATACAGAAGTTCGCTTTTTGTGATATTGAGGGATGAGGAGTGTTGTAGGTATATCTTTGGAACAAATGAACGCGTGGAGACGCTGAATAGCGCGTTTTGTAGCCTTTATCAACCTCTATCTGAACGCATAATGTTTTGGAAGGATAGATACATGTGTGGCATAGAGATTTGAGTGCGCTTTTTCGGTTTTTTAGCACATAAACATCGAAAGGCCCATTGCATAACCAATAATGCATGCAAGGCCATTATTATTGGCTCATTCTGAAGCTCTATTAGCATACTAAATTGTCGGCTAGTTTTTATGAGGCAGGCATGCATGAGAAGCAGAGCATTAGGTGCGCATTTTCGCATTTTTGTGCATAGAAGCACAGTTTAGGCCATAACATCGCCAAAAACGGTCGTATTCACACGTTCTGGGTCTCTACAGGTAGCTATTAGTTCCCTCAAAATTATCGCGTCATCGTTCCCATCAATTTCCACCCAGGGGGAAGCCAAACGAGCCCGAAATGCGCCAGCAATGGCTATTTTGATGCCAGATCCCAATTTAGCAGCTTGTGCTAAAAATAAACGTGCGCCAAGTTAAGGTGACACCTCATACGCGCTGTTTCGCAACATTCCACATCCCAGATTCTCCAGATTTTTTTATGACATACAGTAATATACTATCACATTGGCCCTGGGCACTTTTTTCACAAAAAACGGCCCCGGTTGAGGCTGCAGAGCAAACAGGTCACATGACCAGTCGGGGTCCTGCTTGGCCCATTCCGCCCCCTCCTGCACCTCCCACCACCCACCCACCCCGGAAATGGATGCTTACTAATTTATTTACCCCCTCCTCATCACCCTTGCAGATGCCGGGCACCCGGCAACCCCTCCCTCTTATTAGGAGAGCCTTCCCAAAGCAGAAGGTAGCATATTGCCCTCCAGGGCTTAAATTCATAGTTAGGAAACTGCCTTGTATTCTATATTTTTCTAACTGATACAGGTGATAAATAGTCGGTCAAAAGTGGTGGTTGATACGAGAATTCTGCGACATTAGAGCAACGCAGACAGCCACGAGGGATCTCAATTGATACGTGAAACTACATTGACCTTTCCTTCGACTACTGCGCCCTAACATCGAAACGCCACATCGAAATCCAGCGTCAGAGTCTTCCGTCATGCCTAAAGTCTCAGCACAGCAGGGGTGGTGGGCCGAGCATGTTAGGGATCACCCAGACAGACACAGCGGCGGGCCAAGCACCGATAATGCAAAGATATTGGGGACAAGCATGAAGTGGAAAGTATACTGCAAGGGATGCTGGGACAAGCACAAAAGTGATTTACAGGTTTGGAGGGACAATGCACAGAGAGCAGGTTTACCAATAGATGTCCCAGAGATGGATGAGGGAATTGATGCTTATCGTGCGCTGATTTTGCCTTTCGCATCATTTTCTGTTGCTTACTGTTCTTGTTAGTTTGGAGTCTCAAGGCGGGCAAGGGAGCAGGAGATTATGGGTACCGATCTTCAGCCGCCTCAACTGTGCTTAATCATCTTGCAAATTGCCCCTGGGTTGGACCAGAGATTAGAAAGCTTGCGCGAGAAGACTCTTCTTGCACCCTTGTTGAATTTCGGGCAGATCGCAAGCACACACGTGCTGGGTGGACCTCCCATCCTGATGCCTCATTGGGTCAAGGTCCCTCATCCTCGAGTATTTGCACTCCCAGCCCTATCTATCCTCCTGAGCAATCAGGACTTCTTCTATCACGCACAGACAATTTTGAAATGCCTCCTGGCACTGCAACCTTGAGTCCCCTCATCATGGCAGGACTAAACATGCCAGGAAGTGCACCAGAAAGTGGTCAAGGATCTCCCACAGTTTCTGCTGCTAGTGTAAATCCCGACGACTCCATCTCTGCTGTATTCACTCGTCTAGCACCTCTGTCACGTTTGACTTCACGTGGGCGGTTCACTCCAAGCGGGTATTCAAGCACGAGTCCGGGAATCACAGGTGCCGGTGGACATCCCAAAAGTCAAGTGTGGACAAGAGAACGTCAAGCATCTTTTGAGAAACGAATCGCTCGATTAACGGTATCTGCAAACCTTCCTCTTTCGTGGGTGGACAACCCCGAATGGATTGAGCTCTGCTGCGATTTCATACCTGGAGCGCATTCCCCATCTCGTAAGGTGCTCACGTCCCGCATCATTCCCAATCTTGTCTTGGAAATATGCCAGGCAGCCAAAATTGAGGTCCAAGGAAAGAATGTTACTCTTCAGGCTGATGGTTGGACAGGAGAAAACCACCGTCACCTCATAGCGTTTATGATAACAACAGAAAAGAAGGTGAGTGTTTCAGCGTGATGGCGCCTAATATTTGGACGCTTTAAACTCGTTATAATTTATTTAGGTGTATACTGTTCGTGTTCATGATGCATCAACTGAACGAAAGACAGCGGAAAACTTGAAGACATTGCTTGATGAAGTTGTGAAAGAACTTGAGCAGGAGTGGCAAACATCTGTAATTGCTGTTGTAACTGATGCTTCAGGAGAATGTCGAAAGGCGTGCCATAAATTCCTTCAAGAACACCCATGGATGGCTGTTCTTGACTGTTTTGCCCATCAAGTATCGTTGTTACGACCTGTGCTGAGCCGAGGTGTGCCGGAGACTGGGTGCGTTCGGATGTGCTTCGGAAGAGATTTCGGATGTGGACTTTTGGCTTCAACGTTCGTGCGTTGCGCCCTTGAGATAGTCTAAGTCCAATTTCAGAGTATAGGCTTTTAGGCCAGTGTCGGATGTCGAACGGATGCAAGCGGATGAGAACGATGAGAACGAGAGGAGGAGATTAGAAGTCGAGTATGATATTCAGACTGCCGGACTCGGTTGTCCTGCAGTCCCTTAAATACTACAACGAATAATGGACTACCTATGACAATGAGCCGTCGGCTGTCTAACTCGTGGAGGGAGCGTGTACGCTAATGACAATAGAATAATGAGGCACGTGTACGCTAGGAAAATCAAAGACAAATAACAAACAAAAGAACAATATAATCGAAGAACCGAAACGGCTATGAACGGATGTCTCTCAGATGTCTTCGGCACGGAACGGGTCGTGACAGTACCTCCCCCTTAAGGCCGAGCCCCCGAGGCCTTTTACTGTGGCTGATGTTTGGTATTGTATACGCCATGTTGAACTTGGCCGTTTAGGGTTGTTTGCATCCAGAAAAATTTCTCTTCCGCTCTACCACCTGGCCCCCCCAAAAACCCGAACTCCACAATGTCCAGCCCCACCAAAACATCCGAAACCCAGCGCCTACTCGAACAACAAAGGAAGTTGGCGGAGGAGAAGATGCGGGAGAGGGCGGAGAAAGCGAGGCAGAGACGGTTGGAGGAGGAGAGGGAGAAGGCTGAGGAGGAGGAGATGGCCTGGGCACTCGCGGCAGTGGAGCAAGCGGCAGAAGAGGAGCGGCTGCGAGAGGAAGCGGCAGCTCAACAACGGCTGCAAGAACAGGAGGCGGCTGAGAGGCGTAAAGCGGCGGCCAGGAAAAGGGCCAAGGAGAAGAGGGCTGAAGAGGAGCGAGCAGCCGAAGCGGCACAGCAGGCGGCTAGGCCTACGGCCTACCCAAGCACGGACGAGGAGGACGAAGAAGTGGTTGTAGAACGAACCAAGCGCAAAGGCAAGGGCAGGGTCGTCGAGTCATCCGGTGAGTAGTTGGTTTTCGGGTGTCGGTCAGTGGCTAACGGCTGTCGTAGATGAAAGTAGTTCGGAGGGCGAGAGTGGGAGCGAGGGAGAAGGAAGAAGGGGCAGGGAGAAGGAGAAGGGGCAAGAAGAAGAAGACAAAGACAAAGACGAAAAGGATGACGAGGAGCCGGAGACGGCTGCGGCCACGAAGGGGAAGACGAAGACGGCATGCAAGGTGAAGTCGCAAGACGAGAGGAACCGGATCCGGGACGAGGGGATCGCAAAGGCAGAGGCGAGCTGGCCTGTGATGCAGGAGCCATGTGCCCACTGCATCGCAGCTGGCATTCGTTGCCAATGGAATCCGGGTGCCGTGGAGAAGTGGCGTACGGCCGTCGAGAATGGCAAGGGGAAGAAGCGTGCACCACCCAGTGTCTCGTGCCCGGCTTGCATGCGCGCCAAGATTACATGCGTGCTGCCGGCTACGAAGTGGATGCACGACTGGCTCGAGAAGAACAACGACGGCAAGAGGAAGCGGGACGATGACGACGAAGGGGACTTTGAGCCAGAGGGAAGGTTGAAGAGAGTGAGGGTGGAAGAGGAGGAAACGCCGCGAGCCGGGCCTAGCCGCGAACGAACGCGTCGGGCGGCAGCTGTTGGGGTGGACCAGGCGCGAAGGAGGCAGAGGAGGGAGCAGGCCGAAGCATCGGACGACCCATTGGTCCACCTGGTGTGGTCCGTGGAGAAGATGCGCCGGCAGCAACAGTCGACGAGCTGGGCGGTCCTCGAGCAACTCGAGGTGACCAACCGGCTCTTGACTCGGTTGTCACGGCCTACGAAAAGGCCCACGCGGAGAAGAAGGAGGAAGACAAGGAAAAGGGACCGGAAGAGGGAACGGGAGAGGGAGCGAGCCAGTAGGTATGGGGCGACAAGGAACGGCTACGAAAAAAGTACATAATTGTATATAGAATTTTTTTTTTTTTTGTTGACTTGAAATTTTTTATGACTTGGTTGAACGGAAGTGAACGGCACAAAACAGAAGTGAACGGAAGATAAACGGAAGAGATATAAACTTAGAAATAGAGAAGTGCAGATGGGTCGAACGAGTGAAAAACAGAAGAGGACGGAGGTCAAACCGGCAAAGGGCCTGGCTTGTTGGGATATGCCTCGTGGAATTCTTGGACTAGTTCTTGAGCGTTCGGGAGTTCATCGGCTGGCTGCCAGGAGAACTCCTCATCCGTGTTCTCATAACCATACCATCGAACATAGTAGAGGAGCTTGCACTTGCGTCGTCGATCGATCTTAGAATCGACTATCTCGGCGACCTCGTACTCGAGTTCACCTTCGATTTCGACGGGTGCTGGCGGCTCAACGGCACGGCTCGGAATAGTACTCGGCTTGAACGGCTCGAGCATCGAGACATGGAACACTGGATGGACTAGTCGCATAGACTGGGGAAGGCGGAGGGTGAAGGAGTGAGATCCTACTTGGGCTATGATCTCGTATGGGCCGAGGAACTTTTTGGCTAGCTTCTTTGATGGACGGGTGGTTCGGAAGAATTGAGCTTTGACAAAAACTTGATCGCCGACCTTGAAGTTCGGAGCCGGAAGACGTCGGTTGTCGGCTGCCTTTTGGTAGCGCTTTTGAGACTTGCGAATGTTTCCCTTAAGGAACTCGTGGAGTTCTCCTAGGTCAACAGCGAACTCTCGAGCACGGCTAGAGGCAATGTCGCGTTCCGGATGCACGGCTAAGTTCGGATGATAACCCTTGTTGGCGAAGAAGGGCGATACGCCAGTGGCATCGTGTGGAGCGTTGTTGTAGGCGAATTCGGCAAGCGGAAGGAGAGTGACCCAATTGTCTTGTTGGTAGTTGCAGTAGGTTCGAAGGTACTGTTCCAAGGTTTGGTTGGTGCGTTCCGTCTGGCCGTCACCTTCCGGATGGTAGCCAGAAGTGAAATGCAGTTCTATGTCGAGAGCCTTACCCAGGCCTCGGAAGAAGTGCGAGACAAATTCGGAACCATGATCGGAAGTGACGTGAGAGGGGACACCATGCTTGGAGAATACATTGAGGACGAACAACTCGGCCAACTTGACAGCTGTGAGGTCGGAATGTGTCGGCACGAACACGGCTTGCTTCGTGAGCCTATCGACGATGACTAGGATGTCAGTGAAACCAGCGGAAGGCGGAAGCTTCTCAATGAGGTCCATGGATATAGAATTCCAAGGACGCTCGGGAACCGGAAGCTGCTTAAGGAGCCCATAAGGCTTGTGGTGGCGCGGCTTGACTCGGTTGCAAATGACACAAGAATTGACGTAGTCTTTGACAAAGTCGCGCATGCCGGGCCATGCATATTCTCGTCAGACCAATTTGAGAGTCTTGTTCTGGCCGAAGTGACTGGCTAACGGATGATCGTGCTTGGTTTGCAACACACGGATCCGCAAGTTGTTAACGTCCGGAACAAAGATACGATCGTTGAGAAGTAGTAGGCCGTCAGGGGAGAGAGTGAACTTGGTGTCAGAGGGTGCTGGAAGTTGAGCGGCAGAGATTGGATCGTTCGGAAGGGCTTCTCGGATGTCGGCATGAAGCTTTTCGATGTCGAGGGTGATAGCTCCACGCAGAGAGGGTGTGATCAGAGTTGACGCTCGGAGGGACGTAGCCAGCTGTTCCTGGGTAAATACTGGACGGAAGTTGTGGGGGTTGACAGTGGCGTAGTCGCTACCTCCCTCTTTAAGGTAGACGTCCCATCATCTAGTAAGGGCATCCGGTTTGGCGCCGAGCTTGCCAGGTCGGAAGCGAACGATGAGGTTGAACTGACTTAGGTACTCGGACCAACGTGCCTGCCGACGGTTCAAGAGTTTCGTGGTAGCGAAATACTCAAGGTTCTTGTGGTCGGTAACAACGTCGATGGGAGTGCCAGAGCCTTCCAGGTAGTGCCGCCAGATCCGGAACGATTCATAGATTGCGAAAAGTTCCTTGTCGTGGACATCATAGTTGAGTTCAGTTGGATTTCTCCATTGGTCAGCTCGATAGAGAGGATAGCAGCGAGGGCATAGTCGGAAGCGTCGGTTTCGAGGATGATGGGCCGATCCGGAATCCATTGGGTGAGGACAGGAGCCGTAGTGAAGGCTTTCTTGAGGTAGTTGAACGATTCCCAGGCTTCATCAGAAAACTTGAAGGGAACACCTTTCCGAGTGAGCCGGGTGAGAGGAACGCAGATGTCGGAATAATTGTAAATGAACCGTCTATAAAAATTGGCGAAGCCGAGGAAGGACTGAATGTCCTTGACTTTCCGTGGCTCGGGCCAGTCCTGGATGATCTTGACCTTGTCTGCCGCCATGGAGAGACCGTCAGCCGAAAGAATATAGCCGAGGTACTCAACACGATCGGCGTGCCATTCGCACTTGTCAGGCCAGGCGTAAAGTCCATGCTTCCGAAGACGTCGGAGCACTTCCTTGACATGTTCCTTGTGTGAGGCGAGATCTGAAGAGTAAATGAGAATGTCGTCCAGGTAGACGATAACCGAAATATCGATGAGATCCGAGAAGATGTCGTTCATGAATCGCTGGAAAGCAGCCGGAGCGTTGGATAAGCCGAACAGCATAACCCTCCATTCGAACGAGCCGTAGCGGGTCCGGAACGTGGTTTTCCATTCGTCGCCATCCGCGATTCTGACCAGGTGGTAGGTGCCAAAGGTCGATCTTGGTGAAAACCTTGGCTTTGCCGGGAGCGTCCAACAGGTTGGAGATGAGCGGGAGGGGATAGCGGTCCTTCTTGGTGACTTTGTTAAGGCCGCGGTAGTCAACACAGAGCCGAAGAGAGCCGTCCTTCTTCCGAACGAAGAGGATCTCCGTGAGACGAGTTGGATGGTCAGA